CAGAAATAATGTTCTGGATTGGAATCAATTTTGGCGGCTGGTGCGGCCGGCTGGCAGACTCAATGCCCTCCTTGTCATCATGAAGGCAATACAGTAATAGATACTTTTGAAGCGTATGGAAAGTAAGCGGCAGATCATATAGCATTATCGTTAGCTATGCTGCTCTTTTTGAATCTATATTTGATAACGCCAGTCTATCAAAATACTTGTTAGATCAATTTCTTTCCTTTTTGAGGCTTTGAAAGTGTTTAGGGACCATATATTTATCATGTTATGATATTACATACAGGTAAAATCTCTTGACGTTAAATTATATGTATATGATTAAATTATGTACAGGCTTTAGAGTACATTGGTCATAGCAATCAATGGACAGTACAAGCTTTGAAGCAAGATGCAATCATAAAAAAGCATACTATTGAAGCTAATGACAAGACGTGGTTGTTTTTTTTATTAATGTGTATTTGAGTTTATGAGATCACCATACTTGATGGATTAAAATATTTCAGATTTTTGAGGCTATTTTGACTTGTATAGATAGAGGTAGCAGAGATATAAGAACGACTTGGCCTTGTATAGATGTCAGGCATTAATTGTCTTGATAATTGATTGAGTAAGAGGAAGCACAGATGAGAGTAGGGCTTGACCTTGTATAGATGTAGAGATGGTATATTTGAACAGTCTTGTCATTTTAGGAGCTTGTAGGAAGCACAGATGAGAGTAGGGCTTGACCTTGTATAGATGTAGAGATGGTATATTTGAACAGTCTTGTCATTTTAGGAGCTTGTAGGAAGCACAGAGAACTTGGCTTGATAGTATTTGGAGAGGACAGCTTGCTTTAGATGAGATAGAACATGAGATGGCAGAGGCAACTAGATAAAGATGAGATGAGTACACAAGTACTGTGGCATGAGTGCGTAACAAACCATTTGGGCAAAGAAAATTGACCATCAATAAAAGGAACCAACACTATATAAACAGGTACCAAGGTGTAAACTTGCTTCACCTATCACAAGATTATCGACACGCTCAAGACACCTTTATCTCGGATCATAGGGCTGAACCCAATTCTCGTCGGCAATAAAGCCTGTGGTCATCCCGTAGCATGACCAAAGAATTTGTCCTGCAGTCTACTCATGATTATGAAGCTGTGATCCTACTCAGTCCCTACAAAAAAGTAGTTTTTCGGCACTATGTAATCAATAGGTTAGTCAACATGGCTCATACGTCCAACAAGATAATAACTTACTCGCACAGTTCACCAAGGTCTGCAGGTATCAAAGATAGTGTGGCCTTTTTCTAGCATGGACCAAGAGACGTAGAGAGGACCATGGATTTGTAAGGCATTGTATGTAGCAGTAGTAGAGGCCAATAGACAGTAGAGTATTTGATTTACTTGACCATATGTAGAGAGAGAGCCCAAATGTCTTGTAGAGAGTTTGTATGTATAGAGTATTTTGCTTGTTGTAGAGAGATGAGATGAAGAAGAAGAGGGAAAAGCTGTTGAAAAAAATCCCTATTTATATCCTTCTCATCGACTTTCATGTGAGTCTAGTATCCTTGCCACACTCAAATTCGTTTCCTTTTACTTTTCTCCACGATATACTACTTTGAGCGCGTGAAAGTAGTACCATTTTGAGGTTTGGCACTTGCTCTATTTGATCCGCTTCGTCCGAGGCTTTCAACTGTTTTCTGTCTCGAGTTATGTCCATTTTGCTACTTCAAAAAGCCCTTTTTCCACCTTCACATGAAACGAGTTCCCCCATCTCTTCCTAGATGTAATTAACAGACAACTTTTCACTGGTTCAACCTCATCAAAAAGTAAACAAAAAATGTCATTTGACACTGAAACAAATGCAGCTGGTTGCTTGATTAAGTAATCTTTCTCTACCTCCCCTTAATTTCTCTCTCTAAAATTACAGTTCTCGATCCATCTCTCTTTTTGTTTACATCAGCCATAAACTGTCCATCTAATCGGACAATACGAGTGTTAAGGTTGGCTTTCTTGTCGTTTACATCACATCGGAGCCAGCATAACTGATTCTGGACCAAGAAACAAGTGTACACCTCGGAAAACAAGCGTGCTATATGAATATTACTGCGGCAATCTCCATGGAATGGAACATAATGGATCGTTTTCGAACCAGTGCAAGTCATCTTGTTTCCAGCTATCATGGTTGCTGTCAATGATGTCAATCAAAGTGTTTGCACTACTAGATATCATCAATATGCCCACATTTACATAGTGAGTTGGTCATTCTCGTGTATCATTCCTGCAACCTGTTTGTAGTTCTTATGCCAAGAGTATTCATCTCATAAAGAGTCAACACGTTTCATATCATTTTTTTTTTAGGGATCGTCCTCTTTTAGAAGGTATTCGAATCATGCAAGATCAAAATAATTCATTTGCTAGGCAAAATTAAGCTTTAAAAAAAATCACATGTAAAGTAAACAAAAGGACATGAATTGAAGAGTGATAAGCAAGTAAATGGCCAATTTGTGGTTAAAGAGAGGATATTTTATTAGAAGGTATGTACATCATTAGAAAGCAAATCACTTGAGGAATCCAATGGTACTATTTTCAGGGTTCTAAGTCAAGTACACATCGCGAAATTCATCAAACAAGGCCGTGGGATTTCCAAAAGAAGGAGGTTTCTGAATTAAACTTCACCTGCAATATCATTTTTATCTGTGTGCTATTCTATTTCTTTGGATCATGTCACGCTCCTCTTACATCACCAGCCTGTCCTTTTTGGGTCTCACGTTGGGTACGCTATCCATTTGAGAAGGAGTCTCGCTTTCTCGTATAATCGTTTCTGTGGGTATTATTGCCGTTATATTATAGGGCTTTGAGCAATCAAGGAGAGTCTTCTTTTAGCCAGCCAAAACGGATTACAATCCCGCTCGACTTTCTGTCATGATTCGTTGCTTTTGGATTCTTTTGCGATTTGATCGACTTATTTTAGAAGATTCGACTATGAAAGTTGTTGTGATCATCCTTTACAGCCTTAAGATTCGACATTTAAAGGACTTTAAATAAAAACTGGAGCTCGTCTCCCCTACAAAAAAAAAAAAAAAATTACAGCCTTAAGAGTCCCTGGTGGTAGGGCGAAGTGGTAGAACTCCCGTATGCCAACGGGAGGATCCCCGGTTCAAATCCTGGTGAACGCAAGTTGTTTGATTTTTTGACGTAGTACTGATGTCCTCGTTTGGTGTCTTGTACTCTTATCCATAATCTATATTTTGACGATTGCCGCAAGACTGTACTGGCTCTAGGTGTCGCACCTTATTAGTAGTAGATTTCTTTCCCAACTTAGCTCAAAAATATCTTATTCCCCTTCATTGCAGACATTGGGTCCACCAACAGTCTTTTCTATCCCTCAGTATGACATTTAAAGGACTTTAAATAAAACCTGGAGCTCGTCTCCCCCTACAAACAAAATGCTTCCTTAAGCCACCTCTCTTTCATCTAAATTGTCTTTAGGGCCGTTTAAACCCCGAAAACAACATCATTAAGCAGTAAAGATCCAAACAAAACCGGCAACAAACACAGCTACAACAATCCAGTCATGTCGGTCAAGCCAGCCGACACCTACAGTTACCTCCAACTATCGTCTTACTTTAACCAAACAGACGACAACCGGCAACGGAACCACTAAACTTCCCGTTGCTTCTAGGAAGCGTCGCCATTCCACTATCAAAGCTACCACGGTACCTTTATGTAGATCACCGCGAACCCAAGCACCTACTACTGACTTTCTTAACACTATGAATATTGCAACACCCGTTGCTCCTGCACCTACAGCCATTTCCATCAGCTCCACTACCAACATGGTCGTTGAGCCTTCCACTAATGCGATCAACCCACCTGCCTTCCTTGAAGGCATGAACCCACCTAAACCAGACGAAATCCATCAGTCTCCCCTGATGCCCACTTGGATTCAGGAGATCTATTCACGTCTTGCCTCTGTCACCACTCACTTGCAGACTCACGACTCACAACTGGAACAGAACCAAGCTTTGATCAAACAGACTCAAGAATTGATCAAAAAGAACCAGGAACTCCAACTGGCTTTGGATAAAGCCCACCACGAGATTGCGCAACTCAAGTCGACTGCCAATCATACCTCGACACCTCCATCTGCTACTATGCCTGTTCTCGAAAGGAGCTCCGAGGGCACCTCAGCCTCTCAATGGGCAAATATGGCTGCCAAACCACCCGCGGATGAATCAGCTCCAGACGTTACTAAACGCAAGGAATCCAAGCCCAAGGCTTCCACATTCACCAAACCAGCTCCCAAGGCCAAAGCCAAACGGCCATTGACTTTAGAGCAGGTTAGCCGGTTCTACTCTCTTCCCTCGACGACCCACGGTTACCAATTCCTGTACTTCACCTCTCGTGGACGTGAAGCCATCTCGAAAGTCCGTGCGGGTTTCCAGGTGCTTAGTTTATCTCAAAGCCGCATTCTTGATATCCATTACCCTATTAATAACATCATTAGTTTCTTAGTTCACAACGACTATGCCTCCACTGTCGTGGAAGCAATGGCTCAACTCCCTGACTCTCAACGGATTACCGATTTCGACCCTTGTGCACCCACCATCCTCGGGGATCCCAAGTACGCCAACCACGCTGATCCGCTCTTTTTGCAGTTTGAGGCTGCACGCATTCACCAAGAACGTTTGCTTCGCATGATTAAATGTCTCGCAACTCCCAACATCAAATTGGCCGTCGCTCGCGACTTCTGCTTCAAACGTAAATAGATATCCGAGACTACGTATCAAACACTTTACCGTGAGATCTACCCTGCCAAGGCATCCAAGACTGCCTCATCTTCTTCAACGGATGATGTTAACATGGATGATACTCCTGCTTCTTCTCAAGATTCTAATTCCCAACCTGCTGCCTCCTCTTCCTCTATTAGCCCAGCTGACGGCGTCTCAGCCCCCCTGGTCTAATGAGTACTACTACCTTTGAATCACCCAACTATGCGAAAAATATGCCCCATTATGACACGAATACTAATTCTTTTATGCACAATCACAATCTCAATATAGCTTCCTTGAACTGCCGCAATCTCGTCAAAGCATCGACGCCCGAGATTAGCTCTGACTTCATCCGATACCTCCGTTCCTTACATTTTGGCATCCTCTGTGTTCAGGAATTGCATGCCGTCGAGACAGTTCAGGACCAACTTCATATGCAATTCCAAGCTCATGCCACTTTATGGACACAACATTGTGGTATTATCTCCTTCAATCCGTTAATTCATTTACAATCTTTAGACTTTAATCTGGATCAACGCATCATTGCCTGCAAAGTGGTCCATGCCAATGCGTTGTTTCCACCCTTCACACTCGTTAACATCTATGCACCAGCGCAGTACTTACCCCGAGTGCGGTTTTTTAGAGACTTCTTAGCGTTGCCTCTCTTCAACATTCCTTCTTCAACCACTCGGGAATCCTTGCACTCACTATCTTCCACCCTTGACTCTGAAGCTGCCAACATCACTCCCATGCTACTGATGGGGGATTTTAACTACCACGCCACTTCTTACTTGACTGATGATAGTGAAGACTCTGAATTTGATCCTAACATTATTCATTCAGGTGCTGAACTCCATCGTCACTCTCCACCGTCTCATCAATTCCCACTTCTTTGAATGTACTGATTCAAGGGAGGAGGGTCCACTACTACCAACCTATCGTCGACGGTCCGGACAATCAACTATCGACTACCTCTATGCTACTTCATTCCTTTTTCCACATCTACATTCATCAGAAATTGTGTTTTTGGACTCATCTTGGACGGATCATGCTCTGATACGAGCTCGCTTTGTTTTTTTCGTCAGATCGTCAAGGTTCAGGCCTGTGGCGTGCTAACCCAAACCTATCTACTAACCCATATTTCACTGAACAAATCTTCACAGCTTTGGATGAATTTTTCAATACCATGGAGATTACGGCCTCTATCGATACCGCCGCTTCCATTACTCCTTCTTCTCCACAAGACAATTGGGATGCGCTCAAAGCCTTGGTTCAAGACATTGCTCGTCATGTCAGTCGAGATCGAAGTAATGCCTTAGAACGCCCATACAAACGCCTTCAACGGAAACGCAATCGAATCTGTCGACAATATTCTGATCCTCGCATACGCGCTCCACTCCTTCATACCATTGAGAAGCAGATTGGCATGATACAAAGGGAAATTGCCACCAACTTATGTTTACGGGCGGGTAAACACTGGCGTGAACAGGGCGAAACCTCTGCTGGCTACTTGAAACGGACTATTGCCAGTCGTTCGATCAAAAAGTCGATCACTAGCCTCATTAACCCTATTACTAACACATTATGCACTGACCCCATTTCCATGCAGACAGCAGCCTCCAGTTTCTATGCAGCATTATACTCTTGTGATGCCATGGATTCAGCGAGTATCAACTCTCTGTGTGCCACTATTCCGGATTCTAACACCATCACGGATGCCGATCATGATACCCTTCAGCAACCTTTCACCATTGCCGACTTATTGACTGGCACTCATCGTACCAAGTTCCAATCCAGTCCTGGTATCGACGGTTTACCTTACCCCATTCTCAACATTATCCTCAACCACCGGAAGGCCGCCCAACTTGCTGTTAAGATGTTTAATGATGCCCTCAACCTGGGTATCTTCCCTTCCAGCTGGTTGCAAACCTGCATTTGTTTACTACCCAAGTCTGGCGACCTCTCCAACCTCAAGAATTGGCGTCCCCTTTCTTTGATTTGCTGTGATGCCAAGATCTTCACACGATTGCTTAATCAACGCCTTATGCCTTTCATGAACAAGATCATATGCCTCCAACAATCTGGATTCATGCCTGGTCACTTTATCGTTGATAATGGTATGATTCTCAACAACACTTGTCTCATTGCTGCTGAAACTTCATCGGACAGTATTGCACTGCTCTTGGATCAAGAGAAAGCGTATGATCGCATCCACCCTGATTACCTTTGGTCGGTGATGCACCGATTTAACCTTCCTACTAACATTATCCATTCCTTAATGAACCTTCTCTTCTCTACGCAAATTCACATCAACATTAACGGCCACATATCCACCTCGTCCATCACCCAACAACGTGGTATCCGCCAAGGGGATCCCATCTCACCACTCCTTTTCAACATTGCTTTTGATCCATTCCTTCGCTCCATTCAACAAGATCCTCAGTTTACTGGCTTCAACCTGCATACTGAAGCTCCATCTCCTACTAATCATACTACATCTGACGATATTTCAGTTCCTATGCAACAATTATTTCCGGACATTGACGGCCTTGCTGTCAGTCCTGATACTCCTGCTTCTCCAGTTTCTCCCTCCTCTACACCTCTGGCGGTAAAAATCCTGGCATATGCGGATGATACCTTGGTATATCTCCATGATACGCAGGACTTTCATCGCTTGCAGACCGCCATCACCATGTATATGAAAGCTTCTAACGCATTATTGAACTATCACAAGACCGTAGCTACATCTCTCTCAGGTAAACCTTCAGCAGCTTGGTAAGCCTTACTCACAACCTATGGCATAACCGCCTGGCATCATGATCGAACATCCGCCACTCCCCTCATTTATCTCGGTTATCCCATCTGTTCCAGCATTACTCAACGCAATGTTGCCTTTCAAAACCTATATGACTCCATCCGAAATGCCATTGCTCTTCACTCACAACGCAACTTATCCATCCGCGGCCGTACTACCATTCTCAATTCACTTATTTACTCCAAATTATCGCATGTTCTACGCCTCACGACATTTACCAAGGCCCAGTTGCTCTCTTTACGAAGCCTGGGCACCTCCTTTATTAATTTTCGCATTTCCCCTAGACTCTCTTTTGCTACTCTCTCTTTACCTCGGTCAGCCGGCGGTTTGGGGCTCCTAGATCCTCTTTCTCAACAACAGACTCTACAATGGTACTGGGTCTGCCCGCTATTACTTCAATATCTTGCTTCTCCGGCCTTCCCCAAGTACACCACTCCTTCGCTCTCTGTTTTAACTTATACTCTTTCCTGGTGCTACTACTCCACCGTCTTGCCTCATTTCTTCTACTATCTCTTGTTTCCTTATGCTCGCCATCGGTCGTGGTTTCCTCAAAGCCCATCCCGTCGACACAGTTATCTCAATCCAATCACTAATCTTCAGTCCTGTTTGTCACTTTTCCAGATAACAGAGCGTCATAACTTATATGTTGATGCTGTTACTTGCTACTTATTTCCTCTCTATGATATTCTTTTACATTCACCACCTACTACTAATACTCTTTATTCATCTAGCTTTATACCACCGAATCTTCTCTTAGACGGCTCCAACGTTGCAAAGAAGCTTCTTGTAAGCGACATTTTCCAGTTAGATGCTGATCTTCAGGTGCTTCGTGTTCGTTCTTCCTTCCAATTCGCTAACCATCCTATTGTCTCCCAACGTGTTGCTGATTTCATCAATTCTCGTCAACTGCTATTCCAACCTTTCTTTGCACAGCAATGCTTCATTGCTCCCCGTCCAGCCCTAGATCCTCATCAACTTTCCTCTCTGCGGGCGTTTTGCCGTAGCATTTTCGTCCCTCCTTCTTCCTCGTCTTCGCGTAGTCGGTTGCCACTCAATAGCATCCGCTTCTTTAAAAAGCTACGCCATAACCTGCCCTCTTCCTCCTTCTCTCTTTCTCCTCTCCAACCTCCTCAATGGCGCTCATTTTGGACACTCGCAATCCCCCTTGCTGCTCGCACGGTCTGGTACCGGGCTATATATGAAAAAATTCCCACCAGAGCCCTCCTACATCTACGCATTCCTGACAATCACCCTTCTCGCCGCTGTACAATCTGCCCTGCCTCTCCCACGGAGGATATCACACATGCTCTGTTCTCCTGCCCTCCCAAGTTGCTGGTCTGGCGATACATGTATCACACCTATCTTTCTGCTTCTCCATCAATCTATGATGTTGATCTGATTCATTTCCTCCAACAAACTTTACTCTGTTCCTCCCCTCTTCTTGATCGTGATCCCTCTCTCTCGTTCAATGAACTCTCTATTCCTTAACTATTCGCAACTACTCTTTTGACAATTTGGCAAGCGCATTGGCGCTGGACCTTCGACCGAACCCCGTTCATCGCTGACACCGTTCAACTTTGCCTTGCTCGTTCTCTTGCTCGTTTGGATCCCGAGTTAAATCTTGATTCGTAAGTATTCAGTTTTACCTTTTCGTTCATTCTTCTGTCACCTTTTTTTTTCCTACCTATTTTCCATCCGATCCTTTGACTCTATATCCAGTCTTTTCTATCCCTCAGCACGACATTCAAAGGTCTTAAAATAAAAAAATGGAGCTTGACTCCCCTACAAAAAAAAAAATGCTTCCTTAAGCTTTCCTGGAGTACTTTTCAAGGTGTATCCAATGGTACTAAGTAAAATAGATGATTTGAATGAACTTATCAAATGATTTATGAAAATATGAAAAGAGGTTTCTGGCGAAAATGTTGAGATTTTACATACCAAAGTCCCACAAAGATGATTTTAGAGGTTGCTTTGGATTGATAGAAACATTTTGATTCAAGAAATACCATAGTAAAAGTCTCCATTTTCAAGGTGAAAAACACGATCGCTTCATTTTCGATGAAAACCATGAGGCGTACCTCATGCTTTTTGGACATGTTTTTCAGGTACTCAAAAAGTTGAGTAAAGGTCTCGACTTGAATGCATCCAGATTTTGCTGTATTTTGTATAATCTTGAACAGTAAGAGGCAATGTGATTATGCTGCTTGCCTGTATATAATTTCTTATAGCTAATACAGACATGGTGCCTCGTAAAGGGGCCAGATCCACAGTCGTAGGCTGTTTATAGAGGGTTCTCTCATAAGAGCGAAAGGTTAAAAAGTGGAATACCATAAGGGTTCGAGCGACGCCTCCGCTACTAAACCCAGGGCACCTGTTTGGGCATTCTATTCCTGTTCTGTACCTGAAGGGTATAACTCGAGAGTAAGACAATATGTATTTGTCAAGATAGATCAAGATCTACACGAGAGCATATCCCAAGGGCCCAAACTAATTAATTTTAGCTGTAAATGCTTTTATTAACTGAAGTTCAGGGGATAATCTAAAAAGTAGAATATAGGAGCCAAAAAGACATTTCTGAATGCTGCACCTCCGTTTTTTTTTCTGTTGAGGTATGGTACTACATGTTTGCGCATTTTTTGATCAAGCATTCCCTGCTTTTCTTCCGTCTTTTGTTTCATTCATAAAATAGCATGCTTGCAGAAGCAACAACAGCAAAAGTAGCCTCGACTACAGTCATTAGAAAAGACGAATGTGAATGTTACAAGGTCATACAGCCTCAGCATCCCCATCAATGTCAACTTTGCCACAGAAAGATCAGCGCTTGTCTGTATACAAACGAGCTTCAACACAAGATCACACTGCAAGCCTACGAGATCAATCAACTAAAGAAGGAATTGCATGCATATGAACTCGAAAAACGAAAGCAGGATTTGGATTTTCAGACACTCAACAGCAAATACATAGCAAGTTTAGATACCATGACCGATATACAGTTTCAAAAAGAACAGGCAGACCGGGAATTGGAAGAACTCAGTGCTCGTTTGTTTGAAGAGGCTAATTGTATGGTGGCGAGCGAGAAGAAAAAGAGAGTGCAACTTCAAAGCAAGCTTGATGCAACCGAAGATCAGTTGCTGAATGAACGAAATCAATTGCAAGAGCTGAAATCTCGCATGGAAAGCCTGCTCCAGCCAACAATCCGTGTCGCAAGTAGCACAAGTACGCCGTTTAATGTAGAATATACTGCAAACTATCGCAATGCAAGCAACAATACTTCAAGAAAGATTGCATACACAAATTGTAGACTGAGCAATGTTGCGACCGACAGCAATAGCATCACAGATAGCATCGCACAAAACAAATCGGCTATCAGTAAACGACGAAACACAGTTGCCAGTTCTATTCTGTTAGCCGCCATGTCGCCTGTTTCTCTCCCGCCCATTACTTTTACAAATAAGCACACACCAATGACATTTGACTTTAAGGTAACTCAGGCACACATGTTCAGATCATTCCTTGATTTGTATGGCAACAGTAGCGAGACCAGCAAGCGCATCAATAGAGCCTCCTCCTATTTCGACAGCGAAAGCGAAGAAGAGGAAACAGAGAAAGTTCAAGATATCTTATCAATTGAAAATAGCAACCACAGTTCATTCTTTTACTATACGCATCCACAAATCGTTTTACCGCCAGCACAACAGAGTGAATACATCATGCAATGTGAGAAAGAAGACATAGAGCCTTGTCTCGGCTTTGGAAACCCAGAATCTCGCATGTGTGTTAAGGTGATGATGGAATATATGCTGCATAAGCCCTGTTTTATCGAGCACATTACGTTAGATGTAGCGAGAAATATTCCGCCACCTACGAACGCCATCTCATCTGCATACTACCGTCCCTTATGGGAAAGGTGGTCCGTCAATACTTACTATTCTGCGACGTCCGCAACAACATCTACACTATCAAACTTGCCTGAAACTAAACAGCTAGAGTGCGCATCATGTGGAAGGAAAACTAATCTCAAACAGCCATCTACACAAAAATTTTATCGTTTTCGGCTTGTTGAGGAGGACGATTGGCTTCTGATAGACCACGATTGTCGTAACAGACTTGTTGCAGTTTGCGATTTCTACAGTTTTATCAGAAATATCCAATTGGGACTCTACCAAAATCGGTCCTTCCATGATTTATACCAAGAAAATGTACAGTTAAGGTTGAAAATGTTTTATTCACGGTAAGTTTACACAAGGGCATGGTACAAGTGACATAGATGATTCATCGATTTTCTTTAGAATGGGAGCCATATAAAATTACATACATAAAAAGGGCATATACAAATTAAAAGGGAGGAGGTAATTCATAAAGTGGATGTGCTAGTTGCTGTTGTTATTTGTATATATGATATTAGTGTGTGATTGGGATCCTAGCGAAAGAGAGAGAGAGAGAGAGAGAGAATACAGGAACTTACATGTCCTGGCTAACAATCTCTGTAATGACGAGACATGTTACTTGATGTAATCCATATTCAGGAGTGCAGTGGTTGCAGTGAGTGATGGGGAATAATCCACCTGCTAGCACAATGGCAGCATCACCCAACGGTACATTGGCGGTATCCAAGAGCTCCTCAGTAGTAGGCATTGGAGCATGTAAAGTGTTGATAGTGGTAGTTACAGATGTTAGTGCTGCAGTCAGCAGACTGTGATAGTTGGGTGTGGATGGAGCAGGCAGCAGCATTCGCTGTCTGTTGACTGCAGGCTGTTGCTGTTCTGTAGTAGGGCGATTTGATAGGTATTCTCTTTCAATGCAGCGATTCTGGTGGGCGGTGAAACCCGCATTTCGAAAGCCTCTTTGATCGTATTTGGGAAACTCCTTTTGACAAATTTTGCATTGCAAGAAGCTCATTTCCTTTGACATTTCTTGAATTTGTAAGGTTAGCATTTTAACATTCAAAGTTTTTCAGAAAGTTGCAAAAGAATCTAATCTTTTATGCTTCCTTTTTATTTCTTTTTTTCCTGTTTGGATACGTGATGTATTCAAACAATGGCAATGAGTGAACAATGGAAAATTATCAATAGGCTTATTTCGCTTGTTCTCTGCTTGAATGAACAAGCATGTCAAATGCAACTGACACTTGGGTGTTGGGTCCAGATGATGCAATGAGAAGAAAACAGCAGCTTGGATCAAACCATACCCAATGTTGACATGTGCCTGAATTTATCTGATCCCACTCCTATTCCTTCGCACTGTCCCAACCCTTTCCCCTCCCCTCCCCCCCCCCTTTCAAGACCATAAACAATCAACTAAAGTCATACCATTGTTTGCACCCAATGCTAAAAATAAGGCCCAACACAACCACAATGATTATATAAAAAAGCGGCGTCTAAGTGGTTTATAGTATATACGGAATATGTATAAAATGAGGTGGGCTAATAATACAAATAATAATAGAAATGATAATAATAATAATAATAATAATCTACCATCCATTTTCAGCATTTTTAGTGCGAAGATACTCAATGATCTTGTTTCCAGTTTGATCCTCTCGAAGATGGATCATATAAACAATACTTGTTTTAGCCACCTCGTCAGTTAACAGAAAACTGATTCTCTTTGAACTGATTTTTTCCACATTGCCACTCTTGACGATAGCACTGACCAACTTGCTCTTGTCGTTTTCAATCTGAATCATCATGCGCATACTGGGCGATTGTTGTGAGATACGCATCGTCACATTGCCAAAGGTGCTCCAGTTGGATGTCTCGTTCTTGACGAATAGTTTGGCTTTGCATTGCATCACAGGCTTCAGTGTTTGGGGCACGTTGATATTGTCCACCACTTCAGGCTCATCCATCAAAGGCTCTTCTATCTGCTGCTGCTGCATAGTGATAATGTTGGAATCCTGGTGTGCTTTGTGCAAAATGTTGGCAAACACAGTGGCATCTTGAGGATGTGCAAAATGGATCAAATAGTTCTCTTTCTTGGTGCCCATATAAAGCGAGATATTGACATCACTGGGTGATGGCTGTCTGATCACCGTGTTGGGCAGAATCCATGCATTCAGGTAAAGTTGGCCAGTGTTCTGCAACTGCACAGCAACACACGTACGATTGCTATGTGTCAATCTCACTTGCAATAAGCACTGTCCATCTGCAGCATACCACGACTGGTTGTTCCAATGAAATACATCACACTGACTACTGCTGTATAGAATTTGACGCACATCGTTGCCTGGGTTGTACATGTTGGGACTATGAGGAGGCGATCCAAAGTCTTCCACTGAATTCATTTGGCGTGGAGCCAGAGAAGGCGATGGGGAGTTGAATCTTCCAGGAGGTTGTTGCAATCGAGGAGAGGAGGGCTGGGCTCCTGGTGGTGGTGGTCTTCTGTTATTACCTGCGTTTGCTAAAATGGGAGATGCTCCTCCTCCATTCATGGGTCTATATTGATGAGGTGGAGGCTGTTGCTGAAACTGCTGTTGCTGTGGAGGAGGTGAGTTCATGGGTCTGGCATTGTAGCCATACTGATTCTGAGGTGGTTGGTTGTTCATCATCATTTGAGGTCGGGGTTGAGGTTGAGGTTGACCAGGCAATGGCTTGAGTTGCTGCTGTTGATTGGGATAGTTGTTGTTCTGCGTCATAGGAGGTCTTTGCTGCTGGTATGGAGGTTGTTGCTGCTGCTGTTGCTGTGCTTGGCCTCTGATTGAGGAAGACCGAGGCAATTGCTGCTGCTGTTGAGATGGAGCAGAATCACCTCTTGGTTGCATGGCGGGACGAGCCATGCCATTGTTAGCCACAGGCTGAAATCGACTCTTGTCATTCTGTTGTTGTGTTTTGTTGGACGATGAGAGGTAATCATCCGTATTTTGAGTTACTGCTTGCATCATCTCTGGCAAAACGACTCTTTGCACCTCCACTGCTCTGGGAGAAGCAGGCTTACCACCATCCATCATGTTGTTCTTGGGAGCACCATTGGGAGAAGCAGGCAAAGGGTTGATCTTGTTGCTGTTGTTATGATAGTTCATGTTTGGAGTAGTAGAAGAGGAAGAAGAAGCAACAGCAGCAGAGGATGGAGCCGACGAGTTATTTAATTGATTTGATTGCGGAATAGGAGGTGATATCGACATGGTTGACATTTGGGCAGTAGGCGGTTGAATGTATGTCATTTGAACATGGGAGGAGTCTTTAACTGGTCCATGAACAGGTTGCTGTTTATTAGGAGGGGCAGGAGGAAGCGTCTCGTTCACGTTTGATCTGTCTTTATTTGGTGGCGTAGGTTCATTGGTAGCAGGCACATTGTTGTGTATGTGCACCTGTGACACATTGGGAATATGAGGCAGTATCTTGACAGATTGTGGCATGGGCTCATGCTGCTGCTGCTTGGTCATACCAGAAGTAGGCAATGGAGGCGTAGAAAACTTGGAGGTCGTATCATGGTCGTCTTGGTGGTCATAGAAATGATTGTCATAGATGTCCATGATGGTGTCTCTTGATTTGCCCTGATGCCGATTCGCATGCGTGATGTCTTCCTCGCCTTCTTCATCGGAGCTCTCCAAAGGTGATACACCACCGTTCTCTGAATAAAAAGTAAAGATGTCTGTGTTGCGAATACTGGCCTTGTTGATGCTGCTGCCATTACTATCAGGCATAGGAGGCAGTTGGATGCCATAGTTCTTGGCTGCAGATGAGGACGCCAGCATCTTTTTCTGAGCAGCCACACTCAATGTCCTGGGAGTCAAAATCAATGATTTGGGAGCATCAGGTTCAACACCAATCCACGTGCTTCTAATTTCCTTTGAATCTGCCCGCATAATCAAATGCTTTTTACCCAATACAGAAAATTGAATGATGTATTCACCCACAATTTCTCGATCCAATGCATCTGCCTTGACCGTAATATCACCAATGGGGATCGCAGGGTACATGAGCAAGTACTGGCTTGAGGACAATTCCCGGGCAATGACCAGCACCTCGGTCGTCAGCACCAGACACACACGGATCGAGGGTCCATTCTCGCTGGGCAGCATGACAAAGCTGTCTCTCATGACGAGTTGAGCGCCTGGGTGCGAGATGCGTAATTGGTAGTTCTAAATAGACGATTGTATATTAATACTTCACGTGTATCTATTAATAGAATATTCCACTTCATACTATTTGTGTACCACTGTAGAGATCGGCAGTTCTGGAGCAATCCACCTGGCGTTCAAATGTTGTCAAATCAGAGTTTGCAGTGAAATTTGTCTGGATGAAGGGTAAATTGGAGTCCTTGTAGTTGACATTCACGCTGTTGTTGCCCTTTGACATGATCATGATCATGTCGATTCGCTTGTTGGCACTAGTCAGCAGCTTGTGGTCTGCTCTACCAGCGTCTGTGCCTTCTAATAACCGGCTGTAGAGTCCCTTGTAGTATTTCAGCTGCTGGATGGGTGCATTGAATAAGGACTCCAGGTTGATTTCATACGATACATTGGCAGACAAGTTTTGCAGCAGTTGCTGGATAGACGGGTTGCGCAGAATATCGCTTCGTTGATTTAAATTTGGGATGAAACTTCGAGAATAGTTGGCATAGGGGACCTCTAAATCATTTACCCATTGCATTAAAGCATCTCCAAGCTCGCTGATAGTCTGAGGATTGGCTGCGATTCGAGTTAATTTCATACAGAATCTCTTGTTCACCTTGAGAATGTCGTGAATGTACTTGAGCAGCTCAGAGAAATCAGGGGCAGCAGATGTCATTTGTTTCATCCAAATGGGTGCAATTTGCTGTATCCAATTCCTTGTTAATGAGTGTATATCAATACAATGTCCACTATCTGTTACTTACAGAGTCAATCATCTTTAATGTCTCCATATATGCCTGTTCTGTTTCAATCAGCTCGGTCAGTGGATTTCCGCTGCCTTTTCTAGTAGAATCATGAGAGTACTGAGAGGAGGGCGTTGATAGCCCTGGGCTTGCTGAAAAAGCACTTGCTGAGGAAGTTGCAGAAGAAGAAGAGGCGAATGTAGATGCCGACAACATGTTTTAACAATAGTAAAAAGGAATGAATATAGTTTGAAAAGGATAGTATAACTGTTTGATGAAGGAACGTATTGATATAAAGTTAAAAAAAAAAGACAATCAGGTTATAAGGTTGACATAGAGTTGTTTGCTAGCAATAAGAGAGAAAGAAAAGAGAGGGAAAAAGCAGAGTAACAGAGCCTAGAAAAAGAAAGATTCATATATCATGTAGCACAATAGGGATTTGCCTTGTACAAGGTGAGATTGATACAAGCAATTAGACTCCTTTTCTCTTTCTTTTGCTCTATTTATTCCTATCCCTTTACGATCTTTCTCTTACTATTGCGATCTTGACTCTGGATGGGCCATGACCAAATGGTCAACTGCGGTGTCCTGGCTAGATCTGGTTCCTGACTCTTGCTCTTCGTTCGACATGACAACTCCGTCAAATCATTATTAGGGTTGCACCACTGTATTACACACACCAATCACCACATTGCTCTATTGTATTCTGTATGAACTTGTTAGGCAACTGGATCCTATTAGGCCATGAAGTAAAGCATTCACTCGGCGCAATTTTTTTTTTGGGATCTGGCTAGCATGTTGCTATTGAAGGCAGGCTCTCAGCATGTCCAGCGAGCAAGTATGCCTATACAGACTGACAATACGCATATTTTAGGCGGAAATAACCTTAAATGGGCATAGTGGATGCTTTTCTACCCATTGGTGCCAGTGCAGACGCACAGGGAAATGATAAAACTTCGATGAATCCAGGCACTGTATCTGCAAACTGTATATCAACTTAGTGAGAGCGTAACGTTTGCTACGATCGTTTTAACCATATAAAGCAATTAGTATATACAACAAACACAATCTATGCATAAACTTTGGCTCATCCATTGTAGTTATTAGACTCTGAAGTTTAAGCTCTTTGTCTATTAGTGCCTATATATAGACAGCATCGTTTAAATATGCAAACTAAAAAAAAAAAAAAAAAAAAAAAAAAAAAAAAAAAAAAAAAAAAAAAAAAGTTAAATTAATTACTATAACACTCATCTGTCAAAACATACCAAACGATAAGTTAGATTTGTTTATACTTTCTCTCTCGCAAAAAATATAGGGCCAATAATCTTAATTAAATCTGTTTTCGTATATATGAACTGTCTCTTGCCAAAAAAAGAAGCTTCTTTTCCTATTCTTTTTTCCAAAAATCCAAATCACTAGCAATTGAAGCAACGACGATATCAAAGCGTCGTGATAAGTTTCTAGGGATTGCTCTCATCATAGCAATATCTAGTGGTCATGCTTTGGCCTATCAAGAGTTTGAACCGCATCAGTCTTACAGCCACAATGAAGGTAGCAGATCTTATAAAGGAAGTGGCTTGATTACAAGATGTGAAGCTCCAGGTACGGGCGGTTTCTTTATATCAAAAGACAAATATCCATACGCTGGTGCTGCTGCTGCCTGTACTGCCTTGGGTGGCTCCCTGGCTGATATTAGCAATCAGAATTTCTTGCTCGCTTCTGATCTTGTATTGACATGTACTGGTCCAAATCAAAGAGCTTGGGTTGGGTAGGTTTATATGCTTCTTTGAAGTGGTACATGCCATCCTAACTTGCCTCAAAACATTGCTAGATCTTGGGACTACAACGAGAATGGTATCCCTGTAAAGAATAGCCAGGATTATTTGTCCATTTTTGTTGGTAGCATTGGATCCGGTGGTGGCATTGAGAATATGTGTCCTGGTGACAGACCTGTTTTATGTCAGCTTCATCAATCGACTGTACCTCACAATTCGCTATACTCTCCATCTGTTCCTCAGTATGCCTATCACACTGCTGTGGCCACCAATGTTCCTGTGCATGGCGCTCGCCCGCATGAAGATCACCTTCCTTACCCTGGTGGCCCTGCCTTGTACCCCCTATTGTCAATCACCCTAAACCTCCTCATCAAGGCGGTTATCCTCCATACCAAGGCGGTGGAGGGTTTCAAGGACCTCATCGTGAATATCCTCAGGGGCCAAACGGCGGTTATCCAGGCGGTGTGTATCCTGGCGGTCCTGACTATGGCAACGGCGGCTATCCATATGGCTACCCCAACAATGGCTATCCTTACAATGGCTACGGAGGTAAAAATGGACACAAGGGATCGAACGGTGGTGATAGAACAGTTACATTGTTATCGACAACAACGGTCAATGGCCTTGTCACTACGTTGACACTCTCTGGTATTGAAACCGCCGTTATCGTGGAGAATACTGCTTCTAGGATTACCTTGGATGCCATTGTCTCTACCATTGCGCTTGAAGGCGTGCCCTCAACTGTCATTAAAATCATTGATGGTGTTCCTGTTACTGTCACTGTAGACGGCATTCCATCTACATCCACTGTCACCATGATTGGCACAAGCACCATCACTGATCTGGAAGTAACGACGTTCACAGAAACAAATACGGAATTAGCAACAGCTACTGAATACGTTACTGTCATTAGCACGTTTATCGATGTGCAGTTTACTACAGATAGGTGACTAATACTATCAAAGATGTGGAGTTGGTCACAGCTACGGTGAACAATACGCTTGTCATCAACAACGCGCTGACAGAGGTTCAATTGCTGACAGTAACTGACACTAGCGTGCTCATTTCTACGCAGCTTGTTACATTGCCACCTTGCCTCGTTACACTTCCACCTAATACGGTCACTCAGAGCATCACACTGGCTCCCAATGTCATTACCTTGCCTGCAAGCACTATCACTCAGTTACAAATTTCATCCATCTCGCTGCCTGCTACAACAATCACATTGCCTTCTGGTACTATCCCTCTGCCTGCTAGTATTGTCACTCTGCCTCGCGATACAGTAACCTTGCCTGCAAATACAGTAACGTTGGAGCCGTCTACCGTTACCCTGTCTATCACTTTGCCTGCGAATACAGTGACACTTCCCATTACCCTGCCTGCCAACACGGTGATATTGACTCCTCCCACTGTTACCCGTCCTGTAACATTGCCTGTGTCGATGGTTACTCTACCTGTAAGCACACTGACTTTACCCATCAGTACCATCACTCAAACACAAGTTTCTTCAATCACCTTACCAGGCACAACCATTACACTCTCGTCAGGAACTGTAACATTGTCACCTAGTGTTGTCACTTTGCCGCCCAACACACTTACTGTGGCCCTAGATCCGGCAACATTGCCGCCAAATACTATCACCCTTCCTGCTGGCACTACCACTATAACTCGGGCCCCTTTAGCAGCTACTACAGTTGCTGCTCCTCCTGCAACAATTACGGCGTCACCTACAACAATTGTTCAATACTCGACGCTTCAAGTAACATCGACCATTGTGCTGCCACCTGTTACCTCGACAGCGATTCAGTTTGCCATCAGACGACTGTTGAGACGCCTGATCCTACTATAACAGAGGTTGTAACAAGAACTGTTACGCAAGCAATTACAGTATTCCAAACCATGGGTCCAACAGCTACGCCCAAGCCTGTCGTAACATATACGTATACTACTCCAACCGTTACTTATGCTGGAGGCTTCAAGTTCCCCTTTTCTATTCCAAACTTCCATGGTGCTGGTACATACACGCTTAGCATTGGTTCAGTAATCACTGTCAACATAGACGGCTCTTATGGATTTACATCGGGTGGACTTCCTTCAGTTTCAGGCGGTGGAAGCATAACATTTGCGTTCCCATTCACTATTCCCAACTTTGCTGGACCTAGCTCCTACACAGTTATTCCTGGTAACGTGGTTTCGGTTGGTTCGAATGGTGCTTTCTCGTTCCTTACTAGAGGCAATGGAAATGTTGCTGGAACAGTCTTGTTGCCTGGCATCTCACTGCCGACTATTACTCTTGCAGGAGGTATCACACTGCCAAGCTACAGTGGCCCTGGAATCTATACATACTCGCCCGGCAATGTTGTATCTATTGGTGTTGGTGGAGGTGTTACATGGATTCAAGGTGGACCTCAAACTACTTCAGGCGGTGGCTTCACTTTCCCTACTTTCTCGTTCCCAGTTATTACCTTCCCCAGTATCACCCTTCCAACTTTGAATCTGGCTCCTTTGAACCTCGGTGGTGGCTTTACAGTCAATGGGTACAATGGTCCTGGAACCTATACTATCAGTCCAGGTAATGTGGTATCTGTTGGTGCAAACGGTGCCTAATTATAGTGGTCCTGGTATTTACATTTATTCTCCTGGCAATGTTGTGTCTATTGGTTTGTTTGGTGGCGTTACATGGATTCAAGGCGGTCCTTCCACTGCTCCAGGTGGTGGCTTTACGTTCTCTACAATTTCATTCCCTTCGTTTGGCTTCCCAAGTGCAACATCTGTACCAGCCGGTATCACTTTTCCTAGCATCACACTACCCACATTGAATCTGCCAACCATTAGTTTGGGCAATAACTTGAAGATTTCGGCATACACTGGTGCAGGTATCTACACAGTTGCTCCAGGCGTTTCTATTTCAGTAGGAGCAAATGGTGTTCGCACGTATCTTGGCAATAGTGGACCAAGTGGAAGCACTGGCAGTAGTCTGACGCTTCTTGCGCTGGTCTTGCCAACCATTACGCTTAGTGGTGGAATTCCTGTTCCTAACTTTAGTGGTCCTGGTCTGTATACTATATTTCCTGGTAATGTCGTGTCGATTGGTGCGTTTGGTGCAGTTACTTGGGTGCAAGGTGGTCCTCAATCTCTCGCTGGTAGTGGCTTCACTATTCCAGGATTCACTTTCCCTACGGCAACAGCATCTGCTACAGCAGTTCCTCCTGGCTCTACAGTGATTGGTGATGTCACGTTCAAGTTTCCCTTCAACATTCCTGGATTCTATGGCCCAGGCATCTACATTTTGAGTATTGGTAACGTTGTCCAAATCAACAATGACGGCACCTACGTCTTTATCTCGGGTGGGCCTCCAGTGAGCTCGACGACTGCATCTCCCAGCGTAAGTTTGAGTCAGCCTGTGGTATATCCAGTGACATTCCCATCTATCGGTTTGCCTATTGTCACCTTTCCTACTGTCAACGTTCCTGGTGGATCTGCTATCCCTGGATTCACGGGCGGTGGTGTTTACTCAGTTGGATTCAATGTCGTTTCTGTTAATACTGATGGTGCTTATACCTACCTCTCCGGTAATGGGTTTTTTTAACATCAATAATGGCAACCTGAATCTTCCACAGTTTAGCTTCCCAACATTGACGCTGGCTGGTGGAGTGAAGGTTCTTCAATACACTGGCCCTGGCATCTACACCATCTCTCCAGGTAACCAAATTTCCATTGATGCTAGTGGTGGCGTTCGCTGGATCTTGGGTGGACCTCAGTCTATCAGTCTTCAACCAACAGTGGCTCCTCCAGTAACGTATGCGACGGAAGTATCTTTGCCAACTATCACCTACCCCGGACTAGATCTTCCTACTGGAGGTAGAATTGCAACTTACTCAGGCCCTGGTCTCTATACACTGAACGCTAATACGGTTATGTCTTTGGATGCTAGTGGTTCCTACTCTTACACCCTTGGTAGCAGCTTCTTTGGCATTAAAGCTGGGAATGTGAGACTTCCTACTTTGTCATTCCCTCCTATCAGTCTCCCTGGAAACTTCATTGTAGCTACATTTACAGGTCCTGGTACTTACACCGTCAGTCCTGACAACACAATGTACATTAACGGAGCAGGCATTTTACAATGGATTCAAGGTGGCCCCAATACTCCTACTGTGACAGCAGCTCCAACTTCTGCCACTGCTCAAGCATCTGCCCAAGGTTTGACAACAACGATTGGCGGTACCACTTTCAGCTTTCCTTTCAATATTCCTGGATTCTATGGTCCTGGTGTCTACATTCTCTCTGTAGGCAACGTTGTTCAAGTAAATGCTGATGGTGCCCACTCATTCATCTCTGGATCTGCTCCTGTCATCACCAAGGCAGCCACAAAACTCATGATGGCAGCCTTACCTAGTCAACAAGTGTCAGCATCTCAATCACAATCTGCCCCAAGTGAAGGATTTGTACTTCCGGGCTTCTCTTTTTCTGCGTTTTCTCGAAGAGCTGCACCATCAAACCATTATCACGATTCATCATTTAGCAACGGCGCATCATTAAGCTTTCATCAAGACGCAGCAAGCGAATCCCAATCCGCAGGATTCTTGGATCATATTCTTGCTCTTTTTTAGACATTTAAATCATTACCAAAACCCATATATTATCATCAATAAACATACCAGCTTAAAGTGCATGTCAAATTTACATCATTACTTCCCTCAATGCACGATGTCTAGATCAGAATAGGTGGCCCTTGACCTTTGCTTACATAAGTGTATAGTTTATCCAGGTGAACAAAAAAAAAGGGTTTAAATAAAATACCGAGCTCAACTGATCTTTAAAACAATCTTGTTTATCTTTAATCTCATGTTCCATGGAGGTAAGAGGTTATTTCAATGGCTATTTCATTGCCATCTTAATTTGCATTCTACCAAAATTTGACCAGCACAATGGAGCAGGGCCTGTACGTGTATTGATTGCAATGCTCCCAGCATTCATGGCTTTTCAGTAAGCGCTTTCACTTGATGAAGACACATCCATCATCATGTACATCAGTGACTGCATGTGTCAAACATCACCATGATCCGTTCCAAGATTACGATAGAAATGGGCTCATATATCTCAGTCTTGTGTATGGTATAAAAGAGAAGAGAGCTTTCCAACCTGTTGTTTTTTTCCCTGTTTTCCAATTCGAAATAAACAGCACCTTATAAACATGTCTGAAAATAAGCAACTTCGTATGGTCATCATGGGCCCTCCTGGCGCTGGTAAGGGTACTCAAGCTCCTGCCATTCAAAAAAAATTCAATGTCGCCCATTTGGCTACTGGCGACATGCTCAGAGCTGCTGTTGCCGCCAAAACCTCATATGGTGTTGAAGCCAAGAAACTCATGGATGCTGGCGCTCTTGTACCTGATGAGATTGTTGTCGGTTTGATTGAAGAAAACTTGAACAACAACCCTCAATGCGCTAATGGGTAAGTAAAAGAAAACAGCACGGTATATATGGCGTCTGAATAATGTGATATGCTACTAGCTTTATCCTTGATGGCTTCCCTCGTAACGTTGCTCAAGCCGAGAAGCTGGATACTATGCTTAAGGCCATGAACAAGCCCTTGAACAATGTCATTGAGTTGGTCGTTGATGACAATCTTCTCGTTGATCGTATCTGTGGCCGTCTTGTCCATCCTGCCTCTGGTAGATCTTATCATAAAGTCTTCAAGTAAGTTTCACATGTCTCTCATTGACTGAGATATAAACTGATTAACGTAATCTACTTTTCATTTAGCCCTCCCAAGGTGTCCATGACTGACGATGTTACTGGTGAACCTCTCATTCAACGTTCTGATGACAATGAGGATACGCTCAAGAACCGTCTTCAAGCTTTCCACGATCAAACTGCTCCTGTTGCCAAGTACTACAAGAAGCAAGGCATCTGGTATGGTGTTGACGCCGCTCAAACTCCTGAGGCTGTTTGGGATTCTATCAATGCCATCTTTGACAAGACCCTTTGTTAAATCATTAAACATTTATCATTCCATCTAATTTATGTATTTAACCAGAAACACATTAGCATATTTCATCTCTCTCTGCAACTCATATTATTGTACAAAATAAAGACATTTCGTTTTATTCTATCATTATCGTTTCGTTGCTATGGATACACAGCTTCTGTCTAATGCTCGGATGCCAGGCCCTGGATACTGAACTATCGTGATGAGTTTGAATCCATAACTCATGAGCTATCCCCTCCAACTCTTGGATCTTGAAATGTACTACCTATCCGATGCTATTTGCAAGGCAAACTCTTGATATACCCTATATACTCCTATCGATTTCTCATTACACAAAGCAATTTCACAAATGCATTGATCGTGTAACATCTTCTACGATATGGTTTGTGACGATATTGTTGTGCACCCATCGTGAGAGCTAAATTTTTTCTCCCTCTCACCCTGCGAATTCAAAAGGTTTTCTTCAATCACCTTTCACACACACACACGAAACATGACTCTCATCATCACTGAAACATTGACTACTGAAAAGCTCGGTAAAGTCTTCGATCATGCTATTCTTCGCCCAGATCAAACTACCCAAGATGTCATTGAAGGCTGCAAAGTAGCCAAGGAATACAACCTCGCTTCTGTCTGCGTCAAGCCTTGCGATGTCGCTCAAGCTTACGATTTACTCAAGGACACCGATGTTATGGTTGGTACTGTCATCTCCTTTCCTCACGGTAACTCCACTACCGAAGCCAAGATCACAGAGGCTTTGCAAGCATTGGAAGACGGTGCTATTGAGTTGGATGTGGTGCTTAACATTGGCCACTTGAAATCAGGCAACTACCAGGAGGTTGAACAAGAGCTCAAGCAAATCATTACCATGTCCAAGACAAAGAAATCTGATGTCAGTGTCAAAATCATCTTTGAAACCGCCTATCTTAGCAACGAGGAAATTGTAAAGGCTTGTGAGATCTCAAAGGCTGCTGGTGCACATTTTGTCAAGACATCTACTGGCTTTGCCTCTGCTGGTGCTACCTATGAACACATCGAGTTGATGAGAAACAATGTGCCCGAGTCGATGGAAGTCAAGGCTTCTGGTGGTATCAAAACCTTGGAGCAAGTACTCAAGTTCCTCGAATTAGGTGCTACTCGTATCGGATCTTCTTCCTCAGGGCAGATTGTGGAAGAGTTCAAAAAGATCCAAACAGCTTAGGATATCAATGTGAATGATAGTGATTAATAAAAGCAGGTTTTATGAATTCAACTAGATGGGATGCGTATATGTGTTACTTGGTGTTTATCGAGAGAGACTAAAGATCCTCTACTGCTCCTGACCCACTCTCTGTGGAATCATCTGCTTTTCCCTTTTGATGTAATTCAATCCATTCATCCATTAGTTTGACAGCCTCTGCTGGACGTTGCTTGTGACCCATCAAGAATCCTTGAAGATGTGCCATACTGAATACGTTTTCTGGGACCTTGGAAGCAAATAAGGATGGTAGATCAGAGTCCTGAGGTAAATTGGGGTAGAATTTAGTGAATAGTTCGTGTGCTTGTCGTCTTGTTGCATGTCCAAAGTGGATACGAACATCTATGCGACCAGGACGAATCAGAGCATCGTCTAATCTGTCAATGTGGCTATATCAACATGGAATCAGCGTTCTGTCTCTGTTTTGCCCTGAGCAACTTACTTTGTAGTCATACAGAGAATGCGCCCTTCCTGAGCAGCAACACCATCAATTGCATTCAGCAAGCCTGAAAATGTAATGTTGTTTGCACTGACAGCGTCCCCCTTGACTCTTTGATTGAAAGCAGCATCAATGTCTTCTAGCAACAGGATGCATCGACTTGGTGTATCAGACACCAGTTCATTTAAGGTGTCGTCTGTCATGCTCTTGTTGCTCAAATTAACAACGTAAATGTTCAACCCAAGTTCGCCCTAACTTACTATTGAGTCCACTCATCTTTATCTTTCGTGCGTTGCATACTCACAGCCAGAGAATACACGAAACTTGTCTTGCCAGATCCAGGCGTGCCAAACAGCAGGTAACCTCGTCGATAAGGTATTCCTCTATCACTGTACCAGTTTTCCTGGCATAAGAAATCCTTTGCATCTTCCACCATCTTCACCTTGACATTGCTTGGGATGACAATGGTGCTGAGAGGTCGTTTCGGTCTGGATCGAGTTCTTCTCCAGGCACCGTACTGATCTGCTGCAAATACCACTGTGCGGCTCTTGTCTCGGTCGATAAACTTCTTTTGCGCTTCATAGACGAGGTTTTTCAATAGCTCTCGAGACTGACCAAATGTGCTGATCTGGATTCTTTCTAACATGGCGTTAGTGTTGGCAACAGCGGCTGCGGGAGAGGATGTGCCTGGACGCTCTCTTGTCAGCCACACGAGTCGGTTCTTGTAGGTAAAGAAATGCATGCCAGGGGAAGGCAAAAAGTAAACCGGTGGCATGTTGGCATCTAATCCTTCTCCTGGTAAGCGCTGGCCAGCTCGAAGAATGCTAGTGGATACAGAGAAGCGAGAGGTTTTGTGGCTGTAGGGCTGCTCACTCAGCCAGTTGAGGATCCAGCTATGGTGATGATTAGTAAACATTCTGCTGTTTGCTCGCACACGCCCCTCCCCCTTTTTTTTTACCTGTAAGATTCGTCTCTACTATCGAAATCAGCTGTAACGATCGTCTTCTTTTTCAGAATCTCGAGGAAATAGCCACCAAAATACCGAAATCCAGCCAAGGCGCCTACATGGATCTGTCAGCAACGGCTTGTAGTTCGCTTGCTTTTATGCATTACCTCCAATGACTGCCAATTGAAGACCACCCGTAGCTAATCTATAGTATGAATTGAGTCCATCGTAGTTGCACACAGCGTAAAATGATGGCATACTCTCCAATACCCAGTCTTTCCGCTACTATGCCAATGATGGCACCCAGGGTACCAGGATCTGAGGAAGATGAAGGCGGCAATGATGTGTAGTTTCTGGCGGATATGGCATTTGATTTGCGGGTAATTTGAGACACATAGGGTGGCGTCAGGAATGAGCTCCCTCCTGCCAGTCGATTCATTTGTAGAGATGTGATGTATGCAAGTAGAGGAAAAGCACAAATCCACGAGGAAATCAAGCGTTCCACCCACAGGGCTTTTGCAACTCAGTTGTAGGGATGATTTGCTGAGAACGTCATTTGTCAGCTGTTGTGATGAATGCTTTATTTGAAGAGGAATGAGGGGAGAAAGGTCTATACAATGCTACAGGAATAAAAAGAACAAAGAGTATGAAGAAGATTATTTGACAAAGTCTCGCACGGTTTCCTCTGGTTTCAGTTCGTAGTAGATGTTTTGTGCTTTCAGGTACTCGTCGCTCCAAAATTTAGTCAGATGGCGTTGTCCAGAGTCATTCAACAAGGTGACAATGACATGGCCAGGTCCCAATCGCTTGGCTGCTCTGTAAGCTGCCACACAGTTGACAGACGAACTGCTTCCAACAAACAAGCCATCCTCACGCACAAGGTAGCGAGACATTTTGATAGCCTCTTCATCTGTCACACGGTAAGCATCGTCTACTAAATGTCTTCCACGGTCAAAGTTTTGTGTCAATCTGTTGATACCGATACCCTCCACCACTGTATCCACTTGATGTCTCTTGCGAGTACCTTCTTGCTCTGTAGGTGCGTACATAACGTTGTATTTCACCTTGTTGTATAGCCCAGATCCTTGGGGATCCGCTAAAAAGACCTTCATGTCCTTGATGTGTTCCTTTAGGAAGCAGGTAATGCCAGACAGAGTTCCACCTGTACCAGCCCCCAAAACCAAAGCGTCAATCTTGCCCGCAGTTTGTCTGTAAATCTCTGGTCCAGTAAATGTGTAATGTGCTTTGAAATTGGCTTCATTCTCGAATTGATCTGCAAAGTAACCAGTAGCCTCGCCGTCATGGAAGGTTGCTGCTCTCTCTCTGGCCAAATTGACAAACTGCTTCTTGTCAATGATGCTAACAGGCCGTACTTTTTCTACAGTGGCTCCTAATTTCTCCAAAAGCTGGTATTTCTCGATGGCTTGATCATCTGGCATGACAATCCATGCTTTGTAGCCCTTGGCACGAGCAATCATAGCAATAGAGATACCGGTAGATCCAACAGTACCTTCGAAAATTGTGCTGCCAGTGTGAGGTTTGATAAGATGTTGGGCCTCGGCTGTTCTGATCATGTTGAGTGCCACTCTGTCTTTGGAGCTGCCTCCTGGGTTCAAGAACTCTGCTTTGCCCAACACAAGACATCCAGTTGCTTCTGAAAGGCTACGAATCTTCATCAGAGGGGTATTGCCTATCAATCCATCTACACCTTCTACAATGTCTGGTTGCATATCATCAGGAACTTGCTCTTTCTCCTCTTCTTGTTCTGCGTTTGTTGTTATCTTGTCATGTGCCAAATAAGAGAACAATCCAGTAGCTAATACAGTCAAAGCAGAGCCTGTCAGTAGGCCGACCAAAAGGGCTTTATTCGTAGAACAAGATGAAGCCATGTTGATTGTGAAAGAGAGAGAGAAAAAAAGAACTTGTTTGAAGTATTGTGGCTTTTATGCTGAATGGCCAGTGGTTGTCTGGATGCTTTGAATCAGTGGGCGCAACTAGTGACTACCGGCAGCTTATTGATAAAACGGATGGATGGAGCAGAGATCCCATTTTGCTTTTTACACCTTGCGATTTCGTTTGTTCCATCTCTCACAGCAGTTAAAACCTACACCGCGAAAAGAGAACCAAATCAGCCATACAAAGGCTTTCCCAATCAAGATGAGAACAGCGAATTAATGATTGTTTGATTCGAAGTCTACGAAGAGTATGAACAAGTTCAAGCAAATTTATAAGGCTTACGTAAAGAAGGCATACAAGAGCAAAGCAAAAGTAGAATCGAAGTCTATATGTGAAAAGTCGGTGTACTGTAGTTTTACTATGACCAACGGAAGAAAGATTGTTGATGAGGCTACCAACAAAGCACCCCAAAGAATGTTCTTGAAGCTAAAGCGTTCCTCAATCAGAGATCAAAAGCCCTTCCCCAAGAACATAACGCATCTAATTCAATATTTGATATCCTTGACCTATAAGAAGGTTTTACCGTAGAGAGGCGAAGGTGCAAAACCATAGTATTCAAGCAGCAAATTCGGCTTTTCATTTTTATTTAGGCCTACCAACAGCATAACCCTTCAAAATTTGCATGAATTAGCTTTACCAAAATCAATATACCTCCCCCTTCGAATTAGGAATTGCACAGGTTTCTAAGAGTTTTCAGTTACCAAAGGTATGATTCATGCGGTGTGATCAAAAGCTATAAGGCAAAAACATAGCCAAATTTGACAGCTTTCAACCCTTCATATCTTGACATATAAAGCTTTTTGAGCCACTGGAATGCCGTCAAGCAATTGTACTCGAGTAGCAGTAACTTTCTGACACCTTTACTCAACTTTTTGGGGACCAAAAAAATAGGGCCAAAATTGAACCAAAAAGCATGAGGGGTACCTCATGGTTTTCATCAAAAAACAGACGATCGCGTTTTTTGCCTTGATAACAAAGATTTTTACTATGGTATATCTTGAATCAAAATGTTTCTATCGATCCAAAGCAACCTCTGAAATCATCTTTGTAGGGTCTTTATATGTAAAATCTCGACTTTTTGGCCAGAAACCTCATTTCATATTTTCATAAATTACTCAGTAAGTTTATTCAAAACATTTACCTTACTTGGTACCATTGGAAGCGCCTTGAAAAGTACTTTGAGATTGTGTTAGGAAGCAATTTTTTTTGTAGGGGAGTCGAGCTCCAGGTTTTATTTAAAGTCCTTAAAATGTCATGCTGAGGGATAGAAAAGACTGTTGGTGGACCCAATGTCTGCAAAGAAGGGGAATAAGATATTTTTGAATTAAGTTGGGAAAGAAATCTACTGCTAATAAGGTGCGACACCTAGAGCCAAAACAGTCTTGCGGAAATCGTCAAAATATAGATAATGGATAGAGTACAAAACACCAAACGAGGACATCAGTACTACTTCAAAAAATCAAACAACTTGCGTTCACCAGGATTTGAACCGGGATCCTCCCGTTGGCATACGGGAGTTTTACCACTTCGCCCTACCACCAGGGGCTGTGTTAGGAAGCAAAGGATGATCATTACAACTTATATAGGCGAATCTTACAAAATAGTTGAATCAAGTCGAAAAGAGACAATATCTGGCCAATCTTGAACAGAAGAAATGTTCTGGGTTTGAATTAATTTTGGCGGCGGCGGCGGCGGTGGCGCTGCTGAAGGCTAACCCAAATGCCAATGACAATATCAATAATAATGACAGTGATAATGACAATGATGATTGCGATGCTAATTTCTGGAAAATGATATTAGAGAGAATGCTAGGAGAGAAATACATCAAAATCGATAGGGGCGTTGGTCTAATTAGCTGAAGCTGTTTGAGGAATTGTCTGGCTTTCTACTTGATCACTGACCTAGATGGTGCTACAATCATGGTAGATATCCTCTCACTCTCAATTCTCAAGAACATACTAGAAATTAGTTATTTGTTACAACGTTGATAAATTGAAGAGGTTGGTGCTATTACACTCGATTGAATTTGAACCAAGATTTAAAAATTGAAGGCCATTGGACACTGATGAGCTCACTTTAATGGCGAATACTGTAAACTCCAAGCGCATAAAGCAAAATGTCACTTCCTTTTCGCTCATGTAGCCTCCCGCCTAGTCGTGCTTCCGAGACTAAATGACTGTAGATTGCTTTATTCAGTTTATGTATATTATTAAAATAGTAGCATCCCTCTTCTCTTATTAGGCATTTAGTATATATCACAGAATAAAGCACTTGATGCTCGAAATCAGGCACTGTTGTTTCAACTCCCTCTTGCGATATAATGGCTGGCACTAGAAAAAAATTTTCTGCTTGAACAGTTTCTCTTTCATTTTCATGTCTGTACAAGCAACTTCCATCGCCTCATTTGACACAGTTTATAGTGCTGATTCTACCGAGTTTTGTCCTTTTCCAGACCGTGCTCAGTACCTAACCGTAGGCACCTACCAACTGACCGACGAGCAGCAAGAAAATGTCAGAATTCGCAAAGGCAAAACCTACCTCTTTGACGTGACAAAGCAGACTCTTGAACCCAAGCAAGTGATTGAGACACCTGCTGTTCTCGATATGAAATGGAGCCATGCACTGATCAATGACAAGCAATGCCTGGGCATTGTGGATTCCATTGGCGGATTTCATTTATATGGATTTGATCAAGAGGATAATCTGACAGCTGTGGATCATATGCAAGCAACGGACGATGCCAGTGTGTTGTGTCTTTCGTTGGATTGGGCAAGCCGCTTAGACAGATCTGACAAACGAGTAGTTACGTCGCATTCCAATGGTGATATCAACATCTTGGCTCCTGATCAAACTGGTGGATATGCTATTCAGGATCAATGGCACGCACATGATTTGGAAGCCTGGATTGCAGCTTTTGATTATTGGAATACCAATATTGTGTATTCAGGAGCTGATGATGGTTTGTTCAAAGGATGGGACACGCGAACACAGACACCTACATTTACATACAAGCGCCATATGATGGGCGTCACTACGATGCAGTCGAATCCACACAAAGAACATCAGTTAGCGACAGGCAGTTATGATGAGACCATCTATTTTTGGGATACACGATCCTTGAGGCAGCCAGTCAGTACATTTCAAACACCAGGTGGAGGCATTTGGAGATTGAAATGGCATCCTACTCGATCCAACAGATTACTGTCTGCTTCTATGCATGCTGGAGCATTTGTAGTAGATATTGATGATCAGTGTGAAGCCACATTAGCGACAAGTTTTCTGGATCATACTTCAATGGCGTACGGAGCAGATTGGTCATTTTCTGAACCTGATTTAGTGGCGTCTTGCTCATTCTACGATCATATCATGCACCTCTGGAAGGCATCAGAATAAGAGCAATTACGCTCTCCTTCTTCTCTAGGGAGTTCTCAAAGGGAAAGGGGGCATAAAGTTCAATGTCGTCTCTTTCTTTCTCTCGCCTCTTTTTGTGTATAATAAAGTGTATTTTTATAAGTCATCTCGACCCATCCATAGCGAAATTCATAATTCATTATTCTACCCTCAACACAGACAATTGCTATTTTAAGCAACGCATCACATTCTATACAAAAGCATCCATAAATCAAGGGGGAGGGGGATTTATAGTAGAGGCAAGTTAAGGGGAAGGGGCTCAAGAGCGAGAAAACCAAGTATCCAACAAAAACAGTAAGCAGTAAAAGAAAAGAAGGCCAACATGATTAATTACAGATCTTTATAAAGTAACAAATAGGTTAGAATTGTCTAGGCTTTGACTGCATTATGGTGGTATTCGAAGGAACCAGTGTGTCTGCCGAGTAGTTATCGTGTTGTACATAATGTTGCTGTTCCTCTGGGCTGACTTCCCATTTCTTTGAGTTCAACGTACATAGATGTGTAATTACATTACATAAAGCCAGCAATTCAATTGCTAAGCTCGTAAACAGGGCAATGTACATGTGCGATAGCTTCAACTGAATGAATCTAGTCAATGGTGCATAGCAAGGCTGTGCGGAATTGATAATGTGATCTGGGAAGCAAGTCGATGTAGCAATGGCATGATCCATAGGATGAGAGAAACCACAACAGTTGAATTTCTTTTGTGCGTACAGTCGATAGTCTTTGGTCGAGTTGTTCCAGGTATCGCTCATCCAGCTTGATGTGTGAGCAGCCTGATCATACACAATGACGGCAACTGATACTTGGTATACAAAGGCAACTACTACCAGTGTAGTATACAAGATGTGGATCTTTTTTCTTTCTCGGTAGTATCCACCCAGTATACCAACAAGCGATGTGAATACCAAGATCAAGCCCAAGATTGTCACCACTAGGAGAAAGGTGAGTCAGCATTTCTACTACAGAAACATGCGCAAGCAAGTCTTACTCTTCAGGATATTTACAGGAAATAAGATGGAATCAGTAATCTTCATTTGTGTCGCCATCATTCCGAATGTTAGTAGTATGCATCCACATAGAAAGAAGAGGATGTTTGTCAAGACAAGGTAGATGGAGCTTTGCCTATACATTATTCGAGATTTAATATGACAGCTTAAGAAGCCCTAAATGCCTGTAATTTTACTTTTGACAACACGCCATTTTGGAAACAATATATATGAAGCAGAAGGAAATGCAATTTCTGGTAGAAAATGCTACAGTTCCGTTATATATATATACATTTCGATTTTAAGGAGGCCATTCTTGTGAAAGGGGGGGGGGAGAGGGCTGGCTATTCTGTGTCTGTATGGAGCTTCAGGTTTACTTGGAAATGTCAAACTGAGGTTCCCTGTTCCACTCAACACAACAAGCCACCTCCAAGTATTTAAACAAGAAATTTTTTCGAGTTTCCAAACCTAAACATCTCTTCTTTTTCATTTTCTTCTGTGTGCCAGGATAGACGAGAAAGAACATCACCTTTTCAACAGACACATCCACATCTATATACAACAGCTTACACTTATACAACTATAAACCCCTAAAAAAAAAAAACCTATAAAAAGATAACCCTGCAAAAAAAATAATAATCATTGTATTGATATATATATATATATATACTTTACATCAATTCGCAATCAATAGAAGCAAAACACCATGGTCAACTCAACAACAGATACAAAGCCTCAAGAACCTACTATGACTGAGAAGCCAACCGATGCTTCTCCCAAAAAAGTACCAGCACCCATCCCTGATGTCAATGTATGGCAGATCAAAAAGCCAGTGATATCTACTCCTATTGCATCAGTTAACTCGAATGGTAAAGATTCTATATGAGCAACTGCTTTGAAACATGATACTGATGACAGTGTGTAATTTAGACTCTTCTTGGCCTGCACCTAAAGAAGCCATCTCTCAAGAAGAACCCGTCAATGAAAAGAAATCTACTGCTACAGCTACATCATCAAAGTCAATTGGTAAAGGTCAATGGAAACCTTATACGCCTACTATCATTCACTCCTCCCCTACTCCCGCTACTGGTAGTCGTGGTAATGGTCGCAACAGTGCTTCTCGTGGTGGTAATGCCAATGGCAACAACAACAATAAAAAATCAACTGCTGTGTCATCGTCGAAAAGCAATCATATCCGTCCTTCAGCTACAACCTCCTCATCCGCTGTGCCTTTATCCACTGCTGATGCCGCAGCAGCAGCTTCATCATCACCAGTAAAAGTGCAAGAAAAGACCAACACAACGACCCCTACAACAACGACCGCTACCGAGGCAACTACCCCCGTCGTCGCCACTGTTACAAATAACACTGAAAAGGGAAAGAGCACGAAGCAGAACAACACCAACAACAGCAGCACTGCCACAGCATTACCCGATACACCTGTCATGGAATCCAATCAACAGCACCACCGTCAACAGCACCACCATCATTCTCAACACATGAACGGTCGTGGTGGCGGTATGAGACGTGGCGGTTCAAGCCGTGGTGGTGGCCGTGGTGGATATCAACCTCGCTACTTCAACAGACCCAATCCTTCTGCCTACCTCAACGTAGATCCCGAGACCTTGAAAGCATACATTTGTCAACAAATCGAATACTACTTTAGCGTCGATAACCTGTGCAGAGATCTCTTCTTGCGTAGTCAAATGGATACTGAGGGTTATGTGCCCATCACCTTGATTGCTGGCTTCAATCGTGTCCGTGGATTGACATCAGACATGTCTTTGGTACGTGCCTCTCTCGAACTCTCCAAGATTCTGGAAGTGAAGCAAGACAGTGGTGATCTTTTGCGTAAGAAGGAGGGCTGGGAGACCTGGGTCTTGCCTGCTGCTGGTACCTCTGCTACTACCAAGACTGACAGTGGTGCACCTCAAATCATCAAATCAGTGCCTGCTGGTCCCGCCCCTATTCCCACATTGGCTTCTTTAGCTCACAAGAAGGCACCTTCTGCTACAACCACCACTACCACCAACACTAGATCAGTACCTGCAGCAACAACACCTGCCCCTGCTCCTGCTACCAAAAACACAGAGGAAGATGATCTCTTTGATTTTGAAGATGAAGATTGGGTGGATGGCAGTCGTCCCAATACTGTCAAGAAATACTACCTCTCTGATGACGAAGAAGACGATGAGGACTATGAGTTTGACGACGATACAGTTGCTCGTATTATGATTGTTACTCAACGCAAAAAGGATCGTTCTCACCACTCATTCGACCGTGCAAAGATGAATGATGATATCTCTGATATGATCAATGAAGGCTTGTACCAATATGAAAGCGGTCTCGGCGTTGGCAATCAGCCCAATCAATCCAAGGTGGGTACGCTTGATCCCGAGCATTTCGCTCAACTTAGCGCTAGTGCCAAACAAAGAGAGTCTGTCTTGCCTACTGCTAATGCTGAAGCCAAGCCCATCAAATCCAAGAAGAAGGCACCTCGTTTCTACCCTGTTCAAGCTGAATCCCTTCCCAACTCCATGGCTCGCTCTCCTGCTCCTGCCTCTACTTTAGCTGTCAATGGCCATGCTGCTTCTGGCGCAAAGAAGGATGAACAAGGCCATGTCGGCTGGGTTCTCGGTGACGAGGCTTATCATCCTAACCCCAATGACCTCTTATCCACCAGTCTCAGCAAATCACCTATGCCCGAGAACTACTTGTCTACCTCTGTTGACAACATGGCTCACTCCTTTGGCACCAGCTTCCAACATCCTAGCCGTGATTTGTTGCGTGAAAAGGGCTTTGTTCAACACAAGTATCACAAGTATCATGCCAAGGCATTGAAGGAGCGTAAGCAATTGGGTGTTGGTCAATCTCAAGAGATGAACACCTTGTTCCGTTTCTGGTCTCATTTCTTGCGTGATCATTCCAACAAGCGCATGTACAACGAATTCAAGCGTTTGGCCGTTGAAGATGCCAACCACAATTACCGCTATGGTCTTGAATGTCTCTTCCGTCTGTATTCCTATGGTCTTGAGAGACGCTTCCGCAAAGACATGTTTGAAGACTTCCAGGAACTCACACTCAACGACTATGACAATGGTTATTTGTACGGTTTGGAAAAGTTCTGGGCCTACAACTTTTATCGCAAGGACAAGAAGAAGAGAGAGTTGGTGTTCAATGATCGCATGACCGAGCTGCTCAACAAATACAAGAACATCAAGGATTTTAGAAAGGCGGATGCACCCAAGAAGGTGGAGGGTGCTACTTTTGTCGTCCCCAACCTCAATGTAAGTTATAAAAGCTTGGATGTTGTATGAATAGATGTCTCATTCTTTTGTATAGAAGCAGAGAAACGGAAGTGTGAGTGGCCCCGCTGGCAAGTCTGCTTAAATCTGTTTATCTGTATTTTTTCCCCTCTTTCCATATTACCATCTACCATGTATTCTTCCCCATCCCAACACCATCTACTACTTTTTTTTTTCTTTTTTTTTTCCTATTTTTTTTGTATAAATTACCTCGAAATTCCCCCCCCCCTCCCTTTTTTTTTCTTTTTTTTTTCTCTATATGTTTACATTTATTACACAAGAGGCAGCTAATTACCATCCGATTCCTCCCTATAAACATGTACAATAAAGCCCTTTTTTATTGATGCTCTTTGGCAAAGGTATAATCTTGGATGGTTGACTTTTTTTCTACCCTTTTATTTCAAAATTATGCATAATTTTGAGAGGGGTCTGTATATTTGACAACTGGTACCTGAAAATCAGTAATCTGGATGATTTACAGGGTATTACAATACTTTCTTCTTGAACAAAAGACAAACTATGTGTGGCAAAAAAACACACTTGCTTGGGAATCTGATGGGTGAACACTGGCAGGCAATGCTTGGTAAGAGGATGGATACAGTTGAATCTCCTCATCAACACCGACATATTGGTACACAAATGCAAAGCAGATATGGCTCTTTCTTCCGTGAGACACACGCTATAACAACAAAGTAAATGTGGACAGCCTGATGCAGATTCAACACCTTTGGTCAAATTGGATACACTATCAAACTCGAATGCTCACTCATCATCTGGAGGAAAAGAGGGAGGAAAGAGAGGACGGCAAATGAAGAGGAGAGGCCGGATCTACACATTCGTCTCACCTGATGATTGGACAAAATGGTGTGCATCTCTGTAAATTACAAACAGAAAGTGTAGAAAATGCTTATCTGATTGGAGTATTAGAGTGAGCCAAGCCATCGTTTGTGGTTTAAATTAGGCAGATGTGTACCAGGTAAAACTGTGTGTTCAGCGCTAATATACGCGCCAATTCAATCACTTGCTGCTCTTCCCTTTTTCGACGGCTTTCAATTTACATCGTTGCTGTTGTCCTCTCTCTCTCTCTCTCTCTCCCCCTTCTTTCTTTCTCTCTTTTTTTTTTTGCCACAATAACTTACAGCAACAATTTTTGGTTTATTACTATAGAGAACGTCAAAGAAATAGACAGGAAACAAGGTCTCTATCTCTATCTCTCTCGTTTGAATCGCTCCTTTTGTAATATACAACATTTATAAAAGATAATGTCAAACTTATCAACCGCAAAAACGACACCGTCTGCAAAAGCAGCCCGTCAATCTATTGAACATGTCGCCCGTGATTTCAATACAGATACAACAAAGGGCCTCTACTCCTCAGATGTGATGGGCTTACGTGCCCTGTATGGCACAAACGAACTCGAAGCAGCTGATGAAGAATCCCTGTTCTCCAAGTTTCTCGATTCTTTCAAAGATCCTCTCATTTTGCTGCTGCTCGGCTCAGCCTGTATTTCTGTTATTATGGGTCAATTTGATGATGCTATTAGTATTACCATGGTAAGTGATATTTCTCCTTAAAAAGAGTAGGCTTCCCCCCATTAACCTTGAGAACCTCCTCCCCCCTTTTTTTTCTCGGTAGGCTATTGTCATTGTCGTTACAGGTACATTTATCAGAGGAATGGTGTTGCTTTCACCTCAACTTATGCTTGTATATATACATAGTTGCCTTTGTTCAAGAATATCGCTCCGAGAAATCACTGGAGGCTTTGAATAAATTGGTGCCACATCACTGTCATTTAGTCAGGTAAGCGTCATCTACTCGACGAGAGTAAAAAAAGGGCAGTGCACTGATGCGCAGTGAATTGGAAACAGAGATGGACAAATTTCGGATGTATTAGCAAATGATTTGGTACCTGGAGATGTTGTGCATTTTGGTGTTGGCGATCGTATTCCTGCTGATTGTCGATTAACTACTGTGAGTTGCAGCCTTACTAACTCCATGGTAGCCATTGACTGACGTTTTGCGATAGTGCGTTGGACTTGAAATTGATGAATCTAATTTGACAGGTGAAAACAAGCCTAGACGTAAGATTTCCGAAGCTATCTCTACTGCATCTTTTGGTGAATTGGCTTTGAATGAAAGAGAGAATATTGCTTTTATGGGTACTCTGGTTAGAAATGGTGGGTTGAGGCGTCATTAGACTGCATGTATAAGATACTGACTGTCATATAGGTCGCGGTGAAGGTATTGTCGTTGCTACTGGTAAAAGCACTGAATTTGGTCATGTTTTTGAATTGATGCAAGAGGTAATTATAGCAAGGCCTGACTTTGAGTATTTGGAAAACGACTAATATATGGGATATATGCAGGTTGAAGTCAGAAAGACACCCCTTCAAATCAGTATGAACGATCTTGGAAAGCAACTCTCCATGTTTTCGTTTGCAGTGATTGGTGTTATCGTCTTGATTGGTATCATTCAAAAGCGTAGCTGGCTAGACATGTTTACTATTGGTGGTAAGTAGGATTGATCTTGTACGTATGACATTGTCTGATCCCTCTCGTTTGATCACAGTCAGTCTTGCCGTGGCAGCTATTCCCGAAGGTTTGCCTATTGTCGTTACTGTCACTCTTGCATTGGGCGTGCTCCGTATGGCCAACCGCAAAGCAATTGTCAAACAACTACCCTCTGTTGAGACATTGGGCAGTGTCAATGTGGTCTGCGCTGATAAGACGGGTACATTAACTGTGAATCAAATGACGGTAACCAAGGTGTTTACTGTCGAGAATCAGGAATCGTTTGATTATGAATACCGGGTCCCTTCTAGTATTCCCGAGGCATTGCGCCAAACGCTTCGTGTTGGTATGACAATTACAGTGATCGACAACGGGCAGAATTCATGCTAAATATGCTGATTATTAGGTAATCTGTGTAACAATGCTCAGTTGGGTGAAGGAGGAAAGTTGTATGGCCAGCCTACTGAAATGGCACTTTTGGATGTCGTTCTTCGTAGTGGTATGAAGGATGAACGTATGGTATGTGCGTGTATAGTATAGTATGATAAGGTACTGAAAAACTACATTAGCATTATGATCGTCTCGAAGAAGTGCCATTTGATTCGGATACAAAGTACATGTCTGTGACATGTCGTGAAAAGGATGATCACACATCTGCTGGCACTGTCTATGTAAAGGGTGCTACTGAAGTGATTATGGACAGATGCACGACTTACTACACCTCCAACTACACAAAGATGCCATTTACGCTTGCTTTGAAAGAAACTGTCACTCAACATGTAGCTGCCATGAGCTCCCATGGTCTTCGTGTACTCAGTACGGCATTTGGTGACAACGAGAACAACCTCTGTTATACTGGATTTTTGGCTGTGCATGATCCTCCTCGTCCTGGTGTTGGCGATGCCATCAAGAAACTGATCCAAGGTGGTGTCAAGGTCGTAATGATAACTGGTGATTCTGAAGCCACTGCCATGTCTATTGCTCGCCGCTTATGTATTCCCATCAACGCCAAGGGAAGTTGCATCACAGGTCATGATATTGAAACCATGTCTGAACGTCAGCTTCAAGAAATGATCCATACTGTCTCTGTCTTTGCTCGAACTACTCCCAAACACAAACTGGCTATTGTGCGCGCATTCCAAGAAACGGGTGCTGTGGTTGCCATGACAGGCGATGGTGTCAATGATGCGCCTGCACTTAAGATGGCTGATATTGGTATCTCTATGGGTAAGAGTGGCACTGATGTGTCCAAAGAAGCCGCTGATATGATTTTGGTCGACGATGATTTCTCTACAATTTTGCACGCTATTGAAGAAGGCAAAGCCATCTTTTACAATATCCAGAACTTTTTGACATTCCAATTGAGTACAAGTATCTCTGCTCTTTCGTTGATTGCTATTTCTACTCTGTTTGGCTTGAAAACTCCCTTGAACGCTATGCAAATTCTTTGGATCAGTAAGTTTGCACACGATTGCCACTTATAAACATGAATATTCATCGTGTCTCTGTTTAGATATCATCATGGATGGCCCTCCTGCTCAGTCGTTAGGTGTCGAGCCTGTCGATCCCGAGATCATGAAGAAACCACCAAGATCTCGCAACGCCAACATTTTGACTAGGCCTCTCATCACTCGTGTTTTGACTGCAGCTTTCATTGTTACTGTGGGCACCATGTTTGTCTATATTTCTGAAATGGCAGATGGTGTTGTCACCAACAAGGATGCTACTATGGTAAGTGTGGGTCATGTGTTGGTCTAAGGAGTTGTGTTGTTAATTCTGTATAGACTTTCACAACTTTTGTGTTCTTTGACATGTTTAATGCTTTGGCTTGTCGATCCGAAAAGCAATCCATCTTTACTGTTGGGTTCTTCTCTAACAAAATGTTCAACATAGCTGTAGGAGGTTCTCTTGTTGCACAGATGTTTGTGGTCTATGTGCCCTTCTTCCAGGCCATCTTCCAAACTGAACCCTTGTCTCTCTACGAGCTGGGCAAGATTATACTTGTTACTAGCTCTGTGTTCTGGGTGGATGAAGCCAAAAAGATGTTTAGACACAAGGGACTAGGTATTGCTAGAACGTCGGGCGGCTCTCGCATCAATTATCGAATTGTTCAGTCTGATGAAATTGAGAGTGCCATTGACCTTGTTTAGAGCAAATTTCACATACACATACACACAACAATCATACACATACACTCTCAAAGAAAACTGTTAATTTCTATATCACTTATATATACTTTTGTTATAAAAAAAACAAACCATCTAGAATACACTACACATTGTAAAGGCTAATTGATTGATCCGATTTTCAAATGCTTCAAGCTTACGTTTTTTTGCCAAATTAAGAAGACCACTTTTATAATTTTTTTTTTTATTAATAGTGCCATCCTTGTGTCTCATTACTCTTTCGTTTCTTTTTACATACTCAAAATGGATTTCATTGATACATTTGCCAAGCGAAGCTTTGCTTTCAACCAAATTCCTGATTTAAAAGGAAAAGTTGCCATCGTAACTGGCAGTAATACAGGCGTAAGTACATAGTGGAAGCTGTGTTGTTAAATCTGCCACTCATTCTCGTTGCAGATTGGCAAAGTGTGCGCCTTGGAGATGGCTAAACAAGGGGCTACTGTGTAAGGTGATTGAATGGCGATATTTGGTCTCGCACTCATATACTTTATTTATCAGAGTCCTTGCTTGCCGTACTAAAGAAAAGACCATGAGAGTGGTCGATGAGATCAAATCACAAACAGGCAATGATAACGTAGAATTCATTGAGTTGAATCTACTCAAATTATCCAGCGTCAAAGAATTTGCAGATCAATTTTTAGCCCGCCACAACGAATTGCATATTTTGATGAACAATGCAGGTGTCATGATGTGTCCATTCGGTCTGTCTGAAGATGGCATTGAGACACAATTCGCCACAAACCATGTTGCCCATTTCTATCTGACCATGTTATTATTGCCCGTTTTGGAGAAATCAGCACCAAGCCGTATCATCAATGTCAGTTCTATTGGCCACAGATTGCCATTCAAGGCATTGAACTTGGAGTCCATCAGTGATCCTGCTAAATATAACAAATACATCCATTATGCCAAGTCCAAGACCTGTAACATCTTATTTACAAGAGAGCTGAACAAGAGGCTTGAGGCAAAAGGTGTCAGTAATGTAAGCAATGAAATACCCCCCCAAGACATCAATCATGTATTGACAACATTTGTATTAGGTTTATGTTAATGCCAATCATCCAGGTGGTGTCAAGACTGACCTCTATCGCCACACATCTTCCATCTTGAATTTCTTCTTCAATGCGTTCTTGATCACTCCCGAGGATGGTGCTTTAACTCAACTTTATCTTGCAACTAGCCCTGATGTTGAGCAAAAGCCAATCAAGGGCGAATACTATGTTCCTTTTGCCAATCCTGCTAAACCTCAAGGTGTCGCTGCTTCTGAGGATGGTCCCTTGAAGCTTTGGGAGTTTACTGAGAATTTGTTGAAGGAAAAGGTTCCTGGCTATCAAGGAGCACCTATTTAAGGCTTATTAAAGTGTTGTAGAAGCTGCCATTTTGTAATAAATACTACTGATATGCAATGAAATTCCACCTTTCAGTCTCACTCGTGTATGAGGACTCTCAATCAATAATCTGCAATTGTGGATTTGACTTTCATACGATACTCCACATCTGCATGAATGAAAATGAATCGTACATGGGTAAAAAGCATACTTGCATTGCCTCTAATTCCTCAAATACATGTAAAACACAGCAAAATTTGGATGTAGTTGAGCCGTGATTTCTCGCGTTAAGCGCCGTTTTAGACCGCCGGAATAGCACCAAACAATTGCTGTCAATTAATACTTACTTTCTGGTACCTTTGCGCAATTTTTTTGGGATCGTCAAAAATCGACCAAAAGGCATGAGGTACCCCTTCATGGTTTTCATCAAAAATCAAACGATCGCGTTTTTGACAGCAAAAATGAAGAATTTTACTATAGCACATATTGAATCAAAATGCTCCTCTCGATCCAACGCAACCTCTGAAACCTTATTCATGAATCCTTGATATGTAAAATTTCGAATTTTTGGCGAGAAACTCCATTATATACTTTCTGAAATTGCTCAAGTTCAGTCAAAACATCTGTCTTATCTGGCAACATTGAATGCGCTTTAAACAGCACTGCAAGAATGCATTAGGAAGTGTGGGACAATTAGCAAAATTCATATAACAAGTCTCAAAAAAACAGTTCAATCAAGTCGAAAAGTGTCAAAATTTGTCCAATCTGGAGCAAAACATTAACTGAGTTTTAATCGATTTTTGATTGCTGGCCAAATACCCTTCTGATGAAAACAATCGTTGTTTGTGATGCTAATAAGAAAGGAATTACGCCCTTAAAAGAACTATCACTTCGGCAGCCTAATGGTACCATCATACCATGTAATAAATTGCATTAATGTCCCTCGGATTCTCCGTTCCATTCACTTTCAAGCAGATGTATCGTCAGCAGTAAAATGTGCATTGCTGGATCCAAGTTTTTCGGGTTACTGAATTTATTGCTGTACAGAGAAGAGTAATTATAATAAAAGAAACAACAAAAAAGGATAAAATAGAATAAGATCAAGTAATGCCGAGCAAGAATGATGTGAAATGACAGAGAACAAATGGCCGTATAAAAAGCATGCTGTGTTGCATATAAAAATCAAACTGAAGGTCTCTTTGAATTGAACACTCATCTGCTTGCTATTACTGCTTCCTTGCTGCAACTCCTGTGGTTCTTTTTTTCGCCACTGGGGACTTTACATCACTTGCTTGGCTGTTTCTTTTACCTACAGTGACAAGAAATCAGAACTCTGTCCTTCATAATCCAAGTATATATATATACTTACGTGAAACTGGGCTTTGGGGAGGAAATGGATTAGGGTATGCTGGTTGTTGTGTAGATTGAGATGGAGGTAGCTGTTGATGTTGTAGTTGAGCCTGTTGGTGCTGTTGCTGCTGATGCAATTGTAATTGTTGTTGGTATGCCATATGATGTCCAGGAGTCAAAGGACCCTGTAATTGTTGCTGTTGTAGCTGTAGCTGCTGCTGCCTCTGTTGTTGTTGATGAAACTGAATTGCAGCCTGCTGCTGTTGTTGTCTTAAAGCAGCTTGTTGTTGAAGTGGGGTAAATGGTTGATGTGGACGACCAGTTTGTGTCTTTACAATTGGAGAATTAGCAGCAGCAACAGCGCCAACGGCAGAAGAAGCAACAGTGGCCATTCCACTCACAATTGGAGTATCCATTGGATGAGGTTTCATATCTGTCAAATGTGGCATGAGTACCGACGCTCCCATCGCAACATTCTAAACACAAACCTTCATACTCATTCTTCACCATCAACCGAGACTGTTTATCAAAGGCGACGGCTGCCAGGCTCTCTGTTCCATCGATATACCACATTAGCAATCCTGAATCAAACTGCATATTTGCAATCCCCGTTTCTTACCTCTCGCTGAAGACCCTGATATTAGGGAGTGAAACACAACCTCGCTGGTTGTCAGCGCCACGTCCGCAAACTAGTACATACCAGGTCAATATACATCGAAACAAAGGTTGCCTTAGTTTCCAACACTATACCTTCAAAATATGATATACGCGAGGAGGTAATCCCCAATTATTGATTGGAGATTCGGGTATAACCGACTGATGTGGTGGTATCTTTTTCTTTGAATTGGGAACTGGTTCGGTTTTGATAGTTGATCTCGTTACGAATTCTTCGTGGCCTTGACATGAAAAGTCCATATGTCCTATTTTCCATTCTCCATTGGCTGTTATTACAAATTGAACCCATAAGGGTCCTGTTGAAACAACCTTGATCACGTTGAATGAGTTGACAGTTCTTTCTGCGTTTCTCCATCCTATGATGCCTTACCAAAGTGCCATTCTTGTATCGATTAATCAGACTTGCTCGAGGACATTGCACATACATAATGCCTCCAGGTAAGATGTATTCCATGGTCTTGTCCAGAGTCATTTGGATCGAAACCACTCCGCACATGTACTGAGTGTGAAAGAAGTTTGCCAGTAAGCTCTGGTTCACCTCTAATTGTTTCAAATGTTCATCAGTCTATTATAGAAGAAAATGGAAACATCATCAAGAGCGTACCATAGTCCTTTTGGTCATTATCAACGACATTTGTTAATCCCAATTTGAGCGTGCCTTGTATCGTAAAGAAATTCTGAACGAAATGATCCCAAAATAAACGATCTACAGCCTAAATAGTAGTTTTGTTTAGACATTGTCTTTCCGAACAGAAAACAAACACTAAATGTGCGAATAGTGTACCTCTTCTTGGCCTGGGCTTAATTGCTCAGCAAATTGCAGTAGGCGAAGTACTGCCTGTCCACTTGTTTGACTAGTACGCAGATAAAAATGTTGTTAGCCAAGTCTCTACCCCGTTTACACATCTGCAAATCATACCTCTGTTGTGCACCAACGACAGCGTTCATCTTATTCATGACTGGTGCAGGAGACCCTTGGGACACCATAATGGGCGTGGATGGCTGCATTGTGCCAGTGCGTGGAGTAGGTTGTTGTTGTTGTTGCTGCATTTGAGGTGTTCTTTGAGGTGTATTTGGCTGTTGAGGGGTTTGTTGCTGTGGCAACTGTTGCTGCATTTGTTGTTGTTGCTGGTGCAATAATTGCTGCTGGTGGTGGTGCTGCTGCTGCTGTTGTAACAAATGCTGATGGTGTAATTGTTGTTGCATTTGCTGTTGTTGCTTTTGTTGCTGTAGTAGCTGAGGCTGCTGCTGAAACAATTGGTGTTGCTGTTGCATGTTTTGCATTTGTTGTTGCTGCTGATGCTTTTGGGCCATCAATTGCTTTTGTCTAAACATATTTTGAGCTTGTATTTGCTGGTGCTGTAACTGTGCTTGTGCAAAGGCTTGTGCAGGACTAGCTGGTACTTGGCTGTGCAAACCAGAAGGCTGTGGAGTGCCAGCTGTAGAAGGAAGGGCTGTTGACATTAAACCTTTTCTTTTTGTATTATTTATGTATATTTAAATATAATGAAATATATTACACAAGTGAGGTTTTTTCAGTATTAAAATAAGAGGAAAAGAGAGAAAAGAACAGAGGAGATTTGGCGAGAAAAAAAGAGAAAAAAGAAGTGTGAACAAAGTTTTATTATTTGGTCGGCTACTCTAATCCCCCCCCCTTCCCTTTCAAACCTGCTCCCTTTTTTGATTTTCTTGAGTAAGAATCCCACTTTAATATCTGCAACAAGACCAATCAACATGGTAATTTTAATGACATGAGCCAATTATATAAACCATTGCCTTTGCTTAAACCAATATGTAAAGGTTGAAAAAGATGGATTGCAACACGCATTTAGCTATGGAGTCAGTGCAAATTAGCTTTAAAACCGGGAGATTTTTAGTCTATTTCATGTTTCCTAGAAAGGCTTTTGAAAAATTCATGTAATACTGATGAAGGAACCGTCATCACCCATCATATGAAACCAGTTCCTTTGCTATAAACATATACTTGATCATTTGATTGTCTTTTAACTTCTACAGGTCCAAAAAAGATTGCCCCTAGCAACGATATTTTATGCCAACGGTAACCATGGCAACTGGGATATGAAACCTTGACAAGATGGTTCGTTCGTGTACCTGGAAGGAGAATGAATTCATTCTACTAGCATCTTGTCCATGTTTCTTGTGTTCAAGTCATAGATATCTGGCTTGCCGTTACTGCCATAAAAAAGATGAGCCTAATCCGCAAGCTGCGCAGATCGCTCTTCAGGTTTAGATGCGGCAAAATAGATCCACCTGAAGGACCATTGTAATAACATTCGTACCTGGAATGCGTTGATTTTGGAGTGCAGCCAAGGGGCTACATAATATCTGAGACAGTGAGGCGATTCATGTTGACGAGTAGACGGAAAGGGACCCACATATTAATGTAAAGTGAATAATGCCTCTTCCTTAAATAGAAATGAACTTCAGATCTTGGTTTGGTGTAATGATAAGGTTGTCAAATGGTACAAATCAGAATCGCCTATCATCTAAGTTGATCAGGTTTGGAGCAAAAACTTGGTGCATATACATCTGACAACAAGTAGAGCGCAAAAAATAAAGCGAGTGATGTCCACGTCGCACATCTCATGCAAAAATGGATGACAGGATGAATTTTGTATTCCTTACAGGCATCCCCTTCTTCTGGAGATGATGAATCCCGATATTCAGTCATTCATATGCTAAGTTGATTTGATCACACGCATGCACAATTCTTGACAGAGCAAATGTAGATGTACCTTTGCTAATAATGGACACAATTCCAAATCCAGATGCTTTCTCTGGAGAGGTTTCATTTATTTCCCAACCAACTTGTCGTAGTAAATGCGCCTGTCATTTCAGACGATGTACTTTGAGGTAGATCATAGTCATTGGAGGACGATGAACTTAAGCCTAATGTGGATCTTTTCCTTCTAACTACGTATTCCAAAGCTGGTGCTTGCATAGATTGCGATTTTCTGACTGTACCAGCACTCTGTGATGCTCTGAGTGGGATGGTTACTTTGGCTGAATTACTGCCAGTGCTACTGATACTACTGTGAAGATATAGATGATTGCTATTGGGTGACGAAGAAAAGCTGACAGATGAGGGTACGGCTACTGTTGTGTTTGTGGATCGACGCTTGAACTTTTCATTACCAATCGCAACAGCTGACGATCGAGTAGGAAAGCTAGATGGTGGTCCGTATCGATCAATGTCGCTCTTTTGACGACGAATGGCAATTTTGTTGGACGATCTCTCTATTGTTGCTGTGGTGTTTGAGTTGGATGGACATGGAATCATTTTTGGCTTTGACAAGGGATGAATGGATGTGGAATGTACACTCACATCGCTTATATTGGATGCCATGAATCGTGCATGCAAAGAACTGTGAGATGCCATTGGTTGCATTGTTTTTCTCTCTTTGGGTGTAGGTGTTGGTGAGCGTTGAAATACATTGGATAGCCAGGAGAGAGCACTTGACGTCTTGCTTTGTTCTTTGTGTGCAATTTGTTGTTGTTGCTGTTCCTGCTGCTGTTGTTGTTGTTGTTGTTGTTGTTGTTGTTGTTTTCTCAGAACCTCTTCTTCTAAGCGAATGTCACTCTCTTCCACCTTCTTGACGTACTCTACTTGTAGATCATTCATGGTAGTTCTAAGCTGACCAATCTCCTTTAACATCTCCTGCACCAGCCCTATGATTGGAAAGAACTCCAACATGGATACATCATGAATCCATGTCTCTTGTTTCACCAGCGATGAATCTTCGATCCATAAAAACCTTGTTCTGAAACCATCCACGTCTGTAACGATATTCTCAATGATGGAGTTGCTCATGCTGCTCAGTTCAAGGATATCGAATGCCCGCCTCAATCGTCTATTTAATGCTCTAATGTCGGTTTGTTGCAATCGCTGCAGTACATTGAAAACCTGACTGTACAGTTGCTTGAACGGGGAGCTTGTGTCAATCTTTGATAGCGAGGACGATGAAAGTGTCGCCTTTGGCATAGTCTGCAAACAGGTTACTTGGTGTGTATAGTAGGACATTCTGATCAATGTATGCATACCTGATCTGCCTTTAGTTTTGTTGTTGCTGTAGCAACAGCAGTTTTATTTTTCCCTTTCTCAGCCAATAGCTTATTTCGCATATAATAATGATAGTGGTGGTGTACAATGGGAGCTGATGCCTCTTGTGAGACAGATGCGGTACCTGTTTCATCTTTTTGTTGATGCCTTGGCAATCTCGGTAGTGCGTCCAATATGGTAGATGATTTCTGGGGCGCAGATGTACTGAGTCTGTCGCAATTTTCATCATTATAGCTACCATCGTCATGCTGCATATGAGCGTCCTGTTTGGCATAGAGGTCGCTTCTACATTCCAAGAGCAAATCATTGCAGTCGAGTAAATCTGATTTCAGCTTGTTGTTGGCAGATGCTAACTCTTTGATCAAGTCAATGAGCTGGTTATGGTTGGTCATTTGCAGATCAGATGCAGTGGGCGATAGCAGGGCAGAAGTAAGCTGTAAAAGCGTGTTGGTATCACTTGTCACTGTAGAGCCTGCTGGCACTTACCTTGAGTACATCTTTTCGTAGCTTCTCATTTGACTCTCTTAGCCACACTAAATCCAGCTGATGATTCGGCGTAATTCCCATCTCTTGCTGATCCAGCTTTAGTTTCTCATAGGAGAAGCACATGGATTCATACTTTGTCCTTAGTTTCTTGTGTTTAGATTCCAATGTGAGTTCTGCTTTTCTCGATATCGCCAGCTCCTGCTTTACATCTTCCAGCTTTTGTTATGTTAATACAGGCGCAGCATGACGCTATACTCTCCAGTGCACGTATACCTTTGCTCTTAGTGTGTCTTCGCGTATGTCTGCCTGCCTTGCCATAAACTTGAAAATCCTCAGCTTCTCGGCTTCATTATTCTTCACTTTGAGCTCTGATCCGAGTTGCAGACATCTGTTGTTGCATATATCCAAATCTGAAGTTGTTTCATCTAATGCCTGTATTGCACATTTAATAAACAATCATCATACACTGCATAAATTGCACATATCCACACCTTACTTTTTGTAGTTTCTGGCATTCCCATGTCGCTTTGTTCTTTTCCTGCAGGTATTCCTGTTTGCAAGTATCAGACTCGATCAGCGACTGCCCCAATTCACGTATCTTGTCTTGCAATAGATCCACTTGCTGTTCAAGCTGCTGCTTCATGTCATTGGACTCAGCGGCAAACTGCTCATGTTTTTGTAGTAAGCTTTGTCCTATTACTATAAAAGAGAGCAAGTTTAATACCAAAGGCGAGGGGGGATTTTAAGGGGAAACATAGAATAGAATGAAATACCTGCCGCTAAACGAGCATCATTTTCCAGCTTTCGAATCGTGCTTGATATCGTTTCCAAGTTTTCGCAATCGCTGTGATTGCAGCACCTACAAGTATCCAGTAGCCAAGAAACGGAGGAAGACGGTGTGTCGGGTATGCTCCTCGACAGCCAATCTTGCAGTGATTCTTCTATGGAAGGTAAAAAGGCACTGTTCGAGGTATCCATTGTAGTCGCAGTGGCGCTTGTGGTACCAGTACTCATTGTGATGTTGGACAATAGCGGTAAAGTGTTTGCTCTGCTATTTACACGAGTGCGAGGTCTTTGTCTGTTGAGAGACATGTTTATCAAAGAGAGAGAAAAGGGAAAAAGAGAGAAAAAAAAATGATTAGTCCAAAAAAGAATAGAATACACAAAGGAAATCCATCATCATCCACAGCATCATCATCCATAGTATCCTCCATGGCTGGGTTTTTCTATATACACCCACGCATACACATGTACAGAAGAATCACTTACATATCATCTACACATCCAAGAAAACAAACACATGAAGAAAAAAAAAAGTGCTTCAATCAAGGCACACGGATGGTGGCATGAAAAATGATATCAACCAATGATATCATACTGAATTTAGAATTTGCGAGGCATCTCACGAAAATGATATTAAATACAACACCATCATTCATCATCCTCTTTTCCATAGCTTGTTTCATTTCATAATGTGTCATTCATAATGCCAAGTCTTTGATGCTGTATTATTGCACACGTCTTGGCCATGGACTGTAGATACACCAATACACTGCCGTTTGGATAGTTTCGGCTCACAGAGGCTGCTCATTGGAGAAGCATTTGCTCAGAGAAGGTTGAGTGTATGAATGTGATCTAGACGAGCAAAGACGCCATCATGCTGCGGGTACTGGCTCAAGACGGAAATTCACGTATGCAGAGCGGTGCAATGTTCATCTTGGCCTAGGAAGCATGTATTGATGGTAGTCCAGTCGTTTCCAATCAATGGGAGTTGTCAGCAGAGTAAAACAAACAGCAACCAGCATCACATGTGCCATCCTTTTTTGAAATTGCATGAATTCTGATCCCATAGATCAAGAATCACAAAGACCCCAAGACGAGGGTTCATCCGAATGTCCCATTGATTGTGTAAATGATGGCGGTGTCTATTGAAACTTTCTCTCTAGTTAATTGTAGACACTAGCACGTGTAAGCTGGCTACTCTCTCTCTCTCTCTCTGCTCATTCACTCTTTCTCTGTCTTTTTCTCTTCCATATCATGGGGTTTGTCAATACGAAAAAAATACGCATTTTGACTGAGAGGAAGGATTCAACCATGTGGGATCACCTTGCAAGCGTAATTGGCCCGAAATTTGAGAAGGAGATGTGAAATGGTTTCTTCAGGGTTACCATATAGAGCTAAACCTTGTTTAGTTTTCGTATATAAAGGCAATCTGAATTTTATTGACATTGCTCCTTCTTCTTTCACCGTATCCTTCTATTGACACTCTTTCGCACAAAATGCCTTCTCGCTTTCAAGAACACTTTGAGATCCCACAACAAGATTTATTCTTTTGCCATCGAGACTATACAGATGTGGATCAAGACGATCTATACCGTCGTCAATCACTGTCCAACACAATAGGCTCAACGACATCAACTGCATCTATAAACTATACATCGTCCCCCTCTTATTCTAATCGGCAATGCAGTCTAAAGAGACAATCCCGAGTCAAGACGAGAAGAAACACAAATGGCGGATCATCCTCGCTCACAAGCAGTGCCAGTAACAACAGCATCATTGGGTGGTGCCTCAAAGCCAAATCAAAGATCATCAAGCTTCGCCATGACTAAACTTTAGAGCTTCTTTCTCTCTCTTATACCAAAATGTACATAGTATACTATACCCCTCCTCTTTTTTTTTTTGGGATAAAAAATCATTCATGTGTAAATAATAAATAATATATATATATATATATAAACTCATGATTTTCACACAATACAACTGCAATGTCTCCTGTTCATAAACATATTTATTTGTTTAAATATATGCAATTATCAGTCGATATACTCTTATATGCTTTGAATACACATTCATCCAATGAATCTCTAGATCGAAATTCTAGTAACCAATTGGAAAGTGGCCCGGTCTTTTGTATTGTATACATGGTATAGAACAGGACAAATAGATTATACCTGACACGTTTAGCCGAAACCATCAGGATTGTTACACATCTCAGCATGATTTCAGGTACCTGCTACAAACATACCAACAAGTTGAGCAGAATGTAGTCCATACTATAATCAGCAGCATTTATCTAACAGTGACCATGGATCTGATCAGTTGACCCAGAAATCTTGCTTTTCTGTATGTAACACGGTAGATAGGCTGTATTTTACATAATCCACGTAAAAGCCCCTGTTCTCTTTTTTCTACTACTGTATACTTTTGCACTGGTAATCATGTCGGATGAAGTACGGTTGCCATGGAAGCAATTATTCCTTATTTGTGCTTGTCGTTTTGCTGTAAATTAGAGCTTTCGTAAAAGTGTAAATCTAATGACTAACCCAGCTATCTCTCAGGAGCCCATCTCGTTTAGTATTCATGCTCCATTCATCTATTTCGTATGTAGCCCAATACAAACAACCACACCAAAAACGCTAAATTAGTTTATATGTAGATGATTCGAGATTTCAAAATGACAGATGAACTTCACATTGGCTACTACGCTAGCTTAATTACATCGGCCTTTGCTATGGCACAATTCGTATCAGGTAAAACCCTGTCTTCATGATGAATCAATGAAAGTCAACTACTCACTAACTTTATCGTTGTCAAAACACAGGAATGCCGTGGGGATCACTCTCGGACCGAATCGGTCGTAAGCCTGTTGTGCTATTTGGCCTTGCCTCGACCATCATGGGCGTATTTCTCTTTGGGTTATCAAAATCATTCGCATGGGCTTTAGCGACAAAGATATTTTCAGGTTTATTTGTAAGTGTATACATGTTGATCTACAATGACACAAAGTGTCTGACAAGCACGCATAATGTACATGCATGGTAGAATGGAAATATAAGTGTGCTCAAAAGCATGATAGCTGAATTGACCGAGAATCACACTGCAGATAAAAGAACAAGAGCATTTTCGCTGCTGCAAGTGACATTTGGATTGGGTAGCATTGTGGGTGCTGCATTAGGAGGTAAATCAGTGTTGTAATAATGCACCATATTTCGTATTGATGTATATTTCAATTCAGGCTATCTATCAAATCCTGTAAGTAAATATCCAAATTTATTCGCTCATTTGGGTGCTTCCATTACCCAATTTTTGATCGGGTATCCCTACTTTTTACCGTGCTTTGTTGCTACTTGTATATCAACATGTTGTTGGTTATTAGGCTTGTTCTTTTTAGACGAAACCCTGCAGTGCAACAAAATTGTCAATAATGACCGAGAAGAAGCACCTTTGTTATCGAGCGCTGATCAGCAACAACAACAAACCTACAATGCAGTTGTTGTAACGGAACAACCCGACACCACAAGACCTCGCTTGACTCTTTCAGAAAAACTCACGCCTCCAGTCTTGGCAATTAGCATTCTATATGCAGTTACTGCATTCCAAATGCTGTACTTTGACGGTAAGTTTGAAGCTGTCAATTCTTCAATTGCATGAATAATTGACATGTTCTCAATGGTAGAGCTATTGCCAACATGGTCAGCTACGCCAAAAGAAGCAGGAGGCCTTGGTTTTGAATCAAGGGAGATCGGCACAATTCTCTCTTATGCTGGCATTGTGATGTTACTAGTGCAGGTGTTTGTCCTCCATCGACTTACTGCTATTTTTGGCTTGTTGAACCTATTTCAATTGTCTCTGTTGTCTAGCGCCTTTATATTTTTAGCACAAGGTCTAAATCGGCTCTTGTATCAAATCCCTGATCCTACGGCAGACGGCCAAGTGGGTACAAAGTTTTGGGTTTGGTTTGGTTTGATCTTTTGTCTGACAGTCAAGTCCTTGGCGCAAACAATTGCGATTACTATATCTGTCATTTTGTTGAACAATTCAGTAGAAAGATATGATACGCTTGGCTTTATCAATGGGTTCTCACAATGCAAGTTTCCATCATCATGAATGTATGTGCGGATCACTGATGTTAAAAATAGGCTGCAATGCTGCAATGAGAACGTTGAGTCCTGCTGTTGCCGGCTACATTTGGTCGAGGTAAACCCAATGATACGCTATGCCGTATAAAATGCTTGGTAATAATTTTTTTTTATTTAGATCCATTGCATCCGAATGGATTCCTTTGGACATTCGCTCCTATCTTCCTTGGGGATTATTAGGCATAATTGGTCTAATCACGTTCTTTGCTGGCATGCAGTTGAATCCAGCATATTATAATAAGCCTCATAGATCAAGAAGTCTGTAATTAGTACAGAGTGTTTGCTGTCAATAATGCTGTAAATGCAATTGTGCATACAATGCTTCCAGTAATTAGCTTGCGCATTTCATCAGCACCTCAATCACAGTCTCAATTTGCGCTTTTATTAGCAACTTTAGATGGTCTATCCAATTGAAATATCTGGTTATGGTAAAATAAAGATATCTAAGCTAAGCTATGTCACGTTTTTCGTACCCAATCTCCTTGTTATTAACATTATTATTAAAAGCATAAATTACACATGATTTGAGAGGTATGATTGATATTACCAGCGAGCAGCCAAAATTAATTAAACTCAGATTCCATATCTCGTCAAAGATTTGCCAGATTTCGACTTGAATGAACTATTTTGTGAGATTCGACTACATGAATTGTGATGATCACCTTACGCTTCCTAATACACAGTCTTTTCTATCCCTCATCAGTATGACATTTAAAGGACTTTAAATAAAACCTGGAGCTCGACTCTCCTACAAAAAAAAAACGCTTCCTAATACATTCTTGAAGTACTTTTCAAGGCGCTTCCAATGGTATTAACTGCAATAAGTGTTTTGACTGAAACTATTGAGCAATTTAATAAAATTTGAAATGAAGTTTTTAGCGAAAATGAACAGATTTTGCAGACGAAAGCCTCATAAATAAGGTTTCAGAGGTTGCGTTGGATCTAGAGAAGCATTTTGATTCAATATATACCGTAGTAAAAGTCTTTATTTTTGCTGTCAAAAACGCGATCATTTGATTTTCGATGAAAACCATGAGGTATCCCTCATGCTTTTGGACGATGTTTTCGAGATCCCAAAAAAGTTGAGCAAAAGTGTCAATAAGTTAGTGCTAGGTGAAAGCTATTGCGTGGTGTTATTTTGACGGTCTAAAACGGCTTTAAACACGAGAAAACACGGCTCAAATGCACTCAGATTTTGCTGTGTTTTGCATAGTTTTGGGTAGTAAGAGGCAACACAAGTGTGTTGTTTGTACGCATATTGGTTATTTCCATTGATATAGGCGTGGAACATTGTTGAAAATCTAGCTCCACAGTCCAGATATTTTATAAATAGCTCTTATGCGATAATTGAAGGCTAAACAGTGAAACTCGAACATATATTGGTAGAATGACCGAATGCCACGCTATACAGTAGGATGTCAAAAAGCACGGCCTTGATCGTGTCATTGTCACATTGCCATACTCTTCAATGATTATCTGGAATAATAGTGGAGCATTCCGCATTATCATATACGAGTGAGTATGCTTCGGATGGTTTTCTACCGATTACCCTTGCTTATTTTATTAAAATAATGCTACTTTCATTATAACCTCCCACTTACACATGGGAACCCTGCACATCATTTGTGGATCTGACTCTTATGCGATGTTCCACATCCGTTTACACGTAAATACTTTATATACAGGCAAGTAGCATACAGATACTATCCCTTTTTAGTCAACAGTGTAGCTAATACAGCAAGATCTGAGTGGATTTGAGCTGCGTTTTCTCGCGTTTAAGGCAGTTTTAGATCTTCATAATAACACCAAACAATAGCTTTCACCTGGCAGTTACTTATTGCCACTATCGCTCAACTTTTTGGGGACCAAAAAAAAATGGACAAAATTCGACCAAAAAGCATGAGGGGTACCTCATGGTTTTCATCAAAAACAAACGATTGCGTTTTTTACCTTGATAATAAAGACTTTTACTATGGTATATATTAAATCAAATTGTTGCTATCAATCCAACGCAACCCCTGAAGCTATTTTTGTGGGACCTTTATATGGAAAATCTCGACTTTTTGGCCAGAAGCCTCATTTCATATTTTCATAATTTGCTCAATAAATCTATTCAAAACATTTACCTGACTTGGTACCATTGGATGCGTCTTGAAAAGTACTTTGAGATTGTATTAGGAAGCAAAGGATGATCTTCACAACTTATATAGTCGGATCTTATAAAATAATTGAATCAAGTCGAAGAAAGACACTTTCTGTCCAATCTTGAACAGAAAAAATGTTCTGGATTGGAATCAATTTTGGCGGCTGGTGCGGCCGGCTAGCAGACTCAATGCCCTCCTTGTCACCATGAAGGCAATACAGTAATAGATACTTTTGAAGCGTATGGAAAGTAAGCGGCAGATCATATAACATTATCGTTAGCTATGCTGCTCTTTTTGAATCTATATTTGATAACGCCAGTCTATCAAAATACTTGTTAGATCAATTTCTTTCCTTTTTGAGGCTTTGAAAGTGTTTAGGGACCATAAATTTATTATGCTATGATATTATATACAGGCAAAATATCTTGACGTTAAATTATATGTATATGATTAAATTATGTACAAGCTTTACTGTACATTGGTTACAGCAATTAATGGGCAGTACAAACTTTGAAAGTCGATGTAATCATAAAAGAACATAATATTAAAGCTAATGACAAGACGTGGTTGTTTTTTATTAATGTGTATTTGAGTTTATGAGATCACCATACTTGATGGATTAAAATATTTCAGATTTTTGAGGCTATTTTGACTTGTATAGATAGAGGTAGCAGAGATATAAGAACGACTTGGCCTTGTATAGATGTCAGGCATTAATTGTCTTGATAATTGATTGAGTAAGAGGAAGCACAGATGAGAGTAGGGCTTGACCTTGTATAGATGTAGAGATGGTATATTTGAACAGTCTTGTCATTTTGGGAGCTTGTAGGAGGCACAGAGAACTTGGATTGATAGCATTTGGAGAGGACAGCTTGCTTTAGATGAGATAGAACATGAGATGGCAGAGGCAACTAGATAAAGATGAGATGAGTACACAAGTACTGTGGCATGAGTGCGTAACAAACCATTTGGGCAAAGAAAATTGACCATCAATAAAAGGAACCAACACTATATAAACAGGTACCAAGGTGTAAACTTGCTTCACCTATCACAAGATTATCGACACGCTCAAGACACCTTTATCTCGGATCATAGGGCTGAACCCAATTCTCGTCGGCAATAAAGCCTGTGGTCATCCCGTAGCATGACCAAAGGATTTGTCCTGCAGTCTACTCATGATTATGAAGCTGTGATCCTACTCAGTCCCTACAAAAAAGTAGTTTTTCGGCACTATGTAATCAATAGGTTAGTCAACATGGCTCATACGTCCAACAAGATAATAACTTACTCGCACAGTTCACCAAGGTCTGCATGTATCAAAGATAGTGTGGCCTTTTTCTAGCATGGACCAAAAGACGTAGAGAGGACCATGGATTTGTAAGGCATTGTATGTAGCAGTAGTAGAGGCCAATAGACAGTAGAGTATTTGATTTAGATGACCATATGTAGAGAGAGAGAGAGCCCAAATGTCTTGTAGAGAGTTTGTATGTATAGAGTATTTTGCTTGTTGTAGAGAGATGAGATGAAGAAGAAGAGGGAAAAGCTGTTGAAAAAAATCCCTATTTATATCCTTCTCATCGACTTTCATGTGAGTCTAGTATCCTTGCCACACTCAAATTCGTTTCCTTTTACTTTTCTCCACGATATACTACTTTGAGCGCGTGAAAATAGTACCATTTTGACGCTTGACACTTGCTCTATTTGATCCGCTTCGTCCGAGGCTTTCAACTGTTTTCTGTCTCGAGTTATGTCCATTTTGCTACTTCAAAAAGCCCTTTTTCCACCTTCACATGAAACGAGTTCCCCCATCTCTTCCTAGATGTAATTAACAGACAACTTTTCACTGGCTCAGCCTCATCAAAAAGTAAACAAAAAATGTCATTTGACACTGAAACAAATGCAGCTGGTTGCTTGATTAAGTAATCTTTTTTTTTTTTTACCTCTCCTTAATTTCTCTCTCCAAGATCATAAGGTTCTCGATCCATCTCTCTTGTTGTTTACATCAGCCATAAACCGTCCATCTAATCGGACAATACGAGTGTTAAGGTTGGTTTTCTTGTCGTTTACATCACATCGGAGCCAGCATAACTGATTCTGGACCAAGAAACAAGTGTACACCTCGGAAAACAAGCGTGCTATATGAATATTACTGCGGCAATCTCCATGGAATGGAACATAATGGATCGTTTTCGAACCAGTGCAAATCATCTTGTTTACAGCTATCATGGTTGCTGTCAATGATGTCAATCAAAGTGTTTGCGCTACTAGATATCATCAATATGCCCACATTTACATAGTGAGTTGGTCATTCTTGTGTATCATTCCTGCAACCTGTTTTTAGTTTTTATGCCAAGAGCATTCATCTTATAAAGAGTTTAACACGTTTCATATCATTTTTTTTTAGGGATCGTCCTCTTTTAGAAGGTATTCGAATCATGCAAGATCAAAATAATTCATTTGCTAGGCAAAATTAAGCTTTAAAAAAAATCACATGTAAAGTAAACAAAAGGACATGAATTGAAGAGTGATAAGCAAGTAAATGGCCAATTTGTGGTCAAAGAGAGGATATTTTATTAGAAGGTATGTACATCATTAGAAAGCAAATCACTTGAGGAATCCAATGGTACTATTTTCAGGGTTCTAAGTCAAGTGCACATCGCGAAATTCATCAAACAAGGCCGTGGGATTTCCAAAAGAAGGAGGTTTCTGAATTAAACTTTACCTGCAATATCATTTTTGTCTGTGTGCTATTCTGTTGCTTTGGATCATGTCACGCTCGTCCCATGTCACCAACCTGTTCTTTTTGGGTCTCACGTTGGGTACACTACCCATTTGAGAAGGAGTCTCGCTTTCTCGTATAATCGTTTCTGTGGGTATTATTGCCGTTATATTATAGGGCTTTGAGCAATCAAGGAGAGTCTTCTTTTAGCCAGCCAAAACGGATTACAATCCCGCTCGACTTTCTGTCACGATTCGTTGATTTTGGATCCTTTTGCGACTTGATCGACTTATTTTTACGAGATTCGACTATGAAAGTTGTAGTGATCATCCTTTACAGCCTTAAGCTATCTAGGAGAAGTTTTCAAGGCGCATCTAACGGTGCTAGGACGTGTTAAGGCTTGATACTGTATAATGATTTGGAACAATCATGGTAGAGAACCCCCCCCCCACCAATTCTACCATAATCCCACTGCCTTTGCGCGCAGTTAACTATTTTTTCGATTTGAAACAGTCATTGTGAAAAGACTTTGTATGACATTACAGATTTTAAGGTTAAACCCAACTGTATAAAATGCTTTCCAAAAAAAAAAAACCCCCCAGTGTCAACTCATATTGCTCCTTCTCTTCCATCTCAACAAAGCCAAACTCTACTTTTAGTATGGTCAATACCGACAACACTGCTAGACAACTTCAAACTTTGGGTGGTAGACAATACCATGCCAATTAAGATTGCTTATTTAATGCCAGAGGATGCAGATGGTATGTCAAACTAACCATCAAAACCATTGTGCGCAAAAAGTTGAAGCTTATGTATATATCTTGCATTGACATATGACAGAGATTGATCGTCTTCTAAAACAACATATAGTGCTCAAGTACAATCTTCAAGGGTAAGTTCAGTAATATGTGCTTCAAATGTCACGCCTTTAAATCAATATTTTCATTTCGTTCAGAAACTTCAAAGCTCCCTTGAGAGAAGCATTAGAACAAGGTATCGCTGTACTGGATTCTGGATGTGGCCCTGCTGCCTGAACCTTCGAAATGGCCAAGGAATTTTCCAACTCCAAATTTCATGGTATTGATATTACCCCTCAAGCATTTCCTGAGGGTGTCAAGCCTGATAATTGCGAGTTTCAGGTAGCAAACATTGCTGAGCATATACCCTATCCCGACAGCACTTTTGATTGTATTCACCAAAGACTTCTTGTTATGGGATTGACACACAAGAGCTGGGATAATGTATGTACAATGGGATTAACAATTCTACCGAGACCCTGATAGGGTGTGCTTACTGATTTACCGCATAGACTCCCAAAGAAATGTTTCGCGTATTGAAGCCTGGAGGATATATTGAGCTACATGAGGTAAGACAAGAATTGAGATAGGCTGCAGCTAAGTTGGCTGTGATTTATAACGATTTATTCAACCACTTCGTGGATGATATAATAGCCCAACCTCATGAGAATGCGTAATGCAGGCCCCTTTATCGAGCAGTTGCATAACACAAAGCGTACCAAGTGGAGAGACACTCACTATACACAAACCACAGTGCCACTACCTTGTAGTCACTGACATGCTCAAATCTCACCAAATTCCTGCCAGCATTGCCTTGGGGCTGGATGACCGTGTCTCTAATGCCGGCTTTGACGTCGAACGAATCATAATAACACCCATGCCAATCAATCATAAAGGCAAGGCAGGAGAATTACTCTGGCAAGCGCTTAAATTCTGCGTTGATACCAGACTACTCATCCATTGAATGTATGCAGGGAAGATTATCGCCACGCTTATGTGAACATCCGACCAATGATGTTGATGCAGAATCCAGGATAGGAGTCCCTTGAAGCTTATGAGCTCCATATGGATGCTTGCAGCGAAGAAGCCAAAGAAAATAGAACATTTTTGGATTGGTACACCTGCGTTGCTCAAAAGCCTCTCAAGTAATCACCTGCCATAGTTCTGCATCTTTTTGTCATTGCCAAACTTGCGGTTCAAAAAGTACAGGTTTAATTCAGAATAGAGAAGCCCAAAAAATTATTCTATAATCGCTCTATAGAAGCAGAATATATACTGTAGCACTGATGTTGGCATGGCCACACAGTGTTACATACATCTGATTATTGTATATCGATGAATTTAAGGTTCTGAACCGAATTCACTCAGCTCGGGTCGTTTGATTTGAGAACAGCGATACGAATTGCGCGTAAACAACAGCATCAAGGGCTAGCAATGGTTTCTATAGTGCGTATATGGCAGATCTGTATCGCGGGTGGGGGGGGGGAGGATAGATTTCAGATATAGGCAACGGCTTTTATACATAATCTGCTTGTGCACATGTTACACGGATATTTCGAAATCATACTCTCAACTTGTCGTATGCGCACATATTTCGCACTCAATAGAGCTCATTGATAGTGTATTAATCTGCAAATACAGCAACCAAATGACGCTTGACCTGCAAGGTTTCTAAGCATATTGGTCCTGCCTGTTACTTTGGATTCACTGCTGCTGAGCGACTTGTCAAATATGTCCTCCCATGTTTATGGATGTGCTACCATCATGGCAAATTTAGGAAACTAAACCCTATTTGGGTATGCACCAAAGGGATCGCATGCAACCTTAATAGCTTACCAACAATTTATATATCTTTTAGCTTTGTATACTATCAGCCATCATCTCTTTCCTTTTCTCTCCCTCTTTCCATACACATTAAACTTGAACTCGATGGGCGTGTTTTCATCGCTGATAAACTTGTTTAATAAGAGAGAAGCAAAACGATCTCCTACACTCAAATTTGAAAAGCCAATTCGCAACAGTAAAAAGTCGTCTATTTCCACCATTCAATCAAACATACAGAGTGTCTCATCCATGGGCACTGCCTCTAGCCCTACCAGCTCATCAAAGCAATTTGCAAGTGCCAGTAGTGGATACGCCTTTCAGTACAGAGATGGGCGACGATACCATACAGATGACGCAGTAGCCTATGTGCTTCCAAACGACAATGATGGTAACAGATCGATTGACATGTCCGCCAATGTAGACACTGATTTGATAATGTAGAGGCTGACAGAGTTCATGAACAGCATTGGATCCTGCGTGCTGCTCTACAATGGTAAAGACAGTTGCATGCTGAATGTGCATGCTGCATCTATTAACACGATTTCTACAGTAATTACCATGCTCCTGTTACCAAGCTGCTGGAGGAAGGAATTACAGTTCTGGATTCAGGCTGTGGACCAGCGACTTGGGCATTTGAGATGGGCGAGACATACCCCCGATCCAAATTTCATGGTATTGATGCTTCTTGCGTCTTCCCCGAGGACATCAAGCCCGCTAATGTCGAGTTTGTCATTGGTAATGTTGCCAAGCACATTCCTTATCCTGACAGCACATTCGACTATGTCCATCAAAGACTGCTCTTCCTTGGCTTGACTGAAAGTGATTGGGAATCTGTGAGTATATGACATATCTCAAGATATGAGATGCATAGATTCTAACCTTTTTCATTTTTAGACTCTTAAAGAACTATACCGTGTAATGAAACCTGGCGGGTATATTGATTTAGCTGAGGTATGTGTGTGATCTACATACTTCTCCTCCATATAAAAAAATTACAATAGACCCTGACACATTTTGTACTATTTTGTAGCCTGATGTGCAATCATTACTTACAGCCGGACCTTGTATGTTCACCTTGCAAACTACACGTGAGTGGTATTTCGTCAAGAGCATTCATGCATTTAATTAAATTCCAAGTTTTTGTATGACATTCCCAGTTTCTGATATGTCAAAGGCACGTGGCATGATTCCTAAAATTGCATTAGAACTAGAAGAACGCTTGCTGAAGGCTGGATTTGTGAACGCTGTTGTTAGAAGGGTAGACATCCCCTTGAATCACAGTGGAAAGGTTGGCGAGTTACTTTGGTAAATATCATTCTGAAACATTTGGCAGTACACACATTAATTGTCTTTGTTGCTATAGGGGCGATTATAAACATGCTTACTTGAATCTTCGTCCCGTCATGGCGAAATCCAACCCAGAGTTTGAAGATGAAAAGGTCTACAGTGAGTTTATTGACAAGTGTGGAGAGGAAACCAAGCAGAACAAAGGGTGCATGGGATGGGTCGCTGTGTATGCTCAGAAACCTCTCGATTAGAACAAACTTAGATATTCATTCCTTTACTACTACTTAATTCCATTGTATCTCCTGTAAGAATAACCGGTGCTTATATTTATATGCTTTTCTATGCTTTCACAATAAACTTTTTTTTTTTTTCACTCCATATTTGCTATGCTTGAGTATAAGATGATTTAAGACTGGAAAGACCAAGTTTAGTTAAATAAAGATATTTACATGTGTTAATGCAACATTAATGAGCGACAATGGACAAGAAAATGATAAATAGTGTAAAGAGGTATAAGGATTTTCGTTGGCATGTGCTTGATGACAATTATGGAGGCACTGTTGAGCTTGTTGTTGCTACACTCTCATAGCGAGGCGTGTATTCTGGCAAATCTAAATCGACGCAGGGCACTTCATCCCCACCAGGCTGGATTGTGGTTGGTGGGGCTGATGCGGATGTGGGCGGTAACGAGATCATGCTACTATCAGAAATAGTAGAGACGGATTGCACTGGGGAAAGGGGGTCTACAAAATAATCAGCTGTTGTGTTGGGTGGAAAATCAGTAATGATGATGGGAAACTCGAGTTCTAGCGGCTGTGCAGTAGCTGTCGAAGCGATGAAGTGTATTTGAAGTTTGACTCGATGTGATATCTCCAAAAATGGATCGAAATGATGTGTTCTAATAGTTTTTTGCGCTCTTTTTGTAGGAACCAGCGGTATAGGTGTACGAATAAAATGTGTTTCTGAGCTGTTGGAGAATGTAGGCGGATGATAAGCAGTGCTAGGAAATTGTGTTACCATGGGAGGCAGATTATGGACACCTGCTTTTGTACTGAACCTAAATATACCTGTCAAAATCTAAAAATACAAATCTTATAGCCTGATGTTACTTACCGGTAAGTCTCTAATTCCTCAATACAAAATTCAATTCGATCTACTTCCACTAGTTCCTTCTCCACACTCCATCTGAGAGCCATCACAATCTCGCCTGCTTCTATGGCTGTTGCTTTTGGCACCTCAGCAGACCATTCAAACCACTCTCGAACACCATGATACTCTACGCTTGGGATGAGAGAGCTGGGGCTAGGCAAATAGTGTCTACAGACGGTCACTGGTTTTTCGACCTTTTGTTTCTTTGAAAAGGCTCCTGAAGAAGAGCAAATGACTGATAGACTGTACTCAACAAAGGCATGCTTGGTTCTTATACTGGGAGGCAGATATGGAGGCAGATAGAAACCAAAGTCAATGACCTTTTCATGAGTAAAGATCAGCTCTTTTTCAACATCGCACAAGGTGACAGTAGTTTCTAAATGGGTCGTTGCTGAACTCGATTCTTGCAAATCAGACTGAGAGTTGACGACATCAGACGGCAGCGATGAGGAAGGCGCATGTATGTTTAGTCCGGCTTTTCCAGTGAAATGAAGTGTAATTCGAGTCCATTTTATCTTTGAATCATTGAAATAGACATTTCCTAGTAATTTCGTCCGTATTTGCGACATTGGATTGTCTCTGGTTGCAGGGCCAATATAAAACACAGGCTTGGAGTCTACTTCTAGCACAACTGGAGGCAGCTTTGTATTGGATTCATGGGTGAATTTCATGGTATTGTGAATGTGAATGAAAGAGAGTAGAAAAAAAAAAAAAAAAGTTTTTTTATTCGTCTTTTTTTTTTCCATTTAAAACCACGGGATTAGCGGTTGAATGGGAACAAATTGCCAAATTTGAAATGCTGGACCACAGGCACCTTCTTCAGTACCTCGGCAACGTACATTTTGGACATGCCTGTATTCACCTTGTTCCAGGAAAAGACGGATGAAATATCATTCAGCATGGGCGAGTGTTCAAAGAAGGGGCCTCTCTTGACTTGCAAAATGTATTGGATACATCGAAAGTACATGTAGTCGTCTGCAAATGCATCCACTGTGTCTCGCTGAAGAATTGATTTTGGCAGTAATCTAGGATGATCTATACAAAAACCTGAGTTAGTATGCAACATGGGCATGCCAATGCCATCTACCTACTGATCAACTGAGCACTCCCCCACACATAAGGCAGAAATTGGTGGTCGTCTAGTCCCCATACACCATGGCTGCCTGCGGGTTCCAGTGTATATGTCGTCTGTATCCTACGCACCAACTCTAGGTATTTTACAAATATCCTCAACACGATGGCTTGATAGTCATCAGGTGTGAATCCTCCCAGCAGTGCAATGCCAGCCAGCCAAGCAGCAAAGCTCAGTTCATGGCCAGATCCATAATCTATCCGAGTCTCATTTCCAAACCCCTTGTTCAAATACTCTGACAATTCAGGAATAGCATCATGTAAATCCTCGGATAACACGCTCTTCATGATAGTTGTGGAAGACTGTAGAGTCGATAGGACATGAGCAAAGCATACCATTTGTACTAGCCATCTACTTGCCTCTACTAATTTTGCAGCCCATGATCGAAAGGCTTTGTTTCCAAATCGCTGTGGGTTATCCAACGGAGGAAATTCATCTATCCATGAATCCAATGTGTCCAGCATGTCTAAAATGCGCTGTGTTTGCTGGAATGATAAACTGTGTGATGAGTGACATGTCAATATGGTTGCAGTGAATACTAACAGGAGATATATGACATGCATCTGATATCTTTTTCTGCATAACACTCTTATTCAACAACATGACAAAGGTCATGATGCGATCAAAAGCCCTCGTTTGGACAAAGGCATCGATGTCTCTTTGTTCGTGAATACGTGACACTGGCGCTGTGTATGTGTATTGTGGCCGAATGTTGGGTAATTGTGGTATATCTTCGTCTGTTTGCATGTGTATTATCTCGAGCTGAAAGAAGTGTGTCTCGACAAGCAGTGTGTGCATTTGTATGGGTTTATGATACATTTCATACATAGTCACATGAAACGTACCATTGAATGAATGCCATCATTTCATTACCTGATGTTGCTACATCTGCTCCGTACCTATGTGTGCCGAGCAAATTGCTTCAAGAATACTTGTGTGAGAGATGACATTATCAGTCATTCCGTAACAGAAGCAAAGTGTATGTTAAATCGACAGAATAGGATGGCTGGCTCCTATGCCTGATCTTGCTCGCGAAAGGTAATTGCCCGTGCTGCTTCTAAAGGGACGCTATCTAGAGTAAATAGGAGACACGGCACTCCATTGCATAGCTACTTTACAAGACATTTCATGTCTTTATTTGCTTAATACACCAAAATGACTTGACATAATGTTGTATCGTGCGATAGTGACCATGTCATTCCATATCGGCCGGTGCAGATGTTTGAATAAACGGCACATTTTGTTCTTTACTTGAAGAACTATAGCACATATCGCTAAGTACTGACATAGCATACTATATGCATGAAGAGCACAGACTGTAACATGATGATTGCATGATGACATGAAATCAATCAGTCCCTGGCTTCAACATACGCCTCTCTCGCGGCTATTTAAAATTGCATGAATATAGTGGCCATTCCAAATTCTTAACATTTTCATCCCTTGGAAACCAAAACAGACAAACTCATCTTATTCAGCCGTGTGATGGTCCCAACAATTACAAGCTCTACACGCATCACACTAGTCAGCGTTACAAACGAAACTTTGAGAGATCTAGCTGATTTACACGCACGTGTTTTCCCCATTGCGTATGGGCAGAAATTCTACAATGAGGTATTGAATGCTGGAGAATTAGCAAAAATGGGTAAGTGTTGGCTTTTCCAAACTTGATTGGCATGCATCTGAAACAAGAAACGGGATAGTCTACTATGACAATGAATATGCGGGTGCAATTTGCTGTCGAAAAGAACCTTCAAAGTATGCCAATTTCACAGCAAGGGTGTATATGATGACCCTGGGAGTTCTCAAGAAGTATAGAAATGTGGGTTTAGGTATACGTGTGTTTGTGTGTATGTGCCTATATGTGATGATCTATATGCTCAAAATTTATTGTATGACACAGGGAGCATACTCATCGAACACATTGTGGACACCTTGAGAAGACAGAGTGACCCAATCGTAACATCAATCTACCTGCATGTACAAACAGTCAATGAAGCAGCAATCCGGTTTTATACTCGTAATGGGTTCCGAATACAAAGTATCGTGCCGGATTACTACAAGTTGATTGAAAATAGAGACGCCTATATATTGGTTCGGCCAATATTCCACCTGTATGAAAATGGCGTCCAGCAGCAACAAGATCAGCAACTGCAGCAACTGCCATATAATGGGCATCCTATATGACAATGCATTGTACATTAATAAAGTAGGAGTATATATATATATATATATATATATATATATATATATATATATATATACCATTTCTATGAAACGTGTTTATCTTGGAGATCATCTTGATTGCTACTTTCAGAGAAATACTGATCGTGCAAATGTAGATCAATTTCGAAACAGTGCAACTTTAAAGTAACCTACTTGTTGGTTCAAATCAGGAATAATTTGAGTATTTGAGCCGTGTTTTCTCGCGTTAGAAGCCGTTTTAGACCGCCAGAGTAGCGCCAAACCGTTGCTCCCGTCTAGCAGTTACTTACAAACACCTTGAATGTGTCCAATATGAAGCAGGAAGTAAAGCTGAGTGTGAATCAATTTTAGTTGCTGGCCAAATGCCTTTCTGATGAGGACAAACGATGTTTGTGATGCTAATGAGAAGAGAATTACAGATTGAAACGTGCTTTTGCTTAGTCTAAATACTTGATTTCTTGTTTCATACGCATTTATATATATATATATATATATATATATATCTGGTAGACTTGGCCGTTGCAAAAGGCAAGTCCAAATGCGAGCCCTAATGCGAGATGTCGAAACCGAGATTGTAATACATCGACTGTGAGCCTTAATGGTAATGGTAACGGTAAATCGTACTATTGTTGAGCTATGCTCAAACACTTTAGGGTGTGCCTTGTCGAGATAATCTTTATCAACTGATACAGTCCAGAAATGCCATATTAAATTACCCCGAAAATAGGATTTGCTCGTGATTTAGAATAAAGCGGCTGGCTGTATTTACAATCGGATGCTGGAAAGAGACCAATATATCAATACACTCTGGTGTCAATGCATCAACAAGCAGATTCTTGACAAAATTGCTAGGTGCCCTTTTGTTTATTGTTATTCCATACAGACATGCATGGCAGTTTTGGTAACAAACAATGGTGCGACACTGACAGATTCTGCTTCCAATAAGATCCATGCCCCATTTAATGCAAAAAAAATTAGCCTCAATTGTGTATTTTTACAAACTTTGAAACCACATGAAGGGTGGAGTCCTAATACGACATCTCTTCTTCTCTGTTGCAGCTTTTTATTTTTTAGACTCTTGTACATCTTATCTCCTTTGTTTCCTACTCAAGAATTTGCTGTACTCTATGCTACCAAATATTGATTTTGCAGTACTCGCCTCAGTAACTGTTGTGGGGATATGTACATGTATGCTCGTTCGCTATTTACGAGGCCAAGAGAACTCGAACAAAAGCACATCATCACCGTCTCAAAGTGCCTTGTGGCCTCTATTTTGTCACTGGATACAATTGCTCAAGGTCTGTTGGTAGTACCATGTAGATGTTGTACGTATACTAACCGTCATGCTATGCTCCTACAGTCCTTGCTATCGTTCACACTATCGACATCCGAACAGTCGATTTTTGAAGAGGAATTTAAATACCTGATTGTAACATCATCTCTGTTCAATGAAACGCCTCAACATGCACCAGCAGCATCAGCAGCAGCATCAGCAGAGCGTCACAAATCAGTGTCATTCACATCGGCACAACCAGTGCAGGTGCATACCAGCAATGTCAAGCAGAAGCAACAAATCAAAGATTTCTCCAGTAGTAGTCTGACAGCCAGTCTAGTTGCGACTAACGTTATTTTCTCTGCTGTATCCCTTTTCATCATGGACCAGTTCCGCTCCATGTTACCAGCGATCTTATGCGCAGATGTAATGGCATGTTATTTTATTATTCGACACCAGGTAAGTGTTCATTCTCATTAAATGGCAGTACATATATTAAAAATGCGTTTGGAATTACAGAAACGTGTGCAGATACGTAAAATCCATGCATCAGCACTGGATTCCATGCATGAGATCATTTCTTTGTCTCAAAAAAGTGATGCCATGCTGAAACGCTTGTTGAAAGTGTCAAATGATCACCAGCAGCACCAACAAGCTCTTGGCTCACTGTTATCATCCCATTTCGAGACGTTCGTCATAACAGTTCAGCAACTGCAGCCCTTAATCGATGACCACAATCTGTCTCGCCTCCGGGACATGTACAATGTCAATGAGGATATCCCTTCCATGCTGTTGGCGTTTGACTCGCATCAATATAAACCTGAAGATGTCGACCTGATATACTCGGTCATTGTGTGGAAGCGACGGGAGTATTTGCTGTATTTATTAGCACTGGATGTCATGTCAAATAACAGAACGGCACGATACGGAAAGATTTGGAGTCAGGCCATCCAAGTAAACCACAATCTAGTGCGAGAATACCTTGTATTTAACAAGAATGTATCGGCCATATCTGCTGAGATGTCTAACTCAGGTAAGATCAACTGCTTGCACTACATTGCCATGCTTACTAAAATGCATTTCTAGATGAGGTGTCAAGCAAAAAAGAAAATGACAAGGTTTCTCTGGCTATTTCTACACTAGCAGATACCTCCAGAGCGAACGAGGAAACATCGATTTCTGACGGCAGATGCATTACATTGATGCATCGTGTATCTGTGGTCGAAAAACATATGGAGGACATCCAAGCCAAACTATTCCTGTGTAAACAAGATACAAAGTCGCTAGCATCAGGTCGAGGTATTGTATAAAGTCGTACTTGGAAGCAATCAATACTAAAGAAAAAAAAATATGGCGAGTAGTTTCCAGCTTTAGTCTCAAGAGGATAAGCAAGCGTTTCTCACATATAGATGAGAGTATGATTAGCTTAAGCAAGCAATGGGAGGAGAGCAAACATTCCTTGGATGCTTTAGTGGGAGAGGAGAAATCAAGGCTGAAATCAACATTCACATCACTTCCATCACCTCCCTCTTCACCTCGAGACTTTCGCCAAAATGTCTACAGCGTTGAGGAAGAGTCCAACACATCTCTGATGTCGCAAATGAGCAAACGTCGTAGCCATACCACTCCATTATAACTAGCGCATGAATGCTTTAAGCTCACTCCCTTTTCTCTATATGTATAGCAATTTTCAAAATAAAGTAGAGTATGGCACCATCATTTTTTGATCTGAGAGACTCTAATCGCTCCAAAATCAAAGAAAAGCCACTTGTTTGTATTGGATATGTGACTCTAATTCAAAGCCAATATCAAAGTGTTGACAATGCCAACTGGATTTTTTCATTTTATTCAATCATACACATTAAGATGGACCGTAAACGTGTTAATGGACCTGAAGCCAGTGTTGCTCCCATCTTTAAAAAAACAGAGGAGGACGTCAATGTCTTGGATGACGAAAAGAAGAGATTAGATAACAGAGGTACTGAGGATCTTCGACCTATTTGTAAGTAGTTTTCTTGCGACATTCTGAATATCACCACCAACACGTATGCAAATCTAGTTTTGAAGACTGGTCTCATCACACAGGCAAGTGGATCAGCATATATCGAAGTTGGAAACACAAAGGTCACCTGTGCAGTGTAGGTTGGTTTCTAGAGCACCCGATTATCCAATGCTGACGACGTTTGTATAGATATGGCCCTAGACAGCTGAAGAAAGCAGACTTCTCCAATCTCTGTAAACTCAATTGCGATTTTAAATTCTCGACATTCTCTTGCACAAAAAGAAGAGGCCACATTAGGGTAAATTCTGGCTTGCCTTATGTAAAGCCATTGCTAATATCCTCACCTTTAGGATGCTGAAGAGAAGGAATTTTCACAAATCTTGGTGGAAGCTCTCACACCAGCTGTCAGAGTGGAATTATTACCAAAATCAGCAATTGATATCTATGTCAACGTACTTGAAAATGATGGCACAAGCTCATGTCTTGCTGCTGCTATTGTAGCATCCAGCGTGGCACTAGCTGATGCAGGTATTGAAATGCTGGATCAAGTTACCGCATGTTCAACAATCTTCATGAACGATCAAGATATTCTCATGGACGGCACTGACGTAGAAGAAACCCACAAGGAAGGATCATTAGTTTTATCGTACATGCCATCGTTAAATGAAGTAACTCATATCCTTCAATCTGGGCGATCTGATAGCGCCATTAGTTCAAAAGCCATTGAACAGTGCATTGATGGTTGCTCCAAAATCTACAGTGTCATGTCAAACTCATTATTGCAATCTTTGGATAGATCAAAGACTACAGCTTGAGAAAATATAAGAATAAACTTTGGAAGTGTATATATATTATGATATCAATCTAAAGTGTGTGTTTATTCAAAGTCTAAAGTGTCTCTCCAGTTGGCAGTATCCACATGCTTGAGTGATCTATGTTTCCAGGCATCAGTGTGTGCAAAGGCTGTCAATATGATTTGACAGATATCACCATGTGCTACCAAAATGACAATCTTGCCCTCCATGTGGTTTTCAATCTTGTCTACAATGAAGCGAGTAGCTCTATCACAAACACTGCTGGGAGATTCAATGCCGTATTGGCTGTGTTCACCATGGTCAGGATCAGCAGCATCATCAATCCAGCAGAGCTCGTAGTTATCGTCAGATGTCATGTCAAATTTACCATACCAACGTTCTCTCAATTCCATTTCACGGATGGGTGCTGCTACCTTGCCATGAAGAACAGTGTCATTGAGGACGCCTTGGATGATTTCAGCAGTTTCAACAGTTCTCTTGAATGGTGAGCAGAACATGACAACAGGCGCATCATCATCTGCGGGTGCTTGTTGAGTAGGAAAGAGATGCTTAGATAATAGAGTAGCTGACTGGAATAAACATCATTTCAGTCCGTGGTCTTTATCGTATGTCTGATCATGTACACAGCAGTAGCTTACCTCTTTGACTTGAGCTTTTCCCTTTTCATGTAGACCATAACCTGTGTTCAAAGGTCCACCAGTAGCAGGAATAGCAATCTCAGGGTTTGAGCAAATCAATTTGTCGTTGTTAGCCAAAGAAAAGCCATGTCTTTGAATAATGTAGTGATTCTTGAGTTGTTTAGGCAAGTGATTGTAAGCTGGTTGGGCCATCTGAAAGTTATTTAGAGTATAGAGAAGAAACAAAGATGTTGAAATTTTTGAATTAATATAGCTTGTCGGGGCATTTAAATATGAGATAGTTCTGATAGTTTAAGCAAATTATCTTAGCACTCAACATCCATAAGAGCAACTCGTAGCACACATGTGTTCATTTTTGTGAGGTATTCTTTGGTGGTTCAGGTGGTGCTTGAGTATAGCTTAACGGTAAGTTCATGGTATGGGATTGAAGACAGTAGCCTGCTGATACAAAGTACCTTGCATCATCAGTAGCTTTATCTCATCGAAATCTCACTGAGCTTATTGAAACAATTTAGTGCCATTTTGCCTTCAACTCAGTCGATTCAATATTGATTCAGTAGGAAACTTCTTACTCTGACACAGGGTAACTCAATAAGCATACACGTAGAGTAAGCCAATCTCAGTACAAGCTGATTCAATCCAATGATGCTAAGCATTCGCATCAAACAGCATCATACCGAAATTTCCTACTGTTGTATAGTACGACGCAAAAATTGACAGTGCCTTTTCGCTGTACAAGCTATTTTATGTACATGTGATATGGAATTACATCAAATCAAAGGCTTTACACAGCGCTAGATCCTTCATGGTTCACCTGCAATAGTGGATATAGTTCATTTTCGATGCTCCCGATTTGAATCAATTGAAACAACTCATAAATGGGCTAATAGCATACTTGCATTATCTTCTACTGCTTGTAATTGAGTAAGCCACAGCGAAATTTGGATGCATTTGAGCCGTGTTTTCCCGCGTTAGAAGCCGTTTTAGACCGCCAGAGTAGCACCAAGCCGTTGCTCCCGTCTAGCAGTTACTTACAAACACCTTTGCTCAACTTTTCGGGCCAAAAAAAAAAACATGGCTAAAAATCGACCAAAAACCATGAGGGGTACCTCATGGTTTTCGTCAAAGATCAAACGATCGCATTTTTCACCTTGGTAATGAAGACTTTTACTATGGTATGTATTAAATCAAAATGCTTCTCTCGATCCAACGCAACCCCTGAAACCACTCTTTTTGGAACCTTGATATGTAAAATGTTGGCATTTTGGCCAAAAACCTCATTTCATATGTTCTAATATTGCTCCATACGTTGATTCAAAATAGATTTTATAATCAACACCATTGGGTGCGCCCTGAAAAGTACATTAAGAAAGCTTAAGGGTACATGGGATGGTCATGACATTTCATATAGTCGAATATGTCAGAATAGATCAATTGGATCGAAAAATGACAAAATACGTCCAATATGAAGCAGGAAGTAAGCTGAGTGTGAATCAATTTTAGTTGCTGGCCAAATGCCTTTTCTGATGAGGACAAGCGATATTAGTTGCTTAAAAAAAGAGTATTGCGTATTGAAAGTGCTATATAGCTTTTCCCCCCTAACTTACCTTTCCCGAATTCACTTCTTTCTTCTGTCATATATTTATTATGAATGATAGAAATATGAAACACTTTAAGTTTCTACGAGATATCTATTAAATGTCACGAGTGGTGGCTTTTATATTGCAATTGCTTCAGAAGTTTACCTGGTTAGATAGTGTCACTGTAGCTATAGGTTTTGTAAAGAGTGCTTTATATGCTGGAAGCCTCGATTACAAGTGCCATCGAGCCTCTCTTCAAAGCTTGCAAAAAAGGTATTCACCTTGCTGCATTTTGGCCTTGGATGAGCTATTCCATCTTTTAGTTACTGCGCATTTTGATAATACATAAGCTTTGGTAGTTTGATGCAGTTCCATATTTTATACGAACACGAAATATCAGCAAATATCTATCAAAAGCGTCCGAGGCAATCCATTTTTTGGGGGAGTGGGTTAATCGTACCATTCAAACTCCTTGATGGGCCAATTGATTGATCTGTATGTGTTCGAAGTGTATATTCAGATATCATACTAATCTTCGTATGTGTTGCATTGGTAATACGTATTTATTAATCTCATTAATGTGTGTGTGTGTGTGTGTGTGTGTACATGTACCATGGTATAGAAAGATTCAACATTCGTTATTTCTGTTGTAACTGAATCCTTGTTACACATATTTTCCTGCATCATTGCTGATTTGAGCTCTTTATAATGGCATGGATGTTATTGTGTAAGCACATAGTTATCAGTGATTAGATCGGCCACATTCAGAGTTGAGCTGTTCTTCTTTTTGAATTGGTATCAATGTGGGCTATTCGAACGAGCGAACAATAACAAGGGGTATTTCGAAAAGACGTTTATCATCTCAATTAGAGAGATTATCTCGGCTTCTCTCCTGAGCTGATCAATAGAAATGGCATGATCTCTGGTTTTACAATTAGTTTTCAACTTGTGGTTTTTTGAGTGGCTCCAATGAGTTGTACTAAAAAAGAAGCTTCTATACACATTTAGTATATTAGACATCTGTGCGTCATATAAATTGAGTAGTTGGCACCATTGAGAAGGTTAACCCAACTAGAATAGTGAGTGGGGCAATAATCTAATGCTTATTTACCCATTTTCGGGAGCCTAATCAAAAGAAATCTCGTTTCAGACACTAGTATAAATATCTGTAGAGATCAATCAAACAAGCATTTCATCTCTTTTTTTTTTTTAAAAAAAAAAATCCCTTTCATACAAAATACAAATACATAGAACAAGATGGTGTATCAATTTGAGCCCCCTTACGCTGTAGAAGCAAAAGGTTATGACAAGAAGGATGGTGAAACAGCTGTATATCGTCACTTCAAATTTGCAGACAAGCTTCTTGCACATCCTCCCAATATCTTCACCATGTGGCAAATGTACCTTCATGGTTATCACCTCAGCACTGGTAAGGATAAATGTCTGATATATATAACGCAAAGATGACTGATCTCTATTGCCTGCTCCTGTTACTGTAGATAAACCCTTTCTGGGCACTCGTAGAAAGGAGGATGGCGTTTACAAAGAGTATGAATGGGAGACACATCGTCAAGTAAGAATTCATATCGAGAACTTTGGCAAAGGTCTTGTTGCCTTGGGTTTACAAAGACAAAGCTCTCTCGGTGTATACAGTATCAATCGTCGTGAATGGGTAAGTATTAGATGTAACTACATTTTTTGCAGCAGCATATTGATTACAAATGTCAGACTATATCAGAAATCGCATGCTACCGTGAAGCCTTTATCATTGTTGCATTATACGACACGCTGGGCCCTGAAGCCATGGAGCACATTATCAACGAAACAGAGATGGAGTACATCATTGCCAGTAAAGACAAAATCCAAAATATCCTCGACATCAAAGCCAGTATTCCCATGATTAGACACATCATTTCCATGGACCCAGATGTTGATGGCCAAACAATGCAAAGAGCCAAGGAACTGGGAGTCGATATCCATACATTCAAGCAGGTAGAGAATTTGGGAGTAGATATTACTGAAGAGTCTGAAATGCCGTCCGTGGAAGATGTCGCTACAATCTGTTATACAAGTGGTACTACTGGAGTTCCCAAGGGTGCTGTTCTCACACAAGCAAACTGTGTCGCTTCCACATATGCCGTGTCTCATGTCAGCGAGATTGGATGCTTGGCCAATGTGGATGAGAATGACCTTTACGTTTCATATCTTCCCATGGCTCATGTGTTTGAACGCGTGGCTCAAGGTTTTGTGCTCTTCAGGGGTTCTGCTATCGGTTACTATCATGGTGATACCACAGGCTTGATGGACGATATCTACGAATTGAAGCCTACCATCTTTGTGTCTGTGCCTCGTTTGTTCAATCGTATCTATGACAAGGTACTGGCAGGTGTTGCTGCCAAGGGTGGAATCTCTAGTTACCTCTTCAACAAGGCGTATGCTGCCAAGAAAGCAAACCTGAATAACTCTGTACACCATTGGATATATGACAGACTTGTGTTTGCTCCTGTTCGCGAGAAGCTTGGTGGAAGAATCCGTTTCATTTTGAGTGGCTCTGCCCCTATTGCCCCTGAAGTATTGGAATTCCTTAAAATCTGTTTCTCTGCTGCCGTGCACGAAGGGTATGGCCAAACCGAGAATTACTGCAGTGGCGCATTGGTAAGACATGAGGGAAGCGTTCAAGGCAATGACACTAACATGTTCATGTAGACCATCATTGGCGATAACACCACAGGCGTTGTTGGTGCTCCATTCCCCTGCTCAGAAATGAAACTTGTTGATGTTCCTGACATGAAATATCTATCCACAGATCTTCCCTATCCGCGCGGTGAAATTTGTATCCGAGGCAACGGTGTTATGAGGGAGTTCTACAAGAATCCCGAGAAGACAGCAGAAGCCATTGACTCTGAGGGATGGCTGCATACAGGCGATATCGGTATGCTCGATGATGCAAAGCGTTTGGCCATCATTGATCGTCTCAAGAACATCTTCAAGCTTTCTCAAGGAGAATACATTGCACCTGAAAAGATCGAGAGTATATATCAAAAGAATGAACTTGTGGCACAGGCATTTGTCTACGGTGACTCTATGCAAGCACAATTGGTCGGCGTCTTTGTACCTGACAAGGTCACTCTACTGCGTTGGGCAGCAAAGAAGCCCGAGTTTGCAAACATGTCATTTGAAGAGCTTTGTGCCTCACCCGAGGTCAACAGTCAAGTTCTGAAAGATATTACCAAGTTTGGGAAGGAGAACAATTTAAAGGGCTTTGAGCAAGTCAAGGCACTTTATCTCTCCACCGACGAATTCACTGTTGAAAATGAACTGTTGACACCCACGTTCAAGCTGAAGCGTGAACTAGCCAAGAATTTATATCAAGATCAAATCAGAGACATGTACCATAAACTAACAAATGGCAGATCTTTCAACTAATTTCATACATTCAAATACACCATTATGGCATCTCTCAATAAACATCCCATACACTTCTAATATTTACAATTTAATTTATACAATACTTTTCTGAAAGACGTCTAATTTCTCCTGTAAATCCATGATTTGTTCCTTGATAAACTTCTTTTGTAGCTCATTCAATTGATTCAATTTGTCCAAGGCTGATTCCACAGAAAACTCTTCTTGTGTGCCTCGGGTGTTCAGTTCAATATCAATGTTGGGATGTGCAGTTCGTTTGAGACTGATAATGATAGGCTCCTCATTCTGTGGCGGCACCTGACTGATAGGTTCTGAATCTTTGATGGCCTGCCGTAATGGCTCTGCATTTTCTTTTGGTGTGATATGATCGTTGTGTGGTATCTCAGCATTATCCTTTGGTTCCACATGGCCATCTTTTGTATCCAAAGAGATGTTCTAGAGAGCAGAACGTTAATCATCTTTGAAGCCTCTTTCTGAACTTCCTACAACATACATTCTCTGCAATGCTAAATGAGTTGCTTCTGCGTCTCTTTTTCAAGGTATCACCTGTCGTATCCAGTTGTGTCGAATTAGCCCTGACAGCAGAGTGTGAATAACCCTCCTAGAATGCAATCCCCACGAATACCTACCTCTTCAATTCACTGCTACTACTATTTGTGCGTCGCTGCTGTGTTTGCTGCTCCAAAAATATGTGTGTGCTAGCATCGTATGTCTCGCAAAACTGTTCTACAGTCAATTCTCGAACAGACATGAGCATCTTGTTAATTTCGGTGTTTCCTTGAGCGCGCAGCGAGGCACACATGAACTCTATTCTCTGCTGAATATCTTCAATCCGTCGTTGTGCTATACCAAGTTGAATTAGTACACACAATTTGTACTTAATGTTGGTCGCTGGATATTACTTTCTTCTTCGAGTATAGCTATCGCCTCGTCTATGTCTTCATTCTTGTTCTTTTGTGTAGAAGACATTGTATCTTGATTGACGAGCCTTACTGTCATAATCAGTATTAGTACAGATAAGAAAAGAAAAAGAGAACTCCATGAGCAACATTTGCAAACCATTTAGCAGTTAATTTCCACGCGGCAGTTAAATTGTCTGGCAGTTGTTGCTATTGTCTGATTCATCATGCTTCATTTCAAGGTATCTCAAGGTAACCTATGACAATGACATTGATGCTGTTGATAGTAGGGACAGTGGTATTGTATAGAAGCTTATTTAGACGTTGTTGCTGTGTGTTTTATTGCCAAGGACTAGGTATCGTAGGCAAACATTAGATTGGCAGATGGTAAATCATTAGCTAGTTGCTGAGATGCTGCTGCACTAGAGGCTGTAGATTTGCTTGTAATTAAATGCTCATTCAGGTATATATTTTCATCGAATGCTGTAGTATATTTATACTAGCCGGTCAATCTCGCTACGCTCGATGTCGGCGTCGCCCTGTGAGCTCTCGCCAAAAACAATATAAATAAGGTATAATAAAATTTTGGTATACCAAGTAGATTTTAAACAATTTATTATCAGTAAAAGAAAAAAAAAAGAAAGGTTATATTAAAGCCACCAGGAGGAGGAGAGGAGGTATCTTCCTCAGCATCCTTTTTGCTTACATAGACGCCGTTTTCTGATAATAGAATTGCCATATCATTCGCTGCTGTTGATGCTCTTGATAAGATGGCGACATAAAGCTGGCTATGTGTAAATACAGGACTTGTGTAAGATTTACAGCGACTTTTTTGAGATATTGTCATTGTAAGAGACTCTTCAATGAGACAAAGCTCCCCAAAAAAGTATTTGCGCCAAGCAATTGTCCTTTCAATTCCATGATCCCCATTTAATCAGCATCGCAATCGTCATTGTCATCAGCAGAAAGGCATTTAGGTCAGCCAGCAGCAATGCCGCCCACTAAAATTAATTTAAGCTCCGCCTATGTTTTCTTTTCAACATTGGACAGATTTTGTCTTTCTTCGACCTCTTTAATCTATTTTATGAGATTCGACTATATAAACTGTAATATATCACCCCACGCTTCCTAATATACCCTTGAAGTACTTTTCAAGGCGCTTCCAATGGTGCTAATTGTAATAAGTGTTTTGACTGAAATTATTGAGCAATTTAATAAAATTTGAAATGTGGTTTTTAGCGAAGATAGCCATAATTTGCATATGAAAGTCTCATAAAAGCAGTTTCAGTGGTTGCTTTGGATCGAGAGAAACATTTTGATTCAATACATACCATAGTAAAAGTCTTCATTTTCAAGGTGAAAAATGCAATCGTTTGATTTTCGATGAAAACCATGAGGTACCCCTCATGCTTTTTGGTCGATTTTTGGTCATGATTTTTTTTTGGCTCAAAAAGTTGAGCAGAGGTGTCAGGAAGTTACTACTACTCAAGTACAATTGTTTGGCGTCATTCCGGTTGCTCATAAAAGTTTACATGTCAAGATATGAAGGCTTGAAAACTGTCCAATTTGGTTAGGCATTGCTTTATAGAGTTTATTGACACGGCATAAATCACATCTTTGGTAGCTGAAGCTTTCTGGAAAGGCAGTTCCGCAGCCTGTGCAACTTCTAATTCGAACAGGAGGCATATTGATTTTGGTAAAGCTGATTCATGCAAATTTTGATGCGCTATGTTGTTGGTAAGCTTATTAACAATGGAAATGAAAACCCGAATTTGCTGCTTAGATACTATGGTTTTGCATATTCGCTTCGCAACAATCAAGCCCTCGTATAAATCAACGCTATCAAATGCTGGACTGGATGCTTAGTTGTTATAGATTTGCACCTTTGCTTCGCTGCGATCAAGTCCTCATATAGATCAATGTTACCAAGTATTGGATTAGACGAGTTATGTTCTTCCCCAAACCCCCCTCCCTATTGCCGGCTCTGCTGGTGGTTTTATTCACCTTGTACGGCACACAATTCTTAAAATTCTCAAAGGATATGATTGGATTCTCTACTTTTTTTTTTTGATTGTTTTAGTATATAGTAAAGATCGGGAATTTCACATCTCTGGCATCGTATTACAAACTCAACAGGATGAAAAAATTTCTCAATCTGGATACAGGTGTTTCCAATCTTTCTAATCTTTCGCTTACCAGGTTTTAGATGTCTTGAGTGTTGACTCCTTTCATTAGATGAGCGCTGGCTAAATGCCAAAGTGCCTCTTGCCGTACAACGATCAAGTAGAATGCAGATTCAAGCGAAAAAGCTGCAAAGCAGCTGTTTTTTTCTGATCCGATGTTTTCCATAGTTTAATCCAATGTACAACGTCAGGGATCAGTAATAGATGTAACCATTTGCTCGCATGTACTCTTTCAAACTCCATGATAATATAAATAACATTGAAAAAAGATTTTCTCTTCATAAAATCTACATCTTTCTTCCTCTTCGGGCACACAATGGGTTCCAAGATCCAGACTAGCAGTGAATATCTACAAGACGGCAAGCAGCCTGCTCTAGCAGATGAAAGCTCTGTTGTTTCCTATGACACAACGGAGCCTCCCAAGTTTCGTAAAGCCATGTATCTCGCTGCCATCGTGGCTGCAGTGGGCGGCTTCATCTGCGGCTATGATACAGGGTCCATTAGTGGCATTCTGGCCATGCCTCAATTCACTGACAACTTCTTTACCAAGGACAACATTAACTACCTGCAAGGCTTGTTGCTTGCCTTATATCTGATGACAGCTGCTCTCGGTGCATTCTTTTCAGGCTTCTTTTGTGGTAAGACTATCAAGACATGTATACAATAGGCGAGCACTGACATTTTGATCCAGATCGCTACAGTAGAAAGTACTCTATCATCGGTGCTTCTGCTATCTTCAGTATTGGTATCTTGCTTCAAATCATAGGTGCTAATTTCGGTGTTGTGCTCGCTGGTCGTATCGTTGGAGGCTTTGGATCTGGCTTGATGACAAATGCAATTCCTCTCTATCACTCTGAAATTGCGCCTCCTGATATCCGTGGTCGCTTGATCAGTTTTTTCACATTGATGGCTTCATTCGGTCAAGTGGTTGGCTACTTTGTTACATTTGGTACTAGTTATGTTCCATCTGATTGGGCATGGCGTGGTCCTTGGTTGCTTCATATCATTGTCTGCATTGCTTTTGGCGGCATCATCTTTACGCTGCCCTTCTCTCCTCGTTGGCTTATCGATAAGCAGAGATACGATGAAGCAAAGGCCGTGCTCTCTGAACTGCATGAGGTGCCCATCACTCATTCTTTGGTCGTTAATGAGTATGAAGACATCTTTAACGAGCTGGAGATGGAGCGTTCTTTCGGTGATCGTAGCTATGCTGAGCTCTTCCAAGGCACAAACTTGAAGCGTACGTTGATCGCTTTCTTCATCGGTATCTCAACTTCCTTCACTGGTAGTGTGGCCATCTGGTATTACGCCCCTCAGATCATCCAAAGCGCTGGCCTTGACGATGCGTCCACTTCCATTGCTGCTTCTGGTGGCACTGGTATATTTGCTCTTATTTGTGCTTTTGTATCTCTCCAGTGGTGTATTGACAAGATGGGCCGCAGAGCTGTCTTCTTGATCGGTGCCAGTATCATGGGTATCAGCATGTTTGTCGTTGGCGCCATGTTCCAAGTGTATACTGAGGTAGACGTCGAGAACTACAGTGTTGTCATCACCAACCCATACGCTCGTAATACGATTATTGCATTCTTGTATATCTTTGTGGGCACCTTCCAGTTTAGTTGGGGCATTGCTTCCTATGTCTATCCCGCTGAAATCTTCAACATGAGAACGCGTGCCGCTGGTCTGGCAGCTACTTATGGCTTGAATTGGGCCTTCACCATCTTGATTACCTACTGTGTCCCTCTTTTTATTCAACACACTGTTTCTGGCGTCTATTTTTTCTTTGGTGCTTGTTGCTGCGTCTGCTTCATTGGCTGTTGCTTTATCCCCGAAACTAAGGGAAAGACTTTGGAAGAGATGGAATACGTCTTTGGTGCCAAGTAACATACAAAAATCCAAAACATGATAATACTAACTCTTATATGCTTCTTTTTCATCACCATGCTTTAACTTATTATCGCTTGGACTCTATTTCCGTAATCTCTTAATAAATAGGATCCGGCAACTCAGGCTCTTCTTCTCTCGCTGACAACCTGCCGAGGAAAAGGATTGCTTGTCTGTGGTACGGTCTTGTTGCTTGAACAATTTTATCATTGCATCAAGGGGTGCCTTTCCGACTCTTTTACAGAGGAGGTTACATGGCTGAGAATTTATACCCTTATCGAGCGGACCAGGATAATGCCTGCGTCGCCATGATGCGATAATGAAATTAGACAAGGAGCCAACTACTATACAACCTGGTGTGAGGGGTACCTGATTGGTATTATCTTTGGCTGGAGCGAGTGAGGTATTCGTAGGTAGTCTGTATTGGGGGGGGGGAGGAGGATTATGTTGGTTGGTATTTGGCTCCTTGTTCATTATGCATTGTTTGAGATTTACTTTTTGAGTTTTTGAATAAAATGCTGTATTATACCCTTTTTATCTTTGATTGCTAGTTTTTGAAAGATGTTTGTTATTTAAAGAGTAGGCTATCCATATGGTGCCAAGTATCAAATTAGAGTGCGGAGCATCTACACTAGCCTTTGCCATTGCAGATCATTATTTGTATATTATTTGGGCTACGTGTAATGAAACTGGTCACCATGCAACCAAATTACATTGGGTAGCTTATTAAAATATCAATACTAACAAGTACATCTTTGAGCTAAGGTATCGTTTATAGAATCCTAATGAATATAATTATAGTATTCAAAGGAAATTCCTCGAAATACTAGTTTAGTAGTTTCCAACTTGGCACAATCTCTACGACAAGGATGTTACGACAATTAGGATAGATTATACATATAAAGGTAAAACAGATGATATAAAATGACCTTATTTAGACAGGACACAGATCGCACCAAAAGATTCTTGAGCTTCTGGTTATTCTGTTGCAACCATATACATAAACAACAAAGCAGAAAAGAGCAAATCATCAATGTGGCTAAAAAGGCTCAAACGTTTGTCGACCAATGATAACAGCATGCCTTCCAGGAATTCTTTTGGATGTATTTCTTAAAATCGAAAATCTCGAGCCAGTGAGATTTGACTAGCTAGAGCTACCCCACGTGTGTCAGAGACTGATGTCGCCTGAGTTCCAGTCGAGGGCAGAAGGCATACAGTTAGCGCAACACCAAAGGGCGGTTTTTGTTTTCTCAAAAGGCGGTTACAATTTTCTCAAAGGGCGGTCTCGATTCTGGTAATCGCAAAAGAAAAGCACCATCAAAACCAAAGAAGCCTGCCTCCAAAGGAACTGTCACTGGCCATTATATGAATTTTATTCAGAAAACAATGGATGAAATGGATTGCATTCCGGAAATGAAAGGATATTATATAGTTATGGATAATGCACCAATACATACATCTAACGAGATTGATACTATGGTGACAGAGAGAGGATATAAGTGCATTTATCTCCCTCCTTACTCGCCTGAACTTAATCCTATTGAGCAATCTTGGTCCATAGTTAAAAATAAGGTCAAACGTAGTCAATTTCAAACTAAAGAGGATTTATCAACAAGAATAACTGAGGCTTGCAATAATGTTCCTCCAGAACATCTTCGAGCATTTGTACAACATTCGGTAAACATATTTGAAGATTGCTTAAAAAGGCAATCCTATCTAATAAAATGTCACAAACAACTGTAAAAAATATCTACTGAGGATCGAAGAGACCGCCCTTTGGAAAAAAAAAAAAACAATCCGCCTATTGAGAATTTTAAACCCCGCCTTTTTATTTAAAAAACCGCCCTTTGGTGTTGCGCTAACTGTATTTGCATGTTTTATAAATCTTCCTGTGGTTGTGCGTCGGCATGTATCCTACGCACGTTTTCACATGAAATGTGTAAATCAGGTTCCAATCTTGAATGCACCCATTTGGATCCAAGAGAATCTTGCTAACTGACATTTGGCCAACCATTTGAGTCTTTCAGAAAAGACGTGCATCGTGTGATGTCCATTATCAAAGAACACAAGCTTGCCAACATGCAATGTTTTCTGCCATGGTTTGTGTAAACATGGGCTGTATTACCTACATTGATAATAGGGTGATGGAGAGAAGAACCCGAAGTTTCTTCCATCATTTCCAACTAGCATACAGAAAGAAATCGTGGCCATAAAAATTTGACTGATTGGCTTACTGCTTCGGTTTCTAAAATCCAGAGTTCTACCTTGGATCAAGAACTAGAAGAATCATATAAATATAACAGAAATTTCAATAGACAGCACTCTTTCCATCAACACTTTTAATCAACACACTCACACTCACACTCACATTTTCAATGGAAATCCACGACTATACTTGGATCTTTGCTGTAGGCATGGTGGTGGCCTTTGCCGATGCTTTTGGTATCGGTGCTAATGATGTGGCCAATTCATTTGCCACTTCAGTCTCTTCAGGCTCACTGACACTGGTGCAGGCTTGTATTGTCGCTTGCTTTACTGAATTCTTGGGTGCTGTATTACTCGGTGCTGAAACTGCTGAAACCATCAAAGGCGGTATTTTAGCAATCGATCACTATGTTCAACAGCCAGAAATGCTCATGCTGGCCATGTTCTGTGCTCTTTGCGGTTCTGCTACTTGGGTATTAACAGCTTCTCGCTTTGGATGGCCCGTCAGTACAACTCACTCTATTGTGGGTGCCATCATTGGTGTTGGTATCTCTTCATTTGGTGCCAACTCGATTGATTGGGGTTTCAGTGGTGATTTCACTGGTGTTGCTCAAATTATCACTTCATGGTTCCTCTCGCCTATTGCCGCTGGTGTCGTTGCTGCCATCATTTACATGATCACTAAATATGCCATCTTGAGGCGTGTTGAGAGCTTCAAGTGGGGCATTCGTTTGGTTCCCGTCTACTTTTTCTTTACTGCTGGTATTGAAGCATTCTACATCATCTACAAGGCGCCAGGCGGTGGATCAAAGCACATGAACATTGGCACTATTGTTGGCATTGCTATTGGTGTCGCTGCTGGCTGTGCTGCTTTTGGCCAATTCTGCTTCTGTCCCTGGGTTGTTCGCAAGATCAAAGGAAGAGAAGTGCTCAAGTTGCACCACATGTTTTACATCTTTCTTGTCAAGAAGCAACCTACTATTGAAGAAATCACTGAAGCCGAAAACCGCGTCAACTCTCGTCCTGCCTCTATTCGATCTGGTGCCCATCTTGACGACGAGGCTGCTGTTGACAACGAAATGCTTTCTCCTGGCGAAGTGAACGAGAAATTGAAGCAATTGAACTCTGATGCTGAAGTAACTCAAAGCGAAAACGTCGTCTCTGCCGTTAATGTACCTGAAAGCAAGGGCAACTGGCTCACTACCAGAGTTACCGAGTACAAGACCAAGTTTGTTGGTGCAGCTATGAATGGTCTCCGTCAAGATGTTCGCAACTTGGACAATGATAAACTCGCTCACGTCCATGCCAACGCTGAACTCTTTGAAGATGATGCTGAATATCTCTTTTCTTTCTTGCAAGTCATCACTGCTTGTATGGCTTCCTTTGCTCATGGCTCCAATGATGTATCCAATGCTGTTGGCCCCATTTCATCCATTTATGAGATCTGGTCCACTGCCCAAGTCGATGTTAGTGGTAAGGTGCCAATTCCTGTCTGGATTCTCGTTTATGGTGGTGTTGCAATCGATTTTGGTCTTGCTATCATGGGCTATCGTGTGATGCGCGCTATGGGTAACAACATTACCTATTTCACTCCCTCTCGTGGTTTCTGTGCCGAATTATCAGCTGCTCTTACTGTGCTCACATGCTCTCAACTTGGCTTACCTGTCTCTACCACTCATTGTATTACTGGTGCATCTGCAGCAATTGGTCTCTGTAACACTAATGGCTGGAAGGCTGTCAATTGGAAAATGCTTGCTTGGTGCTGGTTCTCTTGGTTCCTTACTCTTCCAGCTGCAGGTCTCGTTGCTGGCCTTCTCTTTGCTCTCTTGGCTAATGCACCCAAATTTGTTTAATATTTCATATTATTTATTTATCCATCACATATATTATAATCCCTTAGCTTGCCATTCCAAGCCAAATAAAATTGTAAATACTGTCTATGCTAATTCAATCATCGCGAGCTGGTTTTCTGTTACTGCTCATTGTGGATCTCTGTAAATTTCTCTATTAATGAGGATATTCCCAATAGATAGCCTTCATCAGGTCCATCAGGGTTCTCTGGTGGATATGTAAAGCTTGCAGTATCATCTTCAGGCGACACGCATTTAGCAAAATCAATCATTCGCACATCTATTCTACAATCCTCGGAGTTTTCTGGCTTGCCACCATCATATATCAGCAGCAACGACGAGGCATAAAATCGGTATCCCTTCAAGGACCTGATAATACGGGCTAATCGATTCAGCTTTTTCAGCAACACAGGAATATGGTTCAATCGACCATCCAAGTAATCCACCAAATTCTTCTTGAATCCCTCTTCATCCAGTAGTCTTCCCATGTATTTATCATGAAAATCAAATCTCTTTTCATCTCGTTTATACACCTAACGATAGAGGGTGATCTTTTTAAATAAATGTAATTAACCATCCTCTCAATGGCAATGATTGGCATACCTGCATACCACAAATTCGAACGCCTAATTGGCGGCTTGTCGAGTTTATGCACTTGGATGTCTGGCTCTTCATCTTGACCTCATTCGAAAAGACACCGTAATGACGGTTGCCCATCTTTAAATCAAGCACACAGGGACACCGAATGTTGTCTGTAAGGTCTTCCAATAGTATGAATTGCTTCACCACGTTCCCCTCATTGAGCTGCTGCAGTTTCAGTCTGTCTCTTTCATACACTTGTTGGCCCCAGGGATTTGTGGGCGTCCTTCTTAATTGCCAGCGAGCAGATGATACATTGTCGCTGTCGTCGTCATTGTGATTGAAAGCATGACTGGTCGTACTACCTTTGCGACTTATATCCAAGCTGGACATGATGGCTTCGCCGTTCTGATGTTCATGCAGGGAAGGTAGACTTGGCGTAGTCAAGCTCATAGGCTCGTTGTACAGTGGCTCGCTGGATTTAGCATTGTTGTCACCCAACACTGACTTGAGTTGAATGGTCATCTTTTCTATGGCTGGAGCCGCCTCTGCGTCCTGCTGTTGCTGCAGTTCTTGTTGCTCCAAAGCGTCCTGTTGCAATTTCATACGTTCTCTAAGTGCACTTGGATTGAATACTTCGCACAGCACTCGTTTGCGAAACTCTGTGAATCTCGAGTTGCATTCATCGGCGTTAGGAGACCACTGCTGGAAATCATCATTCAGAATGTCGGGTGTAGCAGCTGTGCCTCTGTCGATCTGCTGGTTGCCCAGTGAGTACCAGTCCTTCAAAAGCTGTTCATTATCATCGAAAATGACTTCTGGCAACAGGGCCCGGCTGTCTTGGTAATATGTGGCGTTCAGTAAGCCGAGATATTGCGACAAAAATGGCAGAAGCTCTGGATGATTGGATTCAAGATGGACGTAAAACTCCTGTTCCTTGGGTGCAGCTGGTTTGCAGATGGCTCTCTTTGAGAATCGAAAGAAAGGTGTATGACCGCCCACTTGATTGGTAAAAGGTAACAATGGAATCCCTGATGTGATGCATTTAGGATCAAAGCTATTGTGGCGCTCAGTTGTTACCATGATACTATTGAGAGAAAGAAGAGAAATGAAATGAAATATCAAGACTGATGATTTATATTAAGCCCATTTAAACCTTATTTTCCTAAAGCTAATCATTACCACGTGCACTCATAGCATTATTCAAGCACTTTGAATAGAGAGTGCGTGTATCCAGTGCGCACATTTTGTTTATTTCTTCAAAACAAGACAACGGTAGGCACATAGCCGTTCTTCATGACTTCCATGACAACTCCCTCATCGTATCCAGTAAGATAAGTGGAACCAAATGGGTTTTGTTCGCTTGATCCTCGAGTCAGTATAACGGGCTTTTGCTGAGGTGTATTGTCTTTGATGGCATTGCTGGTTTCCCAGGGGATACGCTCTTGAATGTCAGTGATCTACCCGGAAAAAAAAAAAAAAAAAAAAAAAAAAAAAAAAGCAAGACTGAGTCCATGGTAGCTTATGATTTATCTGATCTGATCTGTACCTTCATATCAGCAGTAACTGTAGTCTCACTCTCATCATCCACATCCACCAATAATGACGCAGTGTCTGCCTTTTTATCTGATTTCAAATACATTAATTCATGCTTGGCCTCATCATCCACAACATAGTACTTACTCGTATTCTTGGGAAATATGATTTGAAATGGACATCGCTTGTATCTACAGAGGAAATGGAGTCATTTCAATGATACAACCCATATGCAAGTTATTTCGTACCTTTGGAAATCGTAATGACCTGGCACGTTACCATGGAGTATAATCTTCTTACATACATGCAACCCTCCATCGATCAAGATGTCTATACCCAGGTGGAAATAGTTGAAAAAGTAATCTGTGGGCTGAACTAGAGAAGGATCTAATGCCTATTAGCATCGGCCACTCTGACCATGCGTTTTCATTACCTTTGTCCTTATCGTCGCTGCCTGCTGCTGTGGTGGATGTATCACCGGATTTAGACTCAATGGGGTGTGATGACTTCGATAATAGTGTCGTATCCGTGACCGAGTGAATCTTCATTTTATCCTCTTCTTTGTAAAATGTCCTTGATGGTTTACCCAGATCAGCCAGAATATCTTGTGCCGTCGTTGTGTTGAGAAGTATACTGACATTCTGATGGACAATGTTGACATTGGCAGCGCTCGCGATGGCATTGCCAGCCGAATTGCTGCTGCTGTTATTGGTCATATTAGTGGATGATTTATCTAGTGATATATCGGTATCTGCTGTACTCCCATGTGTTGGAAATCGTAATGTAATGCCGTGGGTGGGCTTGGCGATAATCGTCTCTACCTCACGTTTGCCTAATTTGCCGTATTTCGCTGAATTACTTGCATTCGACTCTGCAATGAATTTGGCCAAGGGAGGCAGAGTTGCTTGTTGCCAAGTGTTACTGTTGCTGTAGAGAATGACTTTGGATGCGATGGGTGTTGTGCCATCAGGAAATTCCAGAGGTAGATCCGTCGATAGTTTGTACAAGTTCTGGTGTTTGATGGGTATCGGAAACGTGAATGCTAATCCAGGGTATTTGAGTGTGTAGATGCTTTGGTTCGAGTCAAATTCACCGGGATATGTAGGTCCAAAGGATTTGTATATCAGTAGAAATGTCGGGATTGTTCTGCTTGAACTAAAATTCATGCAAAATAGTGTCAATGCACTACAATTTGTTCTTATCAACCAGTCCTTACCTCACATCGCTGCTCTGATAAACGAGCTTGACCTTGCTTGGGTCGTAGCATTCAACAGATTTCAACCTCTGCAACGATCCATCGTATCGTAGATTGAGCCCATTTGCTGGTAATGCGATAATAAAATCAAAATCTAATGGATGCTATGTACATTTCAATGTTAGGCTCTCTCGTCATCCAAGCATGCGAGTGCCTTGCCTACCTCTTGACTGTACTTGAGTTCGACTGAGGGAAAAAACTGCGGTTTACCTGATAGAAAATGAATCGTATCCCATAACGAAGAACCTGGCGATGGATTAGATCCAGCTGGTATGATCGAGACAATGTTTATAAGCTCAATTTACCTAATCTAAATGGCCCCAAGCTTCTTCCTGGTATAATAACGAGTTCTATCTTCTTTGAGCGTGGTTGCTGTTGCTTTTGAGTATCATTCATATCCACCAAAATTGAAGAAAAAAAAAAGAGAAAGAGAAAGAGTCAATAGGGGTGAGAAATTGAACGAGATGGCGAGTTATTTATTGGACAAGGCGTGTCACAGTTTGCAAGCGATAATACGACACATATACACATGATCAGCTTATGGATCTAATTGAGAGATCAACAGAAACAGAATCAGAAAAGTAACAAGACTAGATGCAAAGGTCAATGCCACCCTGTTGCTACCCGTTTTCACTGGAATATCGGGATTGAATACATGCTTGAATTGCCGGTGTCGCATATAAGCAATCAGTAGCATGGACATGCCAAACGAAAAAAAAAAGACAAGCGCAATACGATAGAACTCAATTGTGAATACTTTGAGTATGAGGAGGCCCATGGAGAATGCTGACAATGCTGTTCTCCAATAAGCTCCTTCAAATGTTCTTTGATAAGCTGCTCTGGAGTTAGTATCTTTTTTTTTTTTTTTTTTTTTTTGATGTAGAGTAGATAATACACCTCGAATGTCTTGTAGCTCTGATTGATTCAGCAACATTTTGGATGATGAACAAGGGGAATCAGTTGTATCAAGCTGATATTTATACTATCAACATGATCAAATTAACGTTTGGATCTTTCAAGAACACATATGATCATGCGTCCACCACCAAACATCTTACAGTTACTGTTGGATAACGTCCTGGACTTGGCAGCAAAATAACTTTCTAGTCAGTGATAGCTCTCTCCTTAGGGGGGGGGGGGTTTCTCATGTATCCACCCTCCACATCAGGCTGAAGCTCTGATTGTATGAGTCAACAAGGTTTGAAACCGGATCGGCAGCGGATAAATCGACATGGCCGTGCCGTGATTGCATAAAAGCCCTAGCACATCAAATTCTTGAGACATTTCTTTGTATTCTCTCTCGCTCTCGCATCATCAACTATTTCATATGTCTTCACTAGCCACTTTGATCTACACTCCTCGCTCTATCGGTCTCTTTGCCAATGGTGTATTTACTGGCATCGGCCTCTGCATGAATTATGTCTGTGTCCCCGCTATCAAGGCTACCCAAGATCCATTGCCCGTCTTTTACCAAGTGTATGGCAAAGCATCCAAAATCGCTCAGCTCAGTATCGTTGTGAGTACAGTAGCTAATGCAGTATGCTACTACAGAACCAAAGATACTCGATTCATCTACTCTACGGCACTCTCCTTTCTGAGCATCCCTTTTACTCTCCTCTTCATGATGCCTGTCAACAATCAACTGTTTGCCATGGAGAAGGACGGTGCCAATTACGATCGCAAGCAAGTCCATCAACACGTTGCAAAATGGAACAAGCTCCAATATGTCAGAACTATCTCTGGTACTGCTGCCTTTTTGATTAATATTCTTTACCGCTAAATACAAAACTTGCCTTAAATAAATGATGTAATTCGTGTAATTTATTGTATACTTCCTCGCTTGTTTGTTGAGTATACTTACAGGGAAAATGAACTCGAACAAGACTTACCCTGCAGAGCAGCTGCCATGCAATTCGCTAAATGCAACTCGACATCCATCACATATGATTGTGCTGCGAAATGTATATGTTTATTGATCGAGTTGTTATAAATGCTATAGTCTTTGCTGATATTGTCTAATTTGACGCCAAACAAATGGCTCCAGCTTTGCATCAGTCGGTTTACTCAGATCCAAGTTGTTCCAAATTCGTTTATAAGCTGATAGGATCTCTTGTGTTGATAGTTTTGAAATGTCAATGCTCTTTCCGCTATTTTGCTCATCCTGTTCTTTTGCTATTATTTCTTGTGAGGCGTTGGCAGGCTGTATCCACTGTTTAGTACTGTACAGCTTACCATCTACTATGGATTCATGTAATCGAATTGTCTTTTCAGGCGGTGTCGCTGAATCACCGCTTTCATCTTGCTCAAATGTGCGCACTCGTTTTCTTGAACAATCTGGTTGTAATTCCACATTGGACCATTGGATCAGCTGCTCGTTTTCAGTTGGTATTTGGTATGCAGTCATTGTTTGAGTTGAAAGGGTATAATAATGATGATGCTGTAATGAGTTTATTATGTACAAGAAACAATCAAAGAGAGAAAGAGAGAGAGAGAGAGAGAGAGAGAGAAAGAAAAAAGAGGAGAATTAGAAAGGGTTATATATATATATATTCTACACCTGATTAGTTCTCCGGCTTTCTCGTGTTTTCTACTGTCCTTCTTCAAACCAACACTTGACTAATGGTATTAACTGATCTCCTAATTGCGTTGCATTTGCCTAATAAAACAAGGCTATGATTAGCTGACTAAGGAGGCTTGATTAGGAGAGATCTTACATGGAGACAAGAGATCGTTGATAGGGATTCCTTTAGCGATTGCATGTTATTCAGGATAATTGCATCTGTTAGGTGAGCAGATATAAATATAACCAAGCAGAGGTCTTTTTCGTATGTACAAGAGTCAGTAACATGATCATACATGCTGTTCCATATTACTAATTTCATGCTGTTTAATCCAATGATGGTGAATGGCGATGTGGTATGTTTGGCATCTTCTTCGTCGTCTTCTTCTTCTTCTTCTTCGATGTCTGTGTATTCATGGTCATCTTCTTCTTGCTCTTCTTGGTCGTCGTCCTCTTGTTGCTCTCTATCGACGAATGGCATGTCATTGACTACAGTGAACAGAGATTGCAATACGCCTACAAACATGGGCAGCCGCTCCTCCAACACATTGGATGATGGAGCCAAGTATTGTACAATTTCAGACTCTGGAGCATATTCATTCGTGAGCGCCTTTTTCGAATACAAACAAAAAGAGGGCAATGGAAACAACAGAGACTGTTGCTGTTCTGTTTGTTTATCAGTGGCGATCGACAAGGACGATGAAAATGAGGGCGAAGGCTTTATGGAACTATTCCGCTTGGCTTTGCTTGCTGGTGGTGTTGTTGTATCTGTCGATATCGATGCCAGTGAACTGAAAGACGGGATAGCAGAGCAAGAAGCTGCCTTTTGATGATGACCCATGATATAATTGAAATCAAAAGAGAGAGAGAAAGAGAGAGAGAGAGAAAGAGGAATATTAATTATTTATTTGCTTAATATGGCACCCACACAAAATAAGCTCTATGTTTATCGCTCAATTTACGTCATTTGTTTGTTACAGTTGCCATCCAGTTCATCCTGCTCAATGACCAAGGAATCATGCCTGTATTCTGCTTACAAGGTGTGTCAGTAAATGCAACATTCAGCCAAGCATGGTTTTTTTTTTTTTTATATCTGGGACACTTACCCTTCTCCAAGCGGATGATATTGGGAGGCACTTGGTCCTTGTAGTCACTGCTATTGCGATTGGACCTCTTTTTCAGATAGTTGTTCTTGATCCTGTCTGCCGATGTGGTCGCTTCAGGTACAGCTGTCTCCTGCTGCTCTTTGGTATAGAAAATGTATTCAAATTCGCTCATCAACAGCGTAAAGATGCCTGACGGAATAGACAGTGTGGGTGCAAATACAATGCTAACATTGCGCAGTGTCATCTTGTTGGTATCCGCATTGTGCACAATATGGATCAAATGAGCAATCAATGTTCGCAGAAGTGTGTAGTTTGCCAAGGGCAGAATAGATACCAGGAGACCCAGTTCCTGAATCTTGCTCTGCTTGTCTTTGATGTCTACCATAAGTGCATGTCAGCAGGTGCTTCAGTACGTTGTCTATACCAAACTTACCACAGATCAATAAGAAATCATTTAACAGCTCATGGGTCAACACATTGATAGGAAGCTCTCGTAGCCAAGCTTTCAGTAAGCCAGCTACCACGTGTACATCCACATCAGCATACTTTTTATCTAGCAAGTCGACATCTCCATATTCACAAAACTGCTGTCTAAGATAACTCATCTGAGCTGAACTGCCACTCAGACGGTAAATGCCCTCTTCATGGATAGCCTTCTTTTCTTCCAGATAGGCGATACATCGATACACAATCGCAGGCAGTTGGTATCGTTCAGAGATTCGGGATACTCGGATAGCTGCCTCGAGGGGAACACCAAATATTTGAAACATGGGCGTAGAACATGCACTGCTACCACTACTGGATGTCTCCTCTGTATTGTTTATAAATGGAAATGAGAGTGTATGTCTGATGCTGGCGGTATCTACTATAGGCAATGCTGCACTTGTGGGTGATGTCGTCGTAGATGTAGGTGAGGCCGATGGCATTGTATTGCTGTTGCTAAAGAATTTGCGTCGAGACCAAAATGACTTACGGTGTTTCTTGCTCTTTTCGTCGCTTTGCAAGTCCAGCGGCAGTGAGTCAGCACTCGCTTTGAGAACAACAGTGCGCTGCTGTGTTTGCTGATGCGGCTGATGGACAGATTCATAGTAATTCAAGATGGTCTGGTCGTCCATGCTGGAACGAGTGTTGTCTTGCAAGAGCATGGAGTGTTCAATGTACATGCTCTTGTGGTGATGGAGATGGTTGTTGTTGCTGCTGCTCCTTGCGGGTACTGCAGTTGACTCTGAATGGTGTCGTGTGATGGGCTGTTGCTGTGTACGTCTCTTTTTGGTGGCCATCAAGAGTGCCTGTACCCAGTCATCTCGCTCAGTATCCGAGGCAGCCCCAAGTATGATAGGCGCTGCTTCATGGACAATCACAAAAGCATGCTCAAATGGTTCTACATTGCCGTCTGCTTGTTTACCAATCTGAGTGTCATGATTCAGTGGAATGCAACGCACATGGAGGTCACCTTTGTGAGTCTAATAGGACAACAGTTCAGTAACAAGCACCACAAGCACCACTACAACACTCTTACGCTAAAGTATCTCAACTCGGATTCAAACAGAATAAAGTAATATGATTTCCAACCACCGATGATATGTTTTCCTCTTTTAGACAGATAGCCTTGCTGCTGCTGTTGATGTTTGGCTGATTTTACTGAAATAAATGAATAAACAGGCGATAAATCACTTTGACATTGAAGCGCCCGCTTGAAGAAATCCTCCATCATGGTCTTCAGCTGCTTTCTGTCCACAGAATCTAGAGCAAGATGGAATGAAAGGTTCAGTTTTTTATGTAACTGATTTTTTTTTTGTTTGCATGTTAGTTGCACAGAATTCATTTGTTTATGGTTGGTGTAAACGTTACTGTGTGGTTTAAATGTATCAGCTCTGTGAATGTCTTTTCAATAGCCCATAGTTCGAGGTTGACATGATCCATTACAGCTAATGAAAATCGATTCGAGTGCACTGATTTGACCTTGATGTGGGCCTTGCTTTGTGGTGCCGTAGTAAAAGTAGTAGTGGGTATGGACTTGCGTTTTTGGGTATAGTTATTCTCGGGTGTTTCACCATGATTATGAGATCTATAAGGCGATCTTGGTGGAGGCGTTGGTATAGACTTGGCTTTGAGCAACAAACCGTCTCTTTCAGATGTAACATCGACAAGAGCTTGTTGCAATTCTTGTATAATGGCACGTTGTTTCTCGATAATGTGCCATAAGTCTTGTTTGGATTTGCAAATCTGGGTATCTTTGAAGGAGGATGTGTCGATGGTTGAGTGAGATGAGTAGGAGCATGATGAGCTGGATGATGTGTGCGTGGGTATGATCATTGACATGTTGGTATATATATATATATATATATATATATATAAATGAATGAAAGAAACTGGAGAAAGAAGAGGAAAGAGAAAGAAAGAAAGAAAAAAAAAAAAAAAACTCTAACTTTGATGTAACTTGACCAGGTTATATAGTATACATAGCCTAGAGCCAGTATAGATAGCAATTTGACAAGTGGGGTCAATAAATAGTAAATTTCAATTTATTTGTCTGGATATTTTGGTATTCCACCCTCTTCGTTCCCTTGTATCAGTCGTCTACACAGTGTTTGGAGATAAAATATCGCTATAAATAAGATGTTAATATGAGGAAGTGTCTCTTGCAATCAAATGTAAATTGAATGTTACCATAGTTGTAACCACTCTTCATCACGGGTATTTCGTCCGAGATAATTTCGGAGCTCCAAGAAGATCCACACCTTAATCCAGTGGCCTCCTCGTAATTGAGGATCCTTCATCTCTTCCAATGCTGCTTTACCTCCCTCTTTGATACTGTAGTCTCTGAGCACGGGCAATGCATTCTTAAACAGGTCCAGATCAGGGTTCAGCTGTCTTCCAATGCCCTCCAAGAGCATGATGCTGACCACGACATTGATGAAATCGCCCTCCATTTTGACATGATGCGATCGAACCATGTTCATTGTCTCGTGCAACAAATTGCCAATCTTCACTGCACCCAAATGAAAAGTGTTTTGCTTCAATCCAAGAATCAAGTTTTGCATCCTCAACGCAAACACATCAGGCTGAATGACAACTTCAGGTGATCTGCATCTCTCTACCATCAGTTCGCCCACTCTGTATCCGTCAAATTGAGCCACTGCTTGGAACAGATCCAGAAAGTTTCTTCGGTTGACGTCGTTCAGTTCGTTGACCAGGCCAGTATCGATAAACACAAGGCGTGGTGAGTAGCCCTCTCGCTGCAATAGCTCGAGTTCCTTCTGCACTGCTTCTGGATCGTGCTTCACTGCCAGAATGCGGTTCACTGCTGATTCACCATTGTCTTTCAGTTCTCGCCCCAATAGCTTTGACCATGCTAATCTCAGTGGATGATGGGCGGACGGTCTATAAAACTCGACCATGATGTTTCCCGGATGCAAATCTGCATGAACAAAGTTGTAGAAAATCAACATATGCTAAATGTGTATAATGAGTTTTTCTATACAGAGCATGAATCCCTATGAAACAGCTACCAAAAAAGCGTTCAATCCAATATCGGCAATCTTGTGGTCGAAAATAGGGTCCAGTTCGTTCTTTCGAGTAAATGAAGCTTGATTTAGAAACAAATCAAGCGGGATGCCCTTGACGTATTCTTCCAACAACATGTCTTTGGTGGTAAAAGCGGCTAGTGATTTGGGAATCTTGACATCTCTGGCGTCTGCAAAATACTCGTTGAATCGCCTGAGGTTGTTTCCTTCTCCTCGCAAGTCCAACTGCTCCTTCATCATCTCGCCAAACACTCGCACTTCATCTGGCAATGAGAGCCAATGGATGGTCGGGATCAATGTTAATAACTTGGCCACACACCCCATGATGATCAAATCTCGTTGTACAATTTGGCGTGCCTTGGGATGCAGGACTTTGATAGCCACAGCAGTGTGTAGCACAATTGAATTCCCCTCACTGTCCAATGTCTGGACCGAGTCCGTTGTGATGGTGTTGTCTTGCAGCGAAAATTGCTCGGCGGCATGGCCCAGCAAAATCTCTGGTCGAATGCGAGCCTTGTATACCTGTGCAATAGCGCCTACACCTAATGGCTCTGGATCCAATTCAGTAAACACCTGGTCTAACGGTCTGCCAAATGCTTCTTCTATCACTTTCTGGGTATAACTGAATGGATGTGGATCCACATGTGAGTGCAGCTTGGATAATCGAGTGCACAGAGCTAATGGGAACAGATCTGTACGAGATGCCACCCATTGAGCAAGCTTTTTTTTTTTTTATACATGGTCAGTTTCTCAACCTGCTCGATACATTTCTGCGCCCGTTTACCTTGATAAATGTAGGCCCAGCTCTCTCCATCTGCGTTGCAAGCAAGTCATACCACCACAAGGTACCAGCCCTTTCGTCTTCGTTCTCTTTTTGTCCAAAGAATACAATGGGTACAGTGATAGCCACCGGTAAAAACAGTAACAAGATGTGGGTTAATCGTCTAAGCGTTAATATAGGCTCTAGTATGTAGGCATCGAGAAATTGTATGATACGTTTGCATAGACGGATGAGCATGAATCTAGACTCGTGCGTCAACTCTGCGTGCTCTATTTCTGCTGGCGACGCTGGTGAATCAATGCTGCCCACACGTACGGCCTTTTTATCGACAGAATGAAAGCGAAATGGTGCACTGGCAAGCAAGGCAAGCGTTCCCTTGGAATGGTAAGTTTGTGTAGTAAGGATGGTGGCCGGTCGAAGACAGCAAGTGCTCTGCCTAGCGCCTTTTCCAAGGGAAAAAGACCTTGTTGTAAGCAATCTACTGTGCTGATGCTGTCGGGAGACACAAGGTCGTAATAGAGCCTTTTGTAAAGGAAGCCTATGCATATGCGTTGTAATCTTGAGTGAATAAAAAGAGAATTAAGGGAAGATTTTCCAAAAACAATTAAAATAAATAAAAGCAATGCCGGTCGCACAGACTCATCATCACGACATCACTGCTGCCGCTCCACAGCTGTGATCGATGCTAGCAGAAGAGAAGAAGAAGCTGATCGCACCCATCGGTTCAATATATGTGCCGAGTTTTAAGCACATGTTGATGTTGACAAGTATTGATGTGATGAGAACAGAGAAGAAAATTGCATGACATCAAGTCGAGTCAAAGTGTGATACGCCTCCTCAACATGGCTTGCATTGCTGTGGTGGTTGGCATGGGATGTTGAATGAAGAATTTTTTTTTTTTTTTTTTTTTTTAAAAAAAAAGACTTCATCTTACTAGGGTTGGTGCAGTCTGCAGAGTATTGGATGATGGCACTGATCCAGCAAAAGTAGGCATGTCACATTCAACGATCCATAGGTGTTACATTGGCATCATGAAGAAGCATAGATGTGCAAGATCCAATCTAAGCATCGCTGTGATCCCTAGTGGCCATCATGATGGCACAGCCCTCAAACCCAAAGAAAAGAACCAAGCATGGATGAAGAGCAACACGTAGCCATCATCAAGACGCTGCCATTCCACCTTGCGGTGCCTCTGTATCCAGTCAACCATCCTACTCAAGAGCAACCGACATTCGATCGCAGGCTTTGGCACAATGTAACTGAGCCCGGCAGTCACTTTGAAAATCTTTTTCCTCGTCCACATGTCGAATGCCATTTGGATTGCTCTCTTTTTGTTCTCATCAAATAACAAAAAAATCAACACGATGGCTCCTGTTCAACGTCCCGATAACATTGCCACCATGATCAATGGTGTTGAACGCTACAACCCCGAGAATATCAACGTTCTTGAAGAATACTTGTCAAAGCAATGTGAATCTGGTGAATACGATTTGGAGGCCAACTTGGCTATCCTCAAGCTGTAAGTCCACACGCTGATGATGCTTTTCACTCAAAACTAAACACAGACGGTGCCGTTTTCTAGCTACCAATTCAACCCTGCTTTAGCAAAGGAGCCTGTTATTGTAAAGATCCTTGTCAAGGCTTTGACTGCTATCCCTGCTCCTGATTTCAATCTTTGCCTCTATCTCTTGGCCGAACACTCTGTAAGTTCTATCAGATACGCAGTCTAAACAACTCTACTCATACCCACAATCATCGTGATAGCATCTCGAGTCTATTGAAAAGTTGACTGAATTACAACAACTCTTGGAACAAGCTCGTTATGCCAAGTTTTGGCAATCCGATCTCAAGCCATGGACAGCCGTTGTCCCCAATTTTGAGACAGAGATTCGTCTTGTCATTGCTCGTGTTATGGCCATGTCCTATCAAACCATCAATGCTGCTTCATTGGCTGCTAACCTCGGCTTGACTGGCGACGCGTTTGACAAGTTTTGTCAAGGTCAACAATGGCAAAAGTCTGGTGATTTGGTTCAAATCCCTATCAACAAGGATAATGAAGCCAAGACTGTTGTTATTAGAGAGAACATCAAGTTTGAACAATTGACAAAGGTCATTGGTTATTCCAACGAAATGTAGAAAACGCTTACACGATATATATACACCCACACACGCCACATCAAACAAAAAGACTCGCTCACTCACTCACTCCACTCGACATATTTTATTACAGTACTCACACCTATTCAACCTGCTCGACCATGAAATAAATATGAATGAACTATTGTAGATTAGAACTATACAAAGGGTGGGTTTTAGTGATGGTTAATAATGCCGATTTGCTGTGTTGAAGATGATATACTCAGATCAGGGGTGGGTGGCATTGGGGTTTTGTATACGGATTCAAGGCAGGGTCAGGCCTTTCTAGCATGAAGGATGGAGGAGGCTGTGTCGAGAATTGAAAGCTTTGAATTAGTTGCGATGACTTTTCTTTACGGACCTTGACTTAGGCTACAGATAGAGAAGCTTTGTAGCTTGAATTTTGACTTTATCACGCTACAAATCACAACGCTATCAATGAGACGCACCATTCGCTTCTTATAACCCAGCATTATACTCTGCCATTGGGAATTCTAAGCTGTGGATCGAGTTTTAATTTGACAATGTATATAAATATGCCTTTACATCCAATGCTGTCGTTCGTCATGCACAGTCTTTTGCCATGTCACTGTTGACAAGACAAATAAACTATGAAAAGCTGACACTGACCACATCACTGGAAGAAGCAGCTCAGTGTATCTACATTCCCCAATGCTTCTCGTTGTTCTGGTGTTGTTTTGTTATCCGCATGCGATGTTGCCCTGGTCAAATCCAATGCATCAGCGCCAATGAATACATTTGATTCGAAATGTGTGTATCTGACCATTTGAAACACTTGTGAATGGCACCATTTTAGCTGTACCTTTTACTTTTGATATTGTTTGTTGGATGTCATGGGTGTGTTGTGATGGATTTTCATGTAACCCACGTGTTTTTGGCGGGTTGTTGTCTGCCGCTCGGATCTCTTTTCCAATTCCAAAGAGGATTGCACTAAAAAAAAAAAATAGATGGTTTTGGTACACAGACCATGTTTGTTTGACTTAACTTTCACGCACTGCACAAACAGTAGAATGAAGATGTATGTTAATTTGCTTTGATTCTTTGTAGAAATCATCGAAACATGCACATGCGCAATAAAATTTCTGCGAGCAAAATGAACAACAGGCGGTATGACGAACAACAGCCAAGCTCTGCATCTCAACAAGAGATTATGCGGTGATTCCATCATTATGATAATACATCTCTCCGCATCCCAACATTTTATCGTAATGGAATATACACAGACCTTGTAATTATGTACAAAAGACAACTTTCGTACAGTTTCTGGTCTCAAAATAGCTTTGAATGTATCAGACAAACTACCCTTTGCCCGCATGAATTTGTCTGTTTTGGGGTTATCTCCTTCAGATTGACTCAACATCCACACGCCATAGCGATGGCGTCTGCTGAAAATTCAAATGTTTCAAACCAAAATGTTATTTCTGTCGACGAAAGACGGGAAAACAACCGAATGTTTCTCAGGTCATCGAGAGAGTATAAATACAGCTCTAAAACTCGCTGCCATTTCAAAAGAAATTCTCATCTGTATATCTATTTGATCCATCTCCTTTATAAACACCATCAACATGAAGTTCTCTGCCATTGCTCTCCTCGGTTCTCTCATTGCCGGTGCTTCTGCCTTGCAAAACTTCGAAACTGCTGATAAACAACTCAACATTAGCTCTCCTTTGCTCAACGGTGTTTATGTTGCTGGTCAAATCCTTCCTTTGAGTTACACTCCTCTTAGTCCAAGTAAGTAAATGTGTTCATGTCGTGTGCGTGTGTGAGGGCGAAAAAGAAAGAAACAAAAAAAAAATATTGACATGTGGATGTTTTTGCTAGACATGGTTCTCAACATCTACCTCAAGGGTGCCAATGTCAATGAAACCGCCATTGCCTTGAACGCTGACACTTCCAGTGACCCCACCAGCAATGTCCCTATCAAGGTCGACAACATGACTTACTATCAACATTCTATCAACTATGCTATCCCCACCACCTACCCCGCTGGCAATTATGAATGTATCTTTGAAAACGTTGCTACTCATACCAACACCTCCATTCCTGTCAGCCTCCTTGCTTATGTCCCTCCCTCAGGTGCTTCATCTGCTATTCCTACTGCTGCCTCTACCGCTCCTGCTGTCTCTGAGACCTCCATCATCCTTGCCCAGCCTTCCAGTAAGTCTCACGTCATGTCATTCTGATGAATTAAAACACTAAATGCTTTGTCTAGGTGCTTAAATGCAAAATGTATTCATTAATTACTCGCTGTCCTCCTATTTCATACATATATCATCATTCCCCCCCCCCCTTTACTTGCTAATAAAGCTACTACCTTTCTGCCATGATATGCTTAGTTTTTGTGTCTAATTTTAGGAATGATAATCCAAAGAAAAGATGTGAAGCTCTGTGACAATGCATGTGCATTCATGTCAATGTAAATGTGAATCAAACATTCGCACATTACAGATCAAATAATATTTTAAACCAAAGGCATGCTGTTTGAAAAGAGTGCGTCTACGCTTCAGCGATAAACCACCTTTATACTCGCCGCCGACCGCCTTCATTTATCTTGATGAGATATTGTAAGCTTGACTGAATATCTTAATAACGTCTACTTTTTTAGCTTTTCACTCCTAAGCAAGAACCTTCTATAAAAAAAGCTACGATTGTGGCTCCAGCATATCTACAATGCACCATGTCTTTTGTGTCAACAAAAAGAAAGTATATGCGGGTAAGCAGCATAATCACATTGCTTCTTACTATTCAAGATTATGCAAATACAGCATATACTGGATGCATCTCAAACCGTGATTTCTCGTGTCAGAGGCGGATTTAGATCGCCGGAGCAACGCCAACCCATTTTTCTCGTCTAGCAGTTACTTATTGCCATTATTGCTCAATTTTTTGGGGACCAAAAAAAAACATGGACAAAATTCGACCAAAAAGCATGAGGGGTACCTCATGGTTTTCATCGAAAATCAAACGATCGCGTTTTTGATCTTGATAATGAAGACTTTTACTATGGCATATATTGAATCAAAATGTTTCTATTAATCTAACGTAACCGCTGAAATCATCTTTGTGGCATTTGGATATGTAAAATTTCGACCTTTTGGCCAGAAACCTCATTTCATATTTTTATAAATTGCTCAGTCAGTTTATTCAAAACATCTACCTTACTTGGTACCATTGGATGCGTCTTGAAAAGTACTTTGAGATTGTATTAGGAAGCAAAGGGTGATCACCACAACTTGTATAGTCGAATCTCACAAAAGAGTTCAATCAAGTCGAAAAAAAAAACAAAATCTGGCCAATCTGGAACAGAAATTTTTTTTTTGGGTTTGAATCAATTTTGACGGCTGGTGAGGCTGGATGGCAGACTCATTGCCCCTTCCATCATGAAGGCAATACAATAATAGATGCATTTGAAGCGTATAAAACGTAGGTAGCAAGTTACATAGCACTATTATTAGTCATGCTATCTTCCTTAAATTCTATATTTAATTACGCCAGTCTATCAAAATGCTTATTAGACCAACTTTTTTCCTTTTTTGAGGCTTTGAAAGTGTCTAGTAGGGACCCAAATTTATTACGTTACAATGAGCATTTCGACTCTTCAGTTGATTTCCTGATCTACGCTTTGCTTTGGTGGAAACCAGCCTACGTTTAGGTGGATCGCGTTGCTACGGGCCTTTAACAGATATTGCAAGATTAACAATAGATAAAGTGTTTGAAGAAACGTGTTTGTTGATTGATAGTAATTTAATACAAAATCTCTAATCATATATGAACTATGCCTGACAAATGCGTGGCAGCTCAGTTTCATATTAGGGCTATAATAGTGTCTATGGACTATAAATTTATCATGGTATTATATTGATTACTTTAGACTTTGCTCGCTTAATTATTTGACAATCAATGTAGCGACTGAAAATCCGTTTACAGTAGTCGCTCTATACAAGGCGGTCCTATATAGGGCTATGTGGGGAATAAGGCTGAAATCTTTCAGATTTTTTTTTTTTACCAGCTATTTAGCCTTAATAGTCTAATTTTATATAAGGCTACAGATTCTAAAAAATTTAGCCTTATCTCATAGTGGTGATTGCTGCAATTGAATTTAGGGCCAATCAGATATTAAAAAATAAAAAGCTTTTATTGAAAAGTAATACATTTAAACGTATATCTGTTTGATTTTTCTCTGCTACTTCCTCCGATCAGATTCCTACGGATAGTTTTCAGCATGGACTTTTCTTTTTCATCCATTGGGATGGTATGGTACAAGATAGTTTCATACGCATGCTTCAACTTCTCCCTTATTTCCTTCGTATCAACATCGTAAATCTCTACTGGTTCTTCCTCTACCTCAAGCTCTTGTGATCCCTGGGTAACATCATCGCCATCCTCGAATTCAACAATCACGGGATTAAAAAACGATTGCATCAGACTCATCTGCATTTAGATCCAAGTCGTTTACTTCATTTACCAATTGAACCCCCATCATTACTTCTGTTTCCAGGAAGTTCAGGGATGATTTCGTTCAACTGCCTGACTAGATCATCGTCTAAAGGTAGCTCGAAAGATGGGAGTACATCCTCCGAGTCGACTCTCTGTCTCTGAGCAAACTTAAAATCAAGGATCTTCGTATGATCCCAGCAATTTTGGATTGTTTGAGGCTTAACTTTGATCCAAGAATCAGCAAGAAAATACAGAGCATCCACCTCATCCATTCTGTATTCCTCGGTAAGATCAAGGCTTACCCCAGCAAGATACTTGTTCACTGCCCTGTAGTATTGGTGCCAACGAAACTGAGCCTTGAAGTTCGCAATGATTCCTATCGAGTGTGTGATTAGAGATGAGTACGGATATCAATGAAATGTGTTGATTTACCGGCATCCAAAGGCTGCAACTTGCTTGTTGTATTTGCTGGAAGGAAAATCAACTTAATGTTGCTGAATTCTTCTTTCAATTTATGCACTGAAGCATTGTCAACCAAGAGAGCAACTTTTCTTCCGGCGTAAACGAAAGACGCATTCAAACGTTTTACGTACTTCCTAAAGATGTCGGTGTTCATCCATGCATTGGGAGATGAATGGTACTCCACGTAATGGGATTGCCCCGATGTTGGTGGTTCTTCTGTACAAAGCAGGTTTTTTGTTTGCTGCCTTTGGTGTCTTTCGTTTCCCAATTACAATGGGGTGCCCTTTATAGGATCCATCATAGTTGGTGATTAGTCCAACTGTGAATCGGTTCTTGCTTTTCTTTGATCCATCTAAAGGTTCCTGACAAATGGTGCGAGTTGGTTGTTGCTCGTAGTATAAGCCAGTTTCATCAAAGTTGAGAATATCCTTGGAATCATATGGCTCCAACAATTCTTCAATCTTTCTGAGTTCTTCGACAATATTAGATGATGTCAAGTCGATTGAGCTTTTTTCACCATATAAATGTCTTGACTTGACACCAATTCTCTTGAAAACATCGGTTAGCCATCCATCTGGGAAATGGATTTGCTTATTCTTTGGCAATTCATGATGCGGTACTTTCTGCGTGCGACTACTTTTGCAAAAGCTGCAATAGTTCCACAATTGACAGGAAGTGATTTTGCATTCATAGCTTGAATGTACTCCAAAATGTCATTGTCCAATTGTGGCATCGTCAAGGCTCTGCTGCTTTTTCCCTTCAAATTTCCTCCTTCGTAAGCTTTGGTCACCTTTTCCTGTGAATTCAAGACGTTCGATACAGTTTTTTTTTGCTTGATTGAGTGATGAAGGTTGAATTCCTTTTGAGCCCATTGACCGAGTTGCATTTGCGTCAGATTAGGAAAGCGCATGTTGTGCATAATAATGCAATACTTTTGCTCGATTGTGAGGCGATTTCTTGATCTTTGATTAAGGCACATGATAGGATATTACGTTCAATAGAAGTGAAATAAACAGATAAATGAATGTTACTGGGGAGATATCAAATTGATTTATTCGATCAACTATTATAATAATAGATTCTACGCGCACGACTTTTTTTGACAGAAGTCACGCGCGTCAGTTAAGGCTATGCGGGCAATAAGGCTAAAAAAAATCTCGCCAAAAAAGTAGCCTTATATAGAGCGACTACTGTATATATTTATTAGCAAGCCCACAAAATGAGCATAAATACGATTGCTGTTATGCGAAATCTCTAACATTAATATTAATTAATTAACAGACGGCGTGAAAAAGCTATTCTCCTACTTTGATGAGATGCGCAGCTGTAATGATTCGCATTACTACATACGTTTCAATCCACATGATTGAAATATTAGTATAGTACATAAATAATAGCATTCTTTTTTGACAGGTATTAAAAGTTAGTGGAAATACATTTCATTACTTCTTTCCATACTTTTATTAAAATTAATCCACCACTTAGTCCTAATACTATTTGTCTAGTAATATTTATTACATATATTACATAGTAAGTTTTGCTCAATACGAATACTAACACCAATCTGCCCATTCCTACTAGTACATCGTTCTTCCCTCTACAAGACCATTGTACTCTCATTACAGTAGCGCACTCTTGACTTTTTGACAAATCACAAAGAAGAGACGATTAATTAAGAGGTTTTGACTGATGAATTCGTAATAATAAGTCGATGATAATAATCAGTTGTCAACTGTGTCTGTGGAATTTGAGGCTTTATATACTAGAATTCACGGAAAAAAAAAGAATAAAAAACAGTAAAGTCAACTTGATAAAGGTATATTTTATTATCAAATTGACAGGTGTAAAATAAACTGAAGTCCCTCTACTGGCCAGGTAGATGATCCTTCTTATATACTATAACAATGGATAAAAGTTCTATTAATTAGATTGACAAATAAGTCAACTCAGATCAACTAATGTCTAATTGTGCTAAAAGACAACTCCAGCAAGCTAATCATGATTTAGCTTTTGCCTGGATGAATAATTAGACTCTCATACGAAGTGCCTTGATCTATCCTTTCTATAAGGATAATTAATATCGATCTAGTAGCATGTATCAGATAGGTACAGTCTTCTTAGTCTATATCAATAGTACATATCTGAGTGTATATCGCTGAGCATACATCTTTAGCATGTATCTGGATATATGGCATGTCTATAGCATATCATATGCATGTCTATAGCATGTCTCATATATAGTACAAGTCTGTAGTACATAAAGTATCTGTAGCTAGTATCACGGATATAAGCATGTGTCTTATAGCGTGGACCATGAAGTGCACATCTGAAGCAACAAGCTCCTCATATTGCATTAATCTTGGTGCTTATCCAGGTATGGTAAACATCCGTAGTCAATGTTGGAATACAAGTATAAGTCTATAGCGCCATCCATGTCCGTGGTGCCATCTATAGCCTATATCTTATACAGTATGAATCTTATAGTACTAGCGTATTTGAAGTCCATATCTTCTTATAGTATAAACCGATATCGTACATCTAATCCAGTGTACATACAGTTTATATCTAAATCTGGTAACTGGATGAACTGTCGGAATGCAGATCATCATAGTGGATGTATTCCACAGGGACATTTGGTACTGGGAGAACCCTGTACCTAATGTACCGTACTACTGTAGTACCACCTATTATATAATATTTCCTGGAAAATGCCGGTACATTTTAAAAAACATTGCTCACATAAAATTATTTACTGGATAATGAACTCAATGATTGCACCTTATATTACTCTTGAATAAAGAAGGATTTAAATTGTTTCCATCTAATTACGCTTTTATTATTACAAACGACAAAATCATGATAAATGACAGATCAACAGAAAATCAACCCGCTGTAAACCGTTTCTCTTTCAATCCCTCAGCCAATCAGATTGCTCAAAAACTCCGCTGACCTAAAAAAAATTTTGCGAGGGTTTCCCCCTGTTTTGATGTGAGGCAAAATTTTAAGCTCCGATATATATAGCAATATAGCGGTTACTATCATCAAATTTCCCTCAGGTGCTAGAGCATGCCTTACTTGCAACACCTAGCTTTTAGATTCTGGTGTTGAGACTCTCAATCATCACTAAAGTAAGTAGCAATAATCAAGTGGAGGCAGCCTATCCATCTCCTAGTCGCGGATAAAGTCTTGTTGAGCTTCAGCGATAGGCACATCCACCACAACGTAATAAAGAGGTATGCTTCGAAAGAAACATAATAAAAAAAAGGAAAAGAAGAAAAGAACATACTACTATAGGGGTATAGTAGCATATAGATAAAAAAAAGGAACACTCACACAAAAAAGCGAGTCAAAAGAAAAGCATAACAACAAATACAACATCAAGGATGTTCAGAACAGCTCATTGTTGTTGCAACAAAAATGCATGCATGAGCAACGTGCATGGTGGTAATAGTCGGATGTCAAGCAACACAAACACGCGCAATTGCATGAGCAACAGCAGTATTATAAGTGTGCAATACAACATAGCGACTAATGTTGTTTCATGTGAAGCGACAGAGGCAACACAAACAACAACCCACGGCCATATAACAAAGTAGTACTACAACGGCAATACAGATATATAGCAGTACATCATGCTTGTTGTTCGTACATACGAAGCAACAACATCGCAAGCATCCGTTGAGCTGATCATATCACAGCCAACGAAAGAAAAAGAAATCGTAACAAAGCAAACATCATGAATACATTATCACGAGAAAAAAAAAGCAATAATACAAACGTCCAGAGAAGTTTTATATCATTGCGACCAAAAGAAAAAAAAGCTACTTACCACTTGCCACAGCCACGGATAGACCAGCAGAGAATAGACAACTACCAGAGATAGACCAGAGAGCAAACATACAACCGAGACAGCAGACCAAGAAGAAAGACCAGATTAGCAGCAGCAACATCAGCAGCAACACCAGCATCATAGAAAAACCAAAGAACGAACGGCACCAGAGACCAGACAAAGATTAAAGAAGCAACCACCAGAGATAGAGACCAACGAAGCAACCGCCAGACATAATAAACCAAAGAAGCAAATAGCAGAGATAGCAGAGAAGTAATGGCAGCAGCACCGACGTCAAACAGGCAGAAAATTATCGAAACCTAATAAACAAATTCGATTAGTACTGATTTTACGTCTTCTAGTGCTCGTTATCGAATAGTACCTACTATATTCCACTTTAAAGAATCAGTATTAAGCACTTCTAACAGTGCAAGGCCGTGTTATCAGAAGCTAGAGTGTTATTTTCAATCAAAAGGGTTCCAAAACCAATGTGGTTTGATATTAAACGCGTTTTGCAAAAAGGGTAAAAAAAAAACGAGGGTATGGAAAAAAATGAGTGGGCGCCTTAACCGACGTCACGGCCAGTAGATTTGGCCTCAGCCGTCTGCCGTGGCAGCCGTAACTGCTGCACTTTAATTTGAAATTGTGCAGTGGGTATTTTCGTGTTCAAATTCGACTTGATTTCACATTCTTTAAACGTTTTTGCTAAATTTGACTATGAAAATTGTCCTTGTTATACTTTACTTTCTGACGCATCTATAAAGAGTCAATGAGGGCGCATCGAATGATGCTGGTTGCGTTCAGCTTTCAGACCAAAAATAATGAGCAATTTGCAAAAGTATGAAAACAGGTTTTCTGTGAATATGTCAAAATTTAGCTTATGAAAGCTCCAGAGAAACAACTTCTGATGTTTTATTTTATCTTTACGATTAATTTGATCTAATATGTATCATAGGAAAAGTCTTCATTTTTGCGGTGAAAAACGCGATCATTTGATTTTCAAGAATCTTCCCTTGCTAATACTCATGTGAAAATGACAATTTTTAGTAAATTTGCAATGACTCAAAAAAATTGAGATAAAGCACCAGTAAGAGAAGCGTAGCCAAGAGAAGGCGTGTGGTGCTATTCCAAGCGCTCAAAACGCTTTATAGCATGAGTTATTCGCGCTTCAAAATGGCTACGTTTGGACAGAATTTGGCCTGAAAATAAGGCGTAGTAGTATTTTGTGCTGACAAAGAAGTGAGTAAATTACAGTTCTGTCTAATGTCCTTGATGTTTTGCATTGTATAGAGCTCAATCTCTAAGTTATAGACACTTTTATTCTAATCCTGACCATCAGATCTTTCAGATCTTTCTTTCTGAGATGCTCGATTACAGTGATTTTAAAACTTGAGCGTCAGCGATGCAGTGAAATCAGGTTTAGATAGATTTCACAAAAAAATTAAAGCAATAACAAAAATACAATAGAAATCAACTGTATTTTGTTTTGTGTATAAAATGAACTGAAGACTTTGGAATTGAGTAAAAAAAAAAAGAAGATTATTTATACCTTTGCAACTAGCTTGTAGGCTTAGTGATGATAGAGAGCAGTAGGTGCTGCTATTATGATATCTGGCAAATGTTGTTGATGTTTGATTTAAAGCGCTAATCAATGCAAGAGCACTGGCCATAAAGGTCGATTTGAGTAACCTTGATGGGCTTGGATGAGCTATTGTCATAGCATGATTTAATGTAGCCTTGACAGTTTAAGGTGTGCTGTTTGTTATTGAAGTGTGGAACCCTTTATCTGGGAGATTGTGCAACTATAGCAGCAGGGCATAGTTGTCATATTTGAATATGCTTGTTATTGATTTGATTCTATTTGGATAAAGATACCATCACTTATTACGACCATCATGGGTGTGATTGAATACACTGTGATCAGGAGTGATTCATTCACACGATGTGCGATATAAGCATGCATCTTTACTTTAGTATTTTTAAATGGTTTTTTGATGTACATTTGAGCGCTTTCATTAATAGATCCAAATAGCATGAATTTGAATGAGTGCTATTTGATGAACTTTGGTTTTCAATTAAGT